AATCAAACATAGAAACGTATTATTCATGGAAATTACTAAATGAGGTCAATATTGTATTTTTTTGTTTCTTTTAACTTATGATAATTAGCTTATGGTTCTAGTTTGTTGCAGTGCAAAAATGTAGATGTGTACTATTTACAATTTGTAAACTGGGATAAAATAGCTGAATATAATAATTCAATAATGAAGCTCCAAATAAATTATCACATATTGATTATTTCGGTCACTGAGTAATTCTTTGCATTTATTAGACGATAAAATTAATTGGCAGATAAATTTAAGTAACTAATATCTGATACTATACTAATAGTTTTCTATTTTTGGAACTAAGTACCATAAAGGTTTCCATCTCGTTATTGTAGTGATTTTCTGAACAGTGAAGTATAGCTCTGTATTTAAATTGTACGAAGTGATATTAACTTAGTGGTCTTTAAAAGATATTTTGATGTATACTACTAATGTCGACAGATATAAGTAATATGTATTACCAATCGAAAATAGAATGCTTGGAGGCAGAAGTTTGAAATAATGGAAAAGAAGAGAACGTGAGCAGAGAGTGATTGGTATGGAAACGAAGAAACAAAAAAGTCTGAGATAACTGATGGATGTTTTGCAAGTGAAGTATTTACTGTATGGGTTTCAGATCTTACCAAGATTTGTAATGTATCAAAATATATTTGGTTGCCCCCCTATTTGTGTTCTCATTTACTATAATATAATCTCATCCTCTTAACGACTTATTTTAATTAGTCATTTTGGCGATCCGTTTTTCACAACAGTTATCTATATCTGGTCGTTTGAGCGTGAGATGTTAAATCTATTCTGTGAATAATGATTTACTTAAGTGTCCATAATCTAAAACTGGTTGAATATCGAATGAGTCTACATCACCACCGAATCACAAATTTTGATAATCTACTTCATTTCAACAGTCGTTATGCTAAAATCTACACATTTCATGATGTCTAAATGTTCTTGAAATTCATGTCATAAATGTTCAATTCCCCTCAGTCATGGTGTAAAAACAACGAAATCGTAAGTGTAAATATTACCGGTAGTATAAAATGTAAATATCAGATGTTTTGTCGATATTAAAGCAATTTTAATAGTTATGATCATGAGTCATTTGAAACTAGATCACCATGGAAAACCTGGAAGAACTTGACAGCCGTTTAGCAGTGCGCATCCACGATCCCACCTCGTGAGATTTGAAACCTGGAAATCTAATGAGAAGCAATGACCAGTGGAGTTCGACTGGGTCTATTGTGAGACAGTAACATACTGAAGACGATAGTGAATGTGTCGCTCAACTTCGCGGATTTGTTAAAGTTAGGCATCAACACCGTTGGATGCCAGCTCAGTGGTCTAGTAGTTAAGCGCTCGCTCGCGAGACTGATAGGTCCTTGCTTCGAATCTCACGGGGGGCAGGATCGCCGATGTGCACTGCCGAGGAGTCCCACAGCAGGACGAAACGGCCATCCAGTGCTTCCAGATTTTCCATAGTGGTCTAGCTTTAGCTGACTCATGATCTCAACCATTGAAAAAAATAGGGTCAAATGTAGTTGTCTGGGAAAAAACGGTCCAGGTTGTATGAATGTTCAGGCTTCCTTTTTGTTTTTCTAGATCTACTTCTAGTTCTAAATCTGTATTAGTCAGAACAGATCTGACACTTAGCATTATATTCGTTATCTGTAATATTCAGTGTCGTAGCAGTCTCAGCAACAGTAGGTCTCAATATACACAAAGGGAAAAGCAAGATTCTCCGATACAACATAGCATGCACCACTCCAGTCACAATTGACGGAGAAGATTTGGAAGATGTAAAAACCTTTACATATCTGGGCAGCATCATTGATGAACACAGTGGATCTGATGCAGATGTGAAAGCGTGGATCGGTAAAGCAAGAGCAGCATATTTACAACTGAAGGACATCTGGAATTCAAAACAACAGTCAACCAACGCCAAGGTCAGGATTTTCAATACAAATGTCAAGACGATTCTACTGTATGATGCGGAAACCTGGAGAACTACGAAAGCCATCATCCAGAAGATACAGGTGTTTATTGACAGCTGTCTACGCAAAATATTTCGGATCCGTTGGCCAGGCACTATCAACAACAACCTACTGTGGGAGAGAACAGATCAGCTTTCAGAGGAGGAAGAAATCAGGAAGAAGCGCTGGAAGTGAGTGGGATACACATTGAGGAAGGCACCCAACTGCGCCGCAATTCAAGCCCTCACATGGAATCCTCATGACCAAAGGAGAAGAGGATGACCAAAAAACACATTACGCCGAGAAATGGAGACAGACATGAGAAAAATGAACAAGAATTGGATGGAACTAGAAAAGAAGGCCCAGGACAGAGTGGGTTGGAGAATGCTGGTTGGCGGCGTATGCTGCATTAGGAGTAACAGACGTAAGTAAGTAAGTAAGTTATATTCATCATCTAGAGGGAACATGATGTCAATTGCATAGATAGAAGTGAAGAATTAACTCTATTTACTAAATGACTAACATTTATCTCATTTAAAAAATGATATTTTTTCCAATTAACTAAAGTTAATTAACTTTCTTTTAAAAAATCCATAAGACGCCATCAATATGAGTAGTCGCTATAGTAATTGATATCTAATATATACATGTGTGGCCTTAGATATGTGGTATTTAATCTACCTAGTTGGATCTCATGAATAATTTGTATTATGGATATCCATTAATGAGTTTATTACAAAATAGTTGATCGTTACCTCAGTTTGCTTGTTGAAAAAGTTTGTTTTCACTAAAAAAGCAAGGGGTATTCATCCATTTCTATTATTTTTCAAAGAAGCACAACTGACAAACTAATAATAGAATGTCTTGACCAAGACAACTTGAATCGAACAATAATTATGAGAAAGGTTTTACTATAATATCACTATGAATTAATTCAAAACAATATTTCTCTGGACTACATAACTTGAATCTCAGAATTCTTATCGGTGTGAACTAATGAAATTTTCTTTAAGTCGCCAACAACCACACTTGTGGCAAGTAGTTTGTTGTAATCAACTAAGTGTAAAATAGTCATTAAATGTTCACTAGTATATATTTCATATTTGACGTAAATTAACTTGGAGTTACTGCTGTCAGACCAAACGGATTCCTATAGAAAATACATCAAGTTTATTTTCTTATTGTTTAATATGTCGCTTTATCTCTGCTTATCAACTGTTATATCGGAGCGAAGATTAAATCACAAGTAACTTCTGAGACATCTTAATTGACTAATATTATCTATACATTCTTATGGTATAACTATTCAACAGTCAGATTAGGTATATTTATATTCCTCTTATTATAAGCTTTATTTTGATCTACAATTCATTATTGTACAATTTACGGTTCTTAAGCTATGTTCAGTTTATTAACTACTGCCTCCCACGTTCATAGCCACTTTTTGGCTTTATTGTGTACAAATGTTATTTCCTATTTTATAGTACATTGTGGTCTGTTTGATTGGTATATAAACCCAGTATGTCTGAAATAAATTATTCGATTCACATATTGGAAGCTGGTATTGGTGATCTGAACTCAAGTGGACGGGCTAGGCTGCTCATACCGCTCGAAAGCCATTGGTTTGGCACAGTGCTAGGATTGTACAAGTCGTATTTTGATTGGTGGATGAATCACGTGATAAAAGCGGACATAAATTCACAACAGAAACGACTCCATAAATTCAAGCCAAATAAATTTCAGAAAAGAACCGAATTCCCAGTCTATAAACTGACCATGAGAACATATAATTAAGTATTGAAGGTGTTCTTTATGCACAAGATGTTTAACTAAAGAGTCATTTATGGTTGGGGAAACGAATATTCTTCTCTAAGTGTTTCATAATTTTGTTCAGATTAGGATTACTGAAATACAGTAAGTAATTTTCATGCCGTAGCTCTTCTACGGTCATTGCCGGTCCCAAGCCTGGGTAAAGGTGGGGAGTTGGGTATGGAGTCAGAAACCCCAACTCCTAGAAAACAACTTTGCTAAAAGAACGCTAACCAAAACAAATAAATCATACCACTGCAGTAAAGTAGTAAGCTAAGTTAACCATATTACTCCTTGAAATATTAGAATCAACAGTGTGAAAGTACTATTATTATATCCATTCGGTCTATATTATGAAAATAATTTTTTAGATATGAATGGTACGCTTAAATTTAAAGTACACGCAAATAATCCGAACCAAAAGAAAGTATACCATAAAGGTTGACAAGGGAAAATCAAAATCCCAATTAGTGTCGTTTCTTATGCTTATCAGAAGTAGTTCTTTGTTTACAGAATACTAGAGAATGTCATAGATATTAGAATTACATTAAGAAATTATCTCGCTTCTCTGTAAGATATTTAACAAGTAGAGTTACCTGGAAACCTAGTAGATTTCGTGAAATTTCGTTATATTAGTTGATCTAATGTATGACACTACAAAATAGGATGACTTCATGCTTGTTTATCCAAGATTTTTGAACAACAATACTTTGCAAGTAACTTCGTCCTAGGAAGCAGATTAATTTGTAGTCATCCCATGTGAATTAGATGAAACAATGACTGGTGGTAATATCTGCAAGGATGGATAATTCCAATGTTATCAAACACTTGATATGTCAAAATCTGCTTATACAAATATATCTGTTATTTATCTTCACTTATGTCTACAAAATGAGATGGAAAATGTTTCAAAATAATGAACTTCATTTGGGAGAATATAATAAAAGAATAAAATATCATATGCGTGTTGCAGTCAGTGGATGACATTTCCCTTCATTATAATACTTTTACTGTTAATGCTGAATCGTGTATTCATCGGCTTTCATTGATTATGACCACAAAAACATAGTATTAATGTTACTCTACAATGGGATACTAATCGAAATGATATACTTTCATTAGTCTATCCATATATGTGTAGATGTTTTCTACGTGACCATGATTCTTTTAAGATGGAAAAGACGAATATTTTCAAAGCTCATTTAGCTGTAAACAACGTGGGGCCTGGCGTGAATCTATATTGGCACATGTAATACATTACAAGACAGCACAAGGGAAATTAACAAAGAATGGAAGTAAATGGGAGGGATTAAATTTAACGTTGGAAACATCAACAAAAAATAATATACTCATTAGTGAAAAGCTTTGGGGGAAAGTTTAAGTTTTAATGAGAAATCGTTATCATTGGCGTTGGATCGTATTAGGTGTAAAGTAGATAATGGAAGATAGGTGAGCGACATTATGAATCGATTGAAGACATGTAAACCATTGGATGTCGACCCATGTCTTAACGTTAAGCGTTCATTGTGAGCTCTAAAGATCTTTGGTTTGGTTACCTAAGAGGTCATCAAATGGATATGACTGAGCTCTATATTAGTATGAAACAGCTGTCCAATGTTTCCTGCTTTCAGTGGTAGCTTAACTAAGATCAATTCATGAAGTAAACTATCAAAGGAAAACAGTTCGAAATAAACAAATGAGATCAAAAGACAAGTTAAGAATAACATTTAACTGAAAATTTATGCTAACATAGGGAATAAATACAATCAGGCTACTTCAAATGACTTTGTGCAATGTTACTTTAAGTCTCTAACCGTTGATAGTGAGTACTATGATTGCCCAAAGTAGGAACTCCGCACATCAAAATGGATAAGGCCAGTAGTTAACGATTTTATAAACTGAAGTATTACACTTGTTAACATATACCATATTGTAATCATAAAACAATGGAACAATAGTTTATAACTACAATCACTTTATTCATTTTCATAATAAAAATCTTTAACAAAAAAGGAAGAAACGAATGAGTATATGGATATAAATCACATTAAAAATCATTTCAAAAATGTTAAAAAATATTATGTAGACTATAATAAACAGTTATTATTCTATATACATACAGGAAAGACATTATTTTACACAACCAAGTATACACAAATCATAAGAGAAAACAATCACAACAATAAAAAAGATCAATATAAAAGGAAATCAACAGTACATTAGTGTATATGTATATTCCAGTGATTAAAAGCACAAATACAAATTTTATTTTATTTATTAGACTCATATCATACAAAAGAAGTATTCCGACACGTCGATTTTGACCATTGTAAAACAATACATGAAAATAAAATTATTACACAATAGAGGTTTATCGAAATAGGACAAAGGAAATGCAAGCGTTGCTTACAAGTCAGAATAGTTTTTTTATTATTTCTGACTGCTTCTTGATAATGGAAAGAAATGAGTAGAATACAATAGAATCTATAACATGCCGAAATGTGAGCATATGAGTAAGAGAGAATGATTACGGAAGCTTACTTTATTTTCTATCTAGAAATAGGTGACTAACTAAGTATACGTATAGATCTATGTATTCTACTCATTTGAAAAAAGAGGGATTTTAAAGTTTTCGATAAGTTAAGCAGCTTCGTAAGAAACCACGCTGCTTCGTTCCGCGTTTCAATAGATGAGATGGCTGATTGTTCAGTGGATCTATAATATGGGATTTGTTAGTGTAGGAAATTTCATTGATGCAATAAAAATATAATAGTGAGAAGACAATTAAATAGCTGGAATGATCTTAATGCATAAATAATACATGTGTAGTTCGAATAAACGAGTCACAAATTAAATTCGTAGGTAATGGAGTAGAAATAAGAAATTTAGGATGTATACTTTGTTCCAACGACGGAACTAGTTAATGTGTATTAAGAATAAATAAATTGAAAGCGGTGGGCAGAATGTAAGGCTTAGTATTTTATCCGTAAAAGAATTAACTTAAACACGCTGGATCTGAGCATAGTATATACCAGTTTGAGTATACATGTCCTGGACGAATTGATTTCAGTTGAATGTAGATTTGTCCAAATGGTATATTTTCACCAATATGAACAGAATGCCAAGCAGAAACTTCAATAAAACCACACTGTATATCATTTGGAATGAGGTCATAAGAAAACTATTAATAACACGAAGTCGCCAAATATTAATCGGTGAAAAATGTTAAAAAAAAAAGAAGAAACCCGACATTACAATTAGGCAACAGGAAAATAACTTCTATAATTTAGAAAAAAGATCCCACAAGTTTATAATAATAAAAAGTTTGAGACTTAACGAATACATTTCAAACATATTTTGGTTTACTTTAGTAAACACCAAAATATCATAATAAAATCGTATTTATAATTCTTTAAACAGATATACACTAGTCAAGTTCTATCAAATCTAGTTTTTACCAATTCTTAAGTATTTTCGACTATTGAAAATAATCTTGTGAACACGAAGGTTCAATCATTTGTAATGTTATCACTGGGGACAAGTTACTAATACATGTCATATTCAATAGTATCCCATCTAACACGATCAATTATCGAAACCATGATATTCAAGCTATCACATCCTGAGAGCCATTTGTCAATTAATGATCTGTTTAAAACTTTCAGCACTAATATTAACATTCCGTTTAATATATATGCCCAGTAAAACTAATAAATCTTATTTGTTCTGATTATACTCTGAATTCTAAGCATGTGTTAGTCAAACATCACAAATGTATATGCTACATTGATAGTAGTCCAGTTTTCCAATCATGATGGGTCAATATGGCTATAGCAGTTGAACATTTGGTCTTTTATGTTGTATCATGCTAGACAGATCGGCTGGAGGACGGTTCAACTAAAAGCACAAAACGCATTACCCAAGGGTGAAATAGAATTTATTGGGATGGGGTGGTAGTAAAGTGTTTACCTCAAAAAATCAGCATCTACAGCGATGGTATCTTTCCATGGCAGAAAAATGTGGTTAGGAAAGATTAGTACTAAAAGTAGCATATCCCACCTTAGCTCACGAAATTCTGTCGCTGGTGACGAAGTCCGAAAAGGAAAGTGTGCGGCTGTCTTTGATGCTCTTAGGTAGCTAAAACTATTATTAATCTAGATTCCTTTATGTATACCTCAAGAAGGAGCATCCTTCCACATTGTGAACAACAGCTCATATAACTCAAACAACACACGAAACCAAACTACTCATATTAAATTCCATCCTTACTTTTTAATACTTTTTCAATCAAATAATTAAAATAACCCATTGTCATTAAATAAAAATATAGAGAATTTAACGAATAAAACCAACTCAAGCCCGAACTTTGCGTGCGAAAACGTCCAACTTCTCATCCTTCTTTGGCCCTAATTCCTTTTCGTGTTATGTTCTGGTTTATTATTATTGACTTCTTTACTGTTTTGTAATTTCGAACCGTAATGAGTCATTATTACCCCTAAACAATTTTTCATGATTATTACTCAATGTTTACTATTATAACTTTTAAGTTTTTCCTCATTACCGTCAAGTGGACAATTATCTTTCATAATCCTGACCCATAAATTAATTCCATCTTTATAATCTCCACCTACACCTTGATTATTGAGTAACCTCATTTGATAATAACAGTATCGAATCAATTTATGATGCAACCTTCTTTATCCTTGTATAGACATATAATTACCATACAACTATAAATACGAAGGTATAGCTTGAGGAAATGCTTTCATAGAAAAGAAACTTTTATTCGCTAACTTTTCTTATGACTCTACCTTCATTTCCAAGCACCACAATCCTAAGGGGTTCAGTTTAGAAAATCCTATCCCTGATAATTTGAAACTAAATATGTTGAAGCTTCCGAAATCCGAGCCAGTCAGACAACAGGAATTATTAGATAGAACTTCAGCATCTGGTAAGATCAATATTCTACTTCTCTGAATCTTATATTATCTGAATGTGGTTATTTCCTTGATCTCACCTAGCCAATATTGAGACCGGTTTATCCTCTGTATATCTGAGGACTTGATTTCTACTTTTTGTGTTCACGCTGATACAAACAAATGATTAGATTTATAGTCAGAGCAGGCTCTCTCGTATTGCATTGCCTATATTTCCATTGACTTCAGTCTGGATAAACAAAAACAGATGAGTTTTACAAAAAGCAAATAGGCCTTCTTCAAAAAGCTAAGCGCTGAGACGTAGCTTCAGTAGGTAATCTGGACTAAGCTAAAAGACACTTAAGTGAGTCTTATAGTGTTTCAGCTCAACGAACAGACAATGGTGACTATATATTTCAGCCAAGCTGAGACGGCCATTTATTTCTAACATGTACCAGGTCTAATCACGAGGAAAGACACCATCTGACATAGAGATTTCCCAAAATCTATTGAACAATAGAGACAAATAGGATATATCGACAACAGCCTATTTGGTTTAAAAGAACATTGCTTATACAAATACAGAGATAAGATGAAACTACCGGTTCAGTAAATATTATCAAAAAAGTATCAAACAAAGGTAGTGTTCAAAAAATCTATGCATTCTAAAGATCATGAAAATACTACAAAACGAAAAAAACAAACTCTTGCAAAATAAGAGACATGATCACGATTTACTGTGATATTGAATGATGGAAAGCTAGAGCGTCGAACAATGTTTGTTTTATGTTTAGTTGTTTTACGACGTCGGCCAGAAAGTAAATAAACTTTTATATACACATCTGGTGGCTCACTCGATCCGGGGATGTACTAAAATATATAAAAAAAGATTTGAAGATCAAAATTGGAGTTGACCTTAAACAGAATGTATGCATAGAGATATATAATTTTTTACATTCGATTACATAATAACTTATTGCACAATGCACAACAATATGATCAATTAGGGACGTTTCAACAAAATGTGAATCTGAATTCGGCTTCAGTAAAAACAAACAGTAACAACAGAACATAATTAATTTGATAAACGCATCTTAATTCACCTAGTATATTACAGATGAATCGGGTTGATAAGTAAGCTATTCTAACATTAATGTCATATGATATTGCCTAATGTTTCCGAACAGAACAATCTTTGTATAATTTAATCCAGATTTTTTTCAGTAAAAGAATAAAGACTTGGTAAATCCAACTGTCAATTATTTCAGTCATATTACTTTATAGGTGAATATAAAAGAGTTGAAATATTTCAATTTCGCCTAATTATAGAAATGAGCAACACAATGCATAGTCTTGTCAATAAAAAATTTTTTCATCATGTGATTGAATGAAAAATGTATTCCCACTATTAGTTAATCCAATTTCAGATGTCATCATTTACCAAAGTGAATGAGTATAATGTAATGAGTAATAAACGACTAACCACTGTGTAAACAATTTCATTTTTATCTCATGGATGAATGTATCGTGCTGGCTAGATGATGTTAAAAGGTTATATTCAGTCAAATGTAATATAGTGAGTTAGCACAGTTGAAGATAGTTCTATTAACTGATCGATAATAAAGATTACCTTACATCTTTGATACCGATTAATTATGCATTCAGTCTCCATGCTAAAGACTTACCAATAGAATACAAGAATATCATTATGGCAAAATAACTGTTTATTGATTTTTTCGAAATTTCAGTATCTTATACATATTATGGGAAACAAAGAATAGAAAAAGGATGATTGAACAGTTGTTACAAGTTATGATTTTATAACAATTACCATATTTTTTCAGCTGGAAATATATTTACTTAAAGCATATAGCATATTAGCTTCGAATCTCTCTTGTGACAGAGAAAATAATCTTTTTGTGCGCATGCCTATGACAATGAAACAATCTATTATACTATGGTCTATATTGTTTCGTGCAGAAAGTTAAGAACAGGTTATGCAACTATAAAAAGATGAGCAGACTTCGAGCCTTGTAAGTTAAGAATTTCCAAAATTTCCAAAAGTCTAGTGCTCATCATAATTAGAATCATTCAACCAGCTAGAATAAGAAAAATGAAATTCTCATGGACATATACCGAAGTATAGGTTACGTATTTAAGGAGGGATAAATTTCTACATTGATCAATAAATCATTAAAGATCGCAGATCATATTTGATGTTGTCCAAGAATGTTGATTTGCCACACGTGTCTGAAAAAACAGCCTTGAAAACCCTTTTGAAGCACGGTATGTAGAAGAAAAACGGACAAAGACAGGATGCACAGACCAAAAGTAACATTTACCGAAACAATTATCACTGCACACTGATACGAATGAGTAATCTCATCATCAACTATTTATCACTTATTTTCTCCTCAAAATACACCTTAAAAGAAACAGACAGACGGCTACAGACCTAAGTGCAATGCTTGTTAGTAAGCTGTAGCATTGAGTATATCCTAATCATTCAGTCCATGCCTCAGATTGTGTATCATTAAAAAAATGCTTCACAATGTTAAGTTATTTAAACTAGCGACTGTTTCTATCTCATAGACAGAGGTCAATTAGCATTTAGCGTTGATCGGACAGCATGACATAAGCTCACTCAAGTAAACACCTTTAGTACACATGCAAACTAGGAAGAGGAGAAACTGTTTCAGACAACAAGAATAACCAGAAAAGTGGATAGGTGAAAAAAACAATCATCCATTTCCATACATAACATCATTAATGTATGGAAGGAAATGAATTCATCAAAAAAAAAAACAATCATATGCCCATCCCACGCACATATAATTAAGTTTAAAAAGCCGAAATAACAAGTTGAATCAGAACAACGATAACAGTAACAACAAGCTAGAAAGTGATTAAAGAAAGTAAGTACCATAAAAACTGTACAAGAAAAGCTTACTAAACATCTGGCATGCTTGATTAAAACATCTAAACGCCTGGAATTCTCACTTAAATATAACTGAATATGTACAGCTGGCAAATGGTCTACTTTATATGTTGATGTTAATAAATCATCAGAATTATTATGAAACAAATGAAACGATGATAATGATGATGAAGATAATGATGGGATGAGTAAAGGAGTTGTGTATTCTTTAGATTTTTCAGGCAAATAATCTTGTAATGGTGATGAAGATGACCAACAATTGATTAATGATGATGAAGTTGATGTTGTCAGCCCTAGAATTTCAAAAACAAACAAAGACTAGAAATGGAGAGATTGAAGTAGGCGTAAATCCAGTGTAAGTAAATATAAGGTGAGTTGAATCTAGTTGGTTAATTGAGAACAATTAAACACACACATAAACATCATTGAAAGTGATATTTAAAGAATGAACTATTTCGGATTTTCTATAACAGGTGAGGTAAACAAGTCTGACCAGAAGGATTCAACAACAAGTTGAGATGGAGATATGAATTACTGGATTTTAATCCTATTAAATTTACTGTAAAAGTTGAAGGCTACAGCTTTCATAGAAGAACAGATCACAAGGAGTGAAGAGATACATATAACAATTATGTGGAATGTTATTAGTTCGCGATTTTTTAAAAATTAAGATTATTAGTGTTAAAACTTGTGTTCTTTCAATATGCTGTTATTTGCTCTATACAAGAAAATCATTATGCAGTTAGACAAATCACACATTGAAGATAATTCTCATCAAGACGTGACACTAATTATTAAAAACTGAGAAATCCCAAAAATATCTGTCAAAATGACTGAAACCATTAGACTGATATGTGTATACATTCCCACAAATAGTTGAATGTAGTGTCCTCAGGTAAAGCATGATATCATTTAGCTACTGAATCTAGAATTTGATATATATTGTTTAACTACCAATGATTCGCGATAAGCTGTGATTAAAATCCATTATCTTCGGTGAAGATTATTCGCATTTTATACCAAGGTAGATTTCTTGTCATTAATCTCATAGGTATTATTTAAAATCGAATGAAATAATTTTCGAGTGTTTCCTGGTTTTCAACTAGTTTTCCAACTGATGTCAACCAGTAATCAGCTTTGCTTTATGATACAAGAATATTTACTTACAAACTGTGAAATGAATTATTTTTTTAGCGATTAAAAGGCAAACTTGATTAGCATAAATTAGGTTAGATGAACTAAACTTTCAAAAACGTCTAACACAATAAAAAGCATTAAATTAAACCACTAATAATGAGCTATAGAATAAAAAACGGAGAATGTATGAAGACGAAGTTATCATTTCGATATAATGCTAATATTTGAAACTAACAAACAATGCTTTATAAGCAGTAAAATCCGGGACGCGCGTTTCGTCCTATTTCGGACACGTCAGCTAGATGCACCTGCATCTCAGAGTGGATGCTCACTCTGAGACTCGAATACAGTACCGTTCGCTTCAAATGCCATCGCGTTGTCCACTTAGCTACTGAGTTCTGATAGCTACTTGCTTGTGCAATGGGGTGAAGTTTAAATTTACTTGGTAATGTTTACTTGAATCTTCCCATTGATGATTAGGACTGCAATTGATCAGTTTCTTATTGGTATATCTTTATACTGTGAGTATTGCCTAGATTTTACCTTAATTCACAAGCATTGTAAGCAACAATGCTTTATTCACAAATTTGTTTAATAAAGAATTTGGTTGTCTGTTTCTTTTCATCAACTGAAAATGTGTTAGAGCTGTAATTTAACTAAACCACAATAACGTGATAAGAAATTTATTTTACTAATTGTGTATTGTCACTTATCAGCTTATTCAAGAGTTGTGAAATTTATTTAATCTTAAAAATTAACTAATTACTTTGAAATATGATATGTAGAAAATTTGTATTGTAAACTAAAATCTATCAGAATTTGAAAACAATATTTGGCAAATTATACTGATCAAATGATTAAGGCGAAAATGTAGTTTTAAGCCATTAGTTAGTCCATATTTAAAATGCCCACTCTGGGATGCAGGTATATCTAGCTGACCAGTACCAAATAGGACGAAACACAAGTCCTGAATTCCATTGATCGTCACTATCCATCTCTGCTTATAACGCTTGTGACTTAAGGCAATATCGAGGCAATCCGCACAGGATGCACATATGCCAATAAGAGACTGATAAACTGCAGTCCTAAACATCAATGGGAAGATTCAAATAAAACAACATGAAAGAAAACCGTAATTGATATGAGACTATATGTACTTAATTCGCCGTATATAAACAATTTTTACTTCTAGAGGATAAGTGCTGACGAATGATCATTTTAAAAATGTTAAAATATGACAAATAATGAAAAAGCCAACTTTAGTTAGGAAAAGCGGTTTGATTTTAATAGTATAATTATGCATTATAGTATCACGCATGCAAAATCAAAGCCTATGGAAATGTCGTTTGCAAGGAGACAACGATGTTCAGACTACAAAATGGCACTTGTCACATAATCCACTATATGTTTGACTGATCAAAGCGGAAAGTTGAAATATTTCATGGTTAAGGTCTTCGAGATAAGAGAATTTTGTGATCGCAAGTACTGACTGATTACGCTCGAAATTGACATCAATAACTGAATTGTAGGTATATTCTTCCAAATCTAACTTTCCATTACACCTCACAACTTTCAATCAGCAATTTAGTTTTCATTCATTTCGAACTATAATTTCTACAATCAGTTCTCTACTTATAGTAGATATTGAGATTTACACTTCTTTAATTTATATCATTTACGTTCACTGTATTGATGTATACTGTAGCAACTTGCTCTAACCTATAATTTAACAAGGTCTAGCCTTGTTTATAACTATCAGAGTTATAAATATTAGTCATTAAATATAACATGTACACTAACATCATAGCATTAAAGTACTCGTAATTCCAGGTTGCAACAAATGAGAGTAAGAAATCTTGTCCAAACCGAAAAGACAATTCCAAATTTTGTTAAGATAGAACAGTAAGACAATTTGTTAATACTAATTACCTTCTGTTTTACTTTTTAAAAAGTAATAAAATTAGGATAAGATGAAGACAGAAAATAAACCTTTGTGAAATACCGAAAACAGTAAAGAAATCATATATGTATATAGTGTTAGATAATCTAGTTTTAATTAACTAAGCATGCTTACACGAAGAAGTTAATTAAACAGCTGTAATGAAGAAAACATATACTGAAATTAATTATTACTAGTCATATTAAGGTAGGTAGTTTATGCATAATTCAATATAACAAGAGTGACATATTCAATATAACACAAACATTGCTATACGAAAAATGATTACTTCATAATTCATTCTTTTATTTACAGTTGAAAAGAAAAACGGGATACACTTATAAAGTATTATGATTGAAATCATTCACATTATAATGAACAAGTTCACTATGAGACATACTGACTAGTAAGGCTTAATTGGTTCATCACTGTGTAATGAATACGTGAAAATCCATACTTTTGCCTCTGTCAATTTTTTTTCAATTTGATCGACGGATGTTAGTTATATATCCATGATATTTGCATAAACGTGATCAAGCGTCCGTATGTAAACGATGAAAGAAATATAGTGGCGATAATTTGCAGTTTTAATATCATTGAAGTTTAGTTTTTATTACAAACGGGAATCAGACGAAGAATCATTGCACTTCAAGAAAACAATTTATAGAAACATTGTCATAAATATGAACACCTTAAAGTAAATCACTACAAGCTATACTAGAGAATGATTGAAGTAAAGCTTAAATTTATTTAGGTGGAAGAAGAGGCTCATTGTATTTTGATTGAAGGACTGTGCTCATCAGGAAACCTAAAAGCTTTTAGTTAGACCCTATTTGCACATTGATAAAAGATCTTAAAATAGAACGAAGCAGTTGTCCAAACTTCCATTATATTCAATAAACCATCAGCTGATGTTATCTTGTCACTGATATTATTTCTGAAGTACATGAATTTGTGAAGACTGTTATTCTGTTGATGCCTCATTTATTCCCCACTTTTTCAATTTAGGTGGTCAATTAAGTTTATTTAATAACCAATACTAAAATAAACGCGAAGTAATAATATAATATACTGTATTAGGCTTGATGAAAAAATTCCTACAAGTACTTCCAAGAAGTATATCGTATGCGTTACGCTTTACTCAATAAAGTACTAAGTTAATGGGGTGATCCATAGTTGATGTAAATTATGATGATCGAAATTCAACCGTACATGACGTCACGGATGACTATAGTCTCAGCAGTCGAAAGTGAGGTACGTGAGTCGAGATCGAACATGAGTAGACAGTGGTCCCAAGATCAGGGATGTAACTATTCAGCTATCACAAAATTAACAGTTAATCATACTTCATTTTGATTCTAGTCACCGAGAATTACTCATTGTTTTATTCAGGAGAAAATCCGATGTAGTAGTAGAGTAAGCATGAACAAACCATAAAAATTTGATACCTATGATCTTAAAACGGTCGTTTGAATACGAGACCATTAAAAGAAAATTCGACTTGTTTTAATTTTACGAGCTTATTAATCCATGCAAGATAAACATAATACAACAAGGTTATCATTCATGCCATACATTTCATTACTTAAATTTCCTATGAAAAACAGATATTAGCAAGGGACAATTGCATATTCTATGGTCTTGTGCTGTCAACTGCTACTTTTAGCTGATTAAAACATAAGTGACCAGCATAAGAGCTAATGAAGCTGTTAGCAGAAAATAAATTGACAACTAACTGATCACCAAGTAGTAAACAATTTTATGTATGTCAAATACTTCATAGTGATGATCGAATACTATCCACCAAGTTCCAATGTGACCACTAGTCTAAGTGACTTGACATTGTGTGCACTGTGTTGAGATGTAAGGTGGCGGTTGGAAGTAGCCAACAGGAATCTCTGGATCTAGGTTTCATCCTGTATAGCACTAGTCAACAATGGAACTGCCGCTACCTGAAGAATTTGATCTGATGTCACCCAAAAGCTTGATACACAGAATCCTATCAGCGTTGAAAAAGAATTGACACTGGTCACTACTTAGTAATCTATCAGATGTAAATATAACGCAGTCCTACAGGTCAGTCATGACGTCAATAGATCAGTGGTAAAATCCTTGACTGTGAATATGGGTGGTGCGAGGTCAGGGAACATCGATTTCCCCAAGACTAAATATAATCCTAGCCGGAACCAAATAGTACAAAACCTAGATCTGGGGTTTTCTATTTCCTACCTCCAAACACAATCTTACTCAGAAAGTAAATACTCTAAAATTTACGATCGGTTAGAAGGCCAGAAAAATTCTATGGCACCTAAATAATGATCGCAATGCTGATTTCAATCTTAGTGCTTAACCAAAAAACTAAACTATCGGTTATTGATGAATGGTAAACAGTGAATTAGCCTGACTTTAGAAATAAGTAAACGAACAAAATCGAATTTGCTGTGTACACCGCTACTTTTTACGTAATCAAACAGATACACAATGAAAGTAAAGCTGACTAACCTTGTGATGGCATGTCTTCAGCAGTAAATCTTTCATCGAACAATACACTGTGAAAGAAAGTATATACGATTGCACTCTAAATGAGAAAAAAAACATACAAACAAAAATATAGCTTGTTAGATAAAAATAAATAACGGATAATATCTAAATTAATGTAGATATAAGAACTTCGGTCTAAATTTGAACGAATAGTTTCATTGTAGTTGGGCCATGAGTTAATGTAAGGCAGGGAGGAAAATAATATTTGTAAAAATCTCAGTGATTGAACTTAAATGAATCCAACGTTTCACTCGGTCATCTGGTCCAAGCCTTTTCAAGGAAATATAATCGAATGGCTCAACAATCAAACACCATATGAGCACAGGTCACTCTACAAAGCGGACTCTGAGTTCAAAATTACGTAAAAGGTTGTGAAAGGCAGTTATATTGCATCTTCTAAACATCACCGAATTATTCACTATACATCTGGAAAAACTGGAAGTGTGTGTCCAAACAAAATTGATACAACCTCTTTTTCTACCATGGTCGTAATATCTCATAATTTTCTTTTTTCTTTGTACTCTTCTTCCTTCTCAACCATCTGCTTCCCCTTCTACCTCCAACTGGTTTGTTTCTGTTTCTATGATCCTCCTGATTACATTTCATATCAATTTCTACAATTTATCTTATCGTGCAGAGCCATCCTTTTTCAGTTTGGATTTCCCTATTTGTCTTCATAAGAATCTTCAAGCCCTTAACAATAAAACTATTATTAGTTCCCCTGATAAAAATAATGTTTTAATACCTTTGTTCATTCTTTAGTGGCCCGGGATCTGACTCCCATTATATCATATGTTTGATTGATATTGAAATATACATATCGTCAATCTTCGTATAAAATTATTGACTTAAATCGCGTTAGTGTATAACTGAACTAAATAGGTCAAATACGAGAATGAAGTTTTGAATACTTGTATTTTGTACACTCGTTGATCGGAACAGACAATCAGAGAATCGCAGCGAATGAAGCGAAGAAGAGAGAGCGATGTGAAACAAAAGGATCTGCAGTGAAGGTGTGTGAGCCAATTCGATTTAATCAATCACTATAGCCCAACAAAAAATAAGCTACAGACAAGTGATGAATGGGATAAGGTCACACACATACGCTTAGATAAAAACAGTCAAGGTTGATAAGCCAGTAATTAATAAGGTCTAAATGTGACTCAAGTAGAATGAATAGATTGGCCTCTCTGTAAGCTAGAACACGTTATATGGGTTTAACATAACAACCGACAATACAATTCTACTTCAATGTTACCATGTTTGGAAGAATTTTATTACTACTATTGTCGTATTTATTAGAATTATTTTTAACCTGAAAATATGTATATATATTTGCGATTGTACGGCTTTAAAAATGAATTCTCTGAAAAGAGAACTCTTCGCTGAACCAATCTTTCTTTATGTCACAATGGGCATATTCCGTTTAACATCCTAAAAAGTCATCCAGTCATTATGACAGTATTGAAAGTAAGAATTTGCTGTAGTGTGTATGAGACATTTGGTGTGAAATGTAGAGAGAAGTGTGTATGTGAGTACATCTAAGGTAAGAAAAGTTTATTGACTGTATATTGACTCTGATCAGTGGTTTATTTGAAATCAGATAGTTTAATATTTTATGAGTCAAGCATATCAAAGCAGGCATAAAATGAAAATAAACAAGCAGAGAAGGATGCCCGCTAGCAATGGCATCTAGGATGCGCGTTTCGTCCCATTCGGGACTCGTCAGCCGGATACACCTACAACCCATAGTTGATGTTCACTTCGATATTCGAACTCAGTACCATTCGCTTCAAACCCCATCACGTTATCCACTTAGCTACTGAGTCCGGATAGCCACTAGCTTGTGGAATAGATTGAATTTTTAATTCAATTGTTAATTTTTGTTGTTTCAGTCCTCCCATTGATGTTTGAGACTGCAATTGAATAGTTTCATATGGCATGCAGGTGCATCCAGCTGACCAGTACCATATAAGACGAAACGCGAGTTCTGAATTACATTGATAGTCACTATCCATCTCTGCTTATAACGCTTGTGACTTAAGGCAATATCAAGGCGATCCGCACAGGATGCACATATATCAATAAGAAAGTGATAAACTGCAGTCCTAAACTTCAATGGCAAGACTCAGACAACCAATACGATAATTAATTAAATTAAAAGTTAATGTTTGTATCATTATGCTGGTCGAATTGATTGTTTATCAGATATTCGGATAAACCAACTAGTTAGAACAAGTTAAAGTAATTGTGTTTTTTTCAAACAATAAGTGTTAGATTAAATTGACTAAAATGTAATAAGGAGTTCAAGTTCACTTATTAATGGTTAGTTGCATTAGAACTGCTAACTGTTCTCCGTCTCTCCTATTAACACTATTTGGATATGCCCATATAAGAACAGATGCGGCTGTTAGTATCTCTTTGTATGAACTTCAACAGTTTTAGAGGATTCTTGTGCAATGCTGTCACCGACATATTTCCTGGCAATATACGAATCTCAAATGAAGAAAACATTGTGAACTGCTATTGTACAATAAAAATGATTATGTACAAAAAAATGTATTTTCAATTATGATCATGAACCGAACAATGTTAGACCACCATTGAAAACCTGGAATCAGTGGATGGCCATTTTGTCCTAGTATGAGACTCCTCGGCGCTACGCATCCTCTATCCCGCACGCGGGACTCGAACCCAGGTCTCCAATGGTAGTTTACCATTGATCGGTTCATGATCTCAATTGAAACTCAGCAATCTCCACAACCCTATACTGATAAAAAAAATGTATTTTAACAGAGAAAAGAGCTTGTATGAAATACATGCAAAGTAAACAGTTGACTATACCAATACAAAATAGCTAGGTAGATCTTCTTTTGGTAGGATATCAGCAAATTATTTGTCGAACAAAACACTATTGGTACGAGCAAGTGAGAAATAAAGAAAACACTGGGATTGTACGTTGCCAACGTCATTTTTAAAGGCGGCTATAGTGAAGTATCAGAATAAAGTATCAAACAGTACTTTGCTAACATCTTTCGATTTATAAACCGCATGAATTGTTGTTTTAAATTACATTGTTATTTATCTGTCAGTCAGTTATTATGTCGAGACAATCTTCAAATGTGGCTTTCAAAATATAAGTTTTTTCATAAAATACTCTTATACACTAGCACTGAACGCCTTATGCAATTTAGTTTAGTTTATACATTAAGACAATCATACATTAAAATACAACATATTTCGGTATCGAAATTCAATTTTAGTTTCCAACACCTTCCATGCAACGATTTAAATATAATGACAAATATTTTTTGTACTGACCGGTTTACAAAACAATATCAAGAAGATGGGGATGAAAACTTTTTCAAAAAGGAATGAGAAAAATTTCACTCGAAAAAAAATACAAAAATGGCCGTGCAGTAAATGGTTACCAAGAAATAATGTAGTGTGATACCATAAATCATCTCATAATCAGTAAATTCATGTTTATACTATAGTATAGTATGGAAAAGAGATGACTTACAAAAGAAATATTCATGTTTGCTCAAAACTAGAATTTCATCACGTTTATTATTTATTTAAAGAGACTTTGTGATTGATGTTTCAAGTATCATTATAATTCTAATGACCTTTTTTTACGAATTTTTTTTCCTTTTTGTATAAGCAGGAAATATAGGAATTCGACCTATTGGCTCAAGTGTCTGTATTCATAAAAAAATTTGTAACATCTTTATCTCTTCCTTGGCCGGATTAGGCTTAACAGACGGATTTTTGTTGTTATTATTATTCCATAATCTTTGTTTATTTATCTTTCCTCACCCTTTTTTTTCCAAAAATATACTTCACTGCCCAATTATCTGAACATTTCTTATTATATAATCTATTTATAAAGTCAATCTATTTGCTATAATGAAACATAGATTCAAGTCTTTATTATTCTTATCACAACTAGTACACCTGTAATCACACTATCAATTTGTATTTTTGTCTATTATTTTTATTGCACTGTTATGTTCACTGATATCACTGAGTGAAACTGTCTTGATCGGTCAAATAAATAAATATTACTGTACATGAGAGTAAAGCCTATTGAGGATTTAATTGAAAACAATATTACATATGTTGTTCTCATTCACAATATGGAGATTTCTACAACTTTCTAAAATATCAAGTAGTTTTAAGTAGGAATGGTTGTTAAACTGTTACTGCTCCTATCAATTTGGCATTTAACACGATGTGCTAATGTGATGTAGTTACCTGAAGCGATACACAAATGCGTCAGATGCTACGTAGCTAATAACTGACTTACTGATCACATTTATTGATAGGATATTACAGTTGCTTTCTGTGGTTTCTCATTTCTAGAACGCGCATTAAAAGCAATCACGTTTCTGAATACCATCAAAAGCTAGGATTTACTGACATTTAACGTCAAGAAGAAATGAACTCTTATCAAAAACCCAATAAAAAGTAGATGGCAAAGAAAATAAATATCTAACTTCTTACTTTGGACACAATATCATCACCTGAAAGTAAGCTGTCTGTTAAAGATTGCACATGATCTTGAGATCGTGTAGAACTAATACTTATTGAATTTAAAGCATTCATGATATGCGACACAGTTTTAGTAACAGCTGAATTTGGGAAACGTTCTTGCAATCGCGTTTCTAATTCTTCTAAATCTGAAACACGACGATAAACTCTAGTTGGAACTCGACAATTTTCCCGCCAAACATTCATTGGGAAGTAATAATCCTATAAGGACGAAATATAAATTACTATCAAATAAATATATCAAGAAAGAAACGATTTACTTTACAAAATATATATGAAACAATTCGAAAATTATGTTCAAATATAACTCTACAGTAGCTTTAAGTGTAAAGTTTGAAGGTAAGTTTCATAATACATTTACACCAAATCAATAGTTGAAGTGTATTACGATAGCCAAGAAAGCTTTAAAAAGAACAATGTATGCAACGACTTCAGGTATGTAAGACGTGAAAAATAACATGTGTACATTACAGACCTCGTCATAGATGTTACATTGATATATGGGTAGAACTGGCATATCTTAGTGGCCAAAATGAACTGCAAACATGTTTACTGAAGTCCTGTCATGACAAACAGGTTAGTTTGACCTAGTGAAGAAACTTTCAGATTGTAAAACAAAATGGTACTACCGACTTCACCGGAAGACAATGGCAGACGATAGTTTCCCATGGATAATTAGCACCTCTAGTGAAGCTACTATATTGGAGACAGTTATATAGGTTAGAAAAGATTGGTTTTCACCCACCTTCCTTATGAATTTTCAGCTCCAGTGGCAAGATTTCAAGAAGTAGGGATCCAATATTATAGAGAGAGAGCTACTCTTACAGAGTTTTCAACCGTTATTCAGAGTCGCTCTAATGAGTCGACAATACTTTTGATGATTGGTTAGTTTCTTCAAAAATAAATGTTCTACAACAATATAAGTAATGGAAAAGTGCTAATCCCTTACTCACCTTCATTAACACAAGGGCTCGTCAACTGTTTACTTTCATGTTTCCCAGGTTATCTCTAATGTCTTATAAAACAGCGCGGACAAATGCTATCCTTGGTCTCTCGATATCTTACTATTAATATTCACATCACACAAAAAAAGATTAGGTAACCGTGTTTCTCCGAGGCATAAATTAAGTATGATTATTCACTTAACATCAAGAAAGTAAAATACAAAACCAGATCAGTTCATCCTTCGTGTATCTGAAGACTTTTTAGAAACTTCTCTAAAACAGTAAACCCAATAAACACACATGTATACAAAGTGAATAGATATGCATCATTCACTAGAGGTTCTGGAACTTAGACATAGTATCGTCTAACTGTAGTCTCATTCCACGAACAGAAAACTATACATAACTTTGTTTATCGATAGATTTTATGACAGTATTTGTCATAGCAAAGCACACTGGAAGAATATTTAAACCCATTGAAGGTTCTTTATAACGTACACTACGAATCAAGTTAGAGTTTACAGTGAACTGTTAATGGAACTACCTACGTCAAGTGATATTCGTTCACTATCTCCGACTTATTAAATGTTGTCCTACATATCGTTTAAAATAAAGCGTTTCATCCGTCAAACTTTCAAGAGATTAACCCATCAACCGAAAAGCGTCTAGACATATTAGAGTATTCATCAAATGACGTATTTCTTTTTACCAGATGACGAATGTAAGCTTTCTGAACACAGTATGTTGTAATACAAAGATGTTTGAGATGAGATTCTCTTCATCTGAATGGAAAATATTGCTTCGAAACTCGTCCAAGTCAACTATTCGTTTGATGATTGAAAGAGATGTGGTCAGATGTGTAAAACATCTCAATTATCTGCAACTGACAAGATTTATCCACGAATACATAAAGCCTATTAGACTTTAGTGAACTCAGGGGTAATATTCATCAAAGGGTGAACATACCATGCAGTAGGTTCCTCTCTATTGTTTGAAAGCCATGAAGCATGACCAATGTAATCAGGGGAAACATGAGAAGGGTGTGGTCATTCTGATCATGAGAATTTCACAAGAAGTGGTTAAGTATGATGATGCCACCAATTTAATAATATCGAACTTAGGTGTAGAGGTTTAGGTTAAAGAAGTACATAAAATATCCAATGACATGGTTGGAAGATATATTGTCTGGCCCTATTGGCCGTCGGTTCTGATTTTGTACGTTAGCATAAAAATTAGTTAGAAAAACGTTAGGAGCCGCCAACTGAAAACATGTCATTGGTTTATGCAGTCGGTGGTCGCCGGTCTGAGCCGTGTAGAAAGATATGGGCTTCTAGTTAAATTCAGGACGATAATTATGATCTCGGTTTGGAAACATTAGGCAACATGGCACAGTAACACGGTCCCGTTTTACTTTTCTCTCTTCCTTTAAATATTGTGTTTGATTCCATTCCACATTATTCACGCTTTATTTCAACTAGTTCTTGTTAAACTATTTTTAAAATTTTGGTTTCCCGTAGAAATTCATATTACAGGTTATCATTCACCGTTTCATACCAACACTCACTCTAATGCGATGTGAAGTGTGGCATCGTGGACCGAAACATATTCATGTCAGGTTCTACGTTGTGATTATGGGACAGATTATAGAACAAAAAGGAAACATGGAAGAAAAGCAAACTCATCAAATGCTCTCTCACTTATTTCCTCACACTTAACCAAACTCACGGAATGTTTATCGTCGGTTTTCTTTTTCACCGCAGTTTCCACCACAATCGCATCAATAGTTCCATCTGAGTCATTTCTGTCAATATGATATTAATAGTTTTATTATTGAATATGAGGTAGAAACAAATAGACATATACAAATATGGAAAAAGAAAGGAAACGATAAAAATGAAAACAAGTCAGGAATTAAGTACACTGATATTAAAAAAATGCAAATAACATTTGATAATTTGAAATAAATCGGCAGTTATTTGATTAGGCCAATTTCTTTTTAAAAAATTATTTTTTTATTTGCTTCTCGTCAGCTGCTTACAACCTGTGGTATTCAAAAATCATAAATCCTATCTCCTAATGTTATTACTAAGTATCCAAACTCCAGTCTGCTGAAGCCGTTGTTATCAGGCGTTAAGATCTTGATTTATGTGTTCATAAGGAGTTGGTTGTTATTGTATTATTACCTTGGTGACAAATATTCCTTCTTTGCATCATAAAACTTTGTTCAACTCTTTCTTTCAATTAATCACATCATCACGTATTTCCATTCCAACTGTCTTCTAGATTAGCAATCTTGTTTTTATTTACGGTGCTTTACTCATTTTATTATTACTTATCATCAGCGTTTACTCAATACGTAACAACCTGTTTCTACCTCTTTGGACTTTTGTTACTACCAATGTTATAGAATATTCTTTCATGTAAGGAGGTATATATTTACAATATTTTATTCAGTCTATTAAATTTAAGTACACCCTTGCTAAACTATACTGATGTGCGATCATAGTCACTTCCAAATAAACTCTTTCATGAAATTAATTTAAATCCAATTCGTAATTATGATTTTTATATATAACAGGTTGTAAGCAGTTGACAAGGACCAAATGAAATCAAACGAATTCATGCTATTCTGCTCAAATGATTACTCTAGCTCTCTTCAAGCTGATAAAGAGAACTACTATGTATGTGAAATAAAATTATTATTTATATAAACTAATGACTAATAGTGCATTTGATCTTTTTATTTATATGGGGAATCGAACAGATTGTTTTTTATTACCTTAAGAACCTAGTACTTTTACTGATATTTCTAATTCGAGTTTTGTTTTTAAAAAATACCATAATTGAAAGCGTTATCCAACTGATTTTCTAAAGAACAACTATGTATTGTTAAGTCCGTAGAGAAATACTACTTGTATCTATTAAGTACTTTAATTTTGATGAACATTATTCATCAAAATACTAGAATGTTACTTTTCAGCCAAAATGCTAACTAGTCAATGGTGTCTTATTCTTATACTCTATAATTAATAGTTAGAAAGGAAGATATTATAGTGAAAAGAAGTGTTTTTATTGTCCAAATGACAAGAGTTCATGTTATTAAAGAAAATTCAAATACTATAAAGGAAAAACAATTCACTTTCATCTTTTCATACTGCAATTACAAAGTATGGTAAGTAATCTGATTCACCCTATTTACTACTTTTCAAAAATTTTCCTTACATAATATCAATGAAGTTCAACCACTTTGATGTTAACATAATTATTAAATTATCATAATAATTATGAATTTATTTTTTTGAAAATAAAAAAGGTGGACCTCAATTATTTTTTCTAGAAAAAAATCTGTATAATCATCTTTAGATAATAATAATAATAATAATAATGATAAAACCATTAACTACTGATAAGGTTAGACATTTGATTCAATCAAGTGCAAAATACACTTTGAAATTGTTAGTTTAACAATCGTTAAAAGGCAATGAATAATTTGATGCCTCGTATTTTTATTGCTCATACAGTAATTCAGCAATAGAAAAATGAATTACAAATGAACTAAAAGATGATATATACACATATTTTAAAAAATATCCATAAGTATTAGAATACTTCATAAAATATTTTACAAACTGTTAACTCAGTTGGAGTTCAGGTAGGCAATCATAAAAACTTGATTGTTTAGTTTTAGTATGTGACTTCTCAGAGACGTGGATCAATGGCAGTACGACAACTTCATATCACCGAGTTTACATTTAATCGTTTTTGAATATACAAAGGGGGTTTGGAGTTTCGTACGGCTAAGCCTTTAATAAACGTTTATTTGCTTGTCGATCATAACTCTACCTAAAACTTATTTAATTGCGAATAAAAGAATGCGACTGAATTTGAAGAAAAACGGGTAATGGAAATATTATTCAACCAGCTCTCTCCAAATTCAGAACCTGTCACAAACTATCACAGCAAAATGGTAAATAAACTTAAGTTCTATTTGACTATTCGAGTGTTGTATCAGATCATAATGTCAATAACAAGCATACAACTATGAGCTCATCACCACATTAATCATCTAGCCGAAATGTTCTGATTTAAATTTAAAAGAGTATGAATTAGATAAAATGATTGATCGCTTCATAGTTAAATGTACTGTTCTAAATTGTTTTGTTTAGCAGAATAATGACTCGCTGTATTGCATTATACATTTTACGGATTGCCAATATATAGATGAAACAAAAAAGAATACACTATCTTAGGTTTTCTCAAAAATAAATTATGCTTATCACATCACTCATAAGGAGTTATACATAATTAAAACCATAGCAACTTAAAATGAAAGGTACCAGAAGTAGTAAACGTCAGTATTTAGGCGACAAACTATGTCTGGTGAAAATATATGATAAGAATTTGATGAGGAAATGTTATTCTTCAAATACGTTCTTTTTTGTGGAGAAAAAAAGGAAAACTTTGGACGAGTTTTAAAAAAGATTAAAAAAATTATTCATTGAGCCAAAGTGTACTGAATTTTTCTCGTCATTCATTTGAATTACTGAGGAAAATATATCAATGACATAAAAAAAATGTTGTAGAATGACAAATACCTAAAGACATAATTCAAAGCCTAGCCTATTGTGAAGATGCTTGAAAAGGTTCCAGAAAGAAATCCCTCTTTATTTTGTCATAACAAGAAAAAAGAACAGTTCGATGTTATATACCTAACTCTGTTAGGAGAACAAGACAGAGTATGAAACGTATTTCCGATCCAATGAATATCGGTTTCTTTTCTAGTAACCAACAACATGATTTTACAACTTTAAAGAGAGATGACTGTAGAAAACTTCCTTCAAATGTCTTTTTTCACAAAGGATTGAAATCTTTAAGTATTAGACCATTCACTAAAATGAATCTTTAGTGTAGATTGTTTCAAACGAACTATTGCGTAGAAATAGAGGAAACATTTGAAATTTTACAAATAAGTACGTTTTACCATATTCAAAACGAAGCAACATTGAAACATCGACTTATTTAATGTTCTCATCAACTAATCCCAGAGTGTTTGATTATGACCAATAACAACTCAAGAAAGGAATCATCATTATTTTAAAGTTTTTGAGCTATTATTCTAATCGAACATATACATAATATTTATATGAGAAGACTTACGTGAAGCGTTTCGGGTTAAAACTAAATATTTGTCCAGTTCCAGTGTAATTTGAAAGGGAATTACTTATAGTCGGAGGGGATCGAGTCTTTGAATCACTAACCAATTTACCACTAATGTTTGAATTATTGTTGTTAACTCTTTTATTATTGTTACTATTCATATTATTATCTGTATTCCAATGATTATCAAATTGATTGTTTATGATTGGAGGGGAATTATTGTCAGATGCATTTGTATTTGTGCCAGAAACACCTCCACCATGAGAAGCTTGTTTAACTTGAGCCAATCCATGTACAAAAAAGTTCAGACTAGAAGATTTTGAGTGTAAAGTCTTACGAACTAATCTGTTAAAAATTATGAGTTAATTAATAAAAAAAATAAAACGAGAAAGGATTGGTGAATTATTGGAACGAAAACGAATAAAATGTAAATCGACTAGTGATCTTTATCTACGTTACTATCATTATCATTAGAAAACTGATTAGTTTGTCGTACATGTTCAATAAATACGAATTTCTATTTCCATTCCACAAAGCAATCAAATGAATGTTTTGCAATAGTAAGACACTTGGAAGCTGTATTAAAAAAAGGCCATGAACCTGCATTTCATAGTTGCTGATATATTTTATCGATGAGTATTCTGTAAAATAATGGCAACTGAACATTATACATGAATGAGATTATTTGAGCAATATATTAGTTTGGATTTGTGAAAGATTATTGTTATTATTATTAATGGCTTTATTCAATATTACATTTTTGGTATAATATAGAATTTTCAGCACAAAGTATTCCAACAAGTTTCCTTTTCCTATTTTATGATCGATCCTGACAGTAAATATTGAATGATCGCCAATTAGATCGTAGCAGTTCAGGAAACGACATCTGAATAGTGTTCATTATTTTCAATGCATACTGCCAGTCACCACGATGTCTCTGATTGTACTTTTTTGTAAATTCTACAGCGAATGGTCATAAACCTTTTATAAACGTGGCTGAATAGGTTATGAAATTAATAGACATAATGATATGTCAAAACAAAGAAAATCAGTTAACTTGTTGAAATATCAGGATGACAGGAACAGGTGGCCCAGATATTCAAGCAGGTCGTCAATAATGTACTTACAGAACTATCATAAGAAAATCAATATTATACTTTTACTATATAATTATTAAATACTTCTATAATTGTATTTTTATATCCCTCTAATTGTTAACTCTCATTAATTGTTGTTACATGTCCTATTGTTTAGTTATTTTTAATTGGCTTTGGGTACTAATCAGCGATCAATTAGTGAAGGGAAATTCACTGATTCATTTATATGGAAAGTTCAGCTGACACATTTTTTTCAATTAGATGCCACCGCAAGTACCAGACAGAAAACGTCCGTATATTACAAAATGATCCCCAGATCATTTTATTGATGAACTACTTTTTAAATGAATTCATCATCATAGTGCACTTCACATGGACCATTTTATAAAAGAAAAAGGGAATTCAAAAGATAATGGTAATAATAGAAATATTTCTTATCTTACTCAGTAAAATATTGGCTCGCTTCTTGATCATTCAATTCTAATCGTAATGCTCTTAAAACAAATCGAATACAGTCACGATTTAATCCTGGTATATTCATTGATAAACTCTTTGTGATTAGAAGAAAAAAATCAAATCAAGAGATAAATAACAGGTGTAAGGGATAAAAAAAACTGTGATAATTATACCACAAAGATTTAGTCAGTTATAACAAACAGAGAACCTAACACATATGTGCATCAGTTAATGTTATCTCAGCACATAGTATAGAAAAATTTACTCAAATTCCAAGTCATCTTCGACCAAGACTGTAGCATATAAATGGATTTAGTTATTAGAAGATACAGCATAAATGTTAAACATCTATTAATCCTTTGAAAATGACTGTAATATTTTTAAGATTGATGATAACAAAAATCGACATATTTATTTGTCAGAGTTTGCATCTTTTTCTTGGTGATATTAAAAACCAAAAGTGGTTAACATCTATTAATATATGTTCATCTTGAGTGGATTGACGTGTAGATAATATGTTGAGGCATGGAACGACAAGTACTGGGTTCAAGTCTCAGTGGGAACACAAACATAGGTCGAAATGGGTCAAAGTGACAAGCCCTAAATAGGACGAAACATGAGTCCTAGCTCCCAATAGTAACCATAATCTGAATAAGATTAGATATATTTGGGTTGGGAAAGTGTAAAAAATCAGCTAAATTCGTATTGCCCAGTTTTAATAGTGATTCCCAACTAACCATACTAAATTATTATCCGAGATGAGGTTTTCAATTTTAAACGGAAAAAAATATAACATCAAACTAGACAACATAATCTCAACCACATAACAGTTAAGACAATTCCGGGAATTCTGTTATGACCTTGAATGTCTGACTTTTCGATCACACGACTTATCTACCAATCCGGATACGACTTATACGAATCTTCACACTAGGTCAACCAATGACGTTCAACCGGTGTGGGCAGTTTAGCGTCCTTATTGGTCCTATGTCCTACGAGCCCTTCCACTTGAGTCCAGAACAAGATACCAGCTTCCGAATCAGAGCAGATCGTTTATTTCAGGCATACTTGGTTTATATATCAATCATACAGACCGCAACGTACCATAAAATAGGAAATAATATTTGTACACAAATAAGCCCAAAAAGTGGCTGTGAATGTGGGAGGCAGTAGTTAATAAACTGAACATAACTTAAGAACCGTAACTCGTACAATAATAAATTATAGGCCAAAATAAAGCTTGTCATAAGAGGGATATAAATATACATAATGTAATTGTTGAATAGTTATACAATAAGAATATTTATAGGATATTAGTCCATGAATAGACCTCGCAAGTTACCTGTAATTTAATCTCCACTCGGATATAACAAATTCAAATAAAATATTATCAACATTTATTCATATCACTTACTAATTCAAGCAATGAAATAAGTTGATATGAACGATGTCTTAGTAAATTATAAGCTTCACAACATCTGTCAATAAAGATTTGTACACCTTGTTGTGAATGACTAGATCCATGACCTGGTGTATAACCAAATCCTGATGAATTATTTACACCATACGGTAAATCTGTTACATCTTTAGAATAGGTATTTAAGACGTGTAACATATCTTGTGTCAACACGAAAGGTACACGATCTCTGTGAAAAAAAAGTTGATAAATAGTAAATCATATGTCATAAGCGGAAAATAATGGTGAAGGGAAACACAAATAGAAAATTTTGTATAGTGGTCATTAATGCAATAATGTATAAATCAAATAACTGCTTATATAATGCTAATTAATCAATTTTGCTGAGAATGTAAAGATATTTCGATGAAGCAGAGCTCCTAATGGATACATGTGAAAAGTGTATGACAAATAATGTTTATGAATTCACTTAACTTAATACCAAACAGGATAATTTACTAATAAAGTGATAACTTATGACATTGATATCATTTAGAAGAAAATTAATCTGTGTTTTGAAAAGGTAATCAGTTCGCTTGTTTGTTTGCTGTGATAACCAAAAGCTGATCTCGTTTTGTTGACTACAATTTACAAAGTCCTACCCTAAACCCCATATTCGTCTCCCTATGAAATGTTTTTTACTATTTAATCAACGATTTTAACACACATGGTATGGTTATGAATGTTCTTGCATTACTAAGACATTTCTTTTTATCTGAAGTTGCATTAGATTCCTATAATTTAAATCTAATAATCATAGTTCACTGTCTTATTTATTTCTGCTCCTCATATTTAATGACCGCTCAACTTTATTGACCACATAACAGGAAATTACGTAAGCCGTGATGTATAGCAGCGACTGAGTTAGTCAGAACTCTCACGTATATGTCATACTTTGTTTAGTATAAAACAAAATTAATAGATTTATAACTCAAATAACTGGAGATTAAGTTATTGAAAATAAAATGTTACCGTTTTCATAACACTGTAGACATTTTTAGTCATCACAAGGAGAGGAGTACACCTACAAGACATAATGTATACCCGTTTAACTGTCTGTAGCTTACACAAAGAATTTCAGTCCTATTTTTTATCGATTAGTTTAAATTAAAGTTTATCCTGTTTTGGCACCAAGTGCAGAACTATTGTAAAGAGAAAGTATTAGATAACTGTTTCGTTCTACGATGAGAAATATGGCATTTGATCCACGAAAGTTTCACAGATGTGTTTATTTTGCTTTATTCCATGTATCTATATTTCCATGCACATATGTTCTCCTTTCTTAAGAAGAGAAATTAGAATTAATAACTTATCTTAGAAGTATTATATCCCTTGTCTACCTAAGCATTCTTCAATGAGAGTACGAAAGAGGATTGAGAAATTCAATCACCAAAGAATCAATTTACAATAATAAAACCAGCTCGAATCCAATTAACTAAACCAACCGTAGGATGACACTCATCTTGAGTTTCTACACAGACATTGTAATACAAAAAAAACACTCAATAATTACATTATATCTTAAAAAAAAACAGAGAAATAATATGTACACATATATTTACAAACCTTTTAATACCAGCAAATGTCTGGCTATTTCCAAATACCTTAGAAAAATCAACATGAAATACATGGCCAGAATAACGTATCATAATATTGTCATTATGCCGATCACCGACACCGAGTATATACGTTGCTACACAGCATCCAGCCAATGAACGTAGAAAATTATCTAAGGCCTTTTTATAATAGAAAAAGATAATAAACAATCACTAATGTAATCAATCAACATTATCATAAGAGAAATTATGTCAACATGCAATGTGAAGCATAACTAAGTCGATGGATTAGAAATAGAGAAATCTATCATCATGTGGGCCGTGAACGCTCACTGTTGGGGAGTCCCGTACTAAGACGAAACGATTGTTCAGTGCTTCCAGTTTTTCAATGGTGATCTGAGTTACATCGGTTCATGATTACAATGAAATTCGTCAAACTTGATAACCTCCGGCTGACAAATAGATATTATTGTATTGATGATAAAAAAATATGTTTGCGTGTCAAAAATGTGTGATACTATCTCATTAGTACTATTGTGAGTAATGAATATATTGATAAGCTGTTGCATATCCAGATCACTAGTAGTCAACTATGTCATCATAGAACTATTTTTAACAAAATGAAACCTGCATAAAAAACAATCCTCCATGAACAGATTACTAGTGAACATTGAAATATCATTTGATAAACTGGCTGTGTGAAAAAGTTTTTTCTATAGTTCTTATTCTATAAATGCACTTGAATACTAAGTAGAGACGCTTCTGGACGTGTGATAGACAAAAGTTCTATACTATGGTTACTTTCGATAAATCTTACCAGTATAAATCCTCATATTTAGTGACAATGTAAATCATCTGATATGTATTAAATAGCAATGTTAACATAAGTAAATCATCATTACTGAGTTCATTAAATTAACTAACTCGTTTATAATCCAATTCAGTAATATTTTGTGATTGCAACCATTTCGTGATAACACCTTCTTTGAAAGGTCCAGTTAAACCACCACCTTGTTGTTGAATCTGTCGAAGTGTACTACATTCTGAAACCTGATATAAGAAATATACAGAAAACAATAGTTTATTTTTTCTGAATGCATTTAGCATAATAATCTGTAATAAAGAATGTAAAACTATGCAGATCACTAATTGAGTGCATATATTTTGAACAAACATAATCTATGTGCAAATATGAAAATTCACCGATATTATCAATCAATATCTTATAGAGTCAACCACATAAATTACACAAACGATTATCGGATAATAAAATTATCAGAAATTGAGGGCTATTAAACATATTAGTAAACTCTATTATCAAACTTCTTTATCAGTTTGATCATGAGATCGAGTTTCTTTATCATAATTAGTATGATACCTTCATATCAATGAGTTAAAGTATAATTAGCTAGATTCTTTATTTCAATCAATTCTTTAGATGATTCAACAGCCAACGAACATCTGCAAGAAGTTACTGTTCTACTTCAGACTCGAGCAACATTTATGATCATCAATTTTCACTAGGTTACTAGAGGAATTTGTGGCAAAACTAATTAAAAGTAAGCAAGATTATTTGGTAGTTTTCATTCCAGTTAAGGATATTTTAAAACTATATCCTTAAATAGGATCAAACATAGGATTCTCAAGTGGAAAGCTTGGTTATGTCTTTAATGATCGAACGGTATTACGAGTATAGTGAGACCTGTAATTCATCGATCCATGATAGACAAATTATCAACAAGTTTCAAAATAGAAGCGGAACTTCCTAATAATCTATTATCCTCCAACTAATGTTGATGAATACTATCCAAATGTTCGATTTTTACTAAACTTACACTGACGATAACTGACAAGTCATTTAAAACCAGAAAACAGTGAAAAATAGACCCATTCACATCTGAGACACACTAACAGTCTGAATTGACATAATGCTCTGAATCCATCACACAAAATAAAATCTAATATAAGGCTGATTGACGTACAAGTAAATGATGAACAATAAATTATACAGTTAAATATAGATTCACGGGTGTTGATAATTTTGATTTAGTTAATCAAAACTAATTCAATACAATTAGTTTCGCATATCACTCATTAATAAACCAAAGATGATATATGATGGATTTTTATCATCCAATATGGCACAAATCCATGAAGTCACTGACAAGTGGACTGAGTCATGTTGGTAGGTGTAGAATACTTGGTTGGGATCCACGAGATGATAGCAACCGATGGTTAGAGACTTTAAATGACATAGCTCGAAATCGTTTGCAATGACATAGGTGCATCCACTCTTTGTGTTCTCCAAAGTTATAATATTCTGAATTCTTCATGTCCCTTTTCTCCTCTTTCCAAATTTATTTCACCGGATTATACTCTTTGAATTACATCTTCAAACCCTAATCTCTCCGACTACAGTTCATACTTTAACTACTTCTACCACTATGGGATTGAAATTAACAATTATATCTCTGTGCTAATGTGATATGGCAACTCGAATTGATGTACGTACGTACGTGCGAAGTTCTACATTGTCATTGTCTGTCAATGAACTTTATGTAGCATGTCAAAATAAAAAAATCAGACAAGAGACAAAATGTACTGTTTTCGCACCTACCAATTCAATAAAACCTTTTTGTTCTTCGGTTGGCAGAATACGAAAATGAATCATGCGTAAATCTAATCCAGCATCTAACCATATTCGGTCCATAAGAAAAGTCAGCTGACAGATTAAACTATCCAGGCGTAAATCATCACCAACCTTAACGAGAACACAATGAAAAAATTGGAGATAATAAATAAATTTAAAAATAACTATCAATATAGGCTTGTGAAGATTGTTGAGTTTTGAGTGAGAACATGAATCAATCAATGTTAAATCACCACGCGTAATGCTGAGGAGTTCCATACTAGGATGGAACGGCCGTCCAGTGCTTCTCGGTTTTCAATGGTGATTTAACATTGATCCATTAAAAATATCAATAAAAATAATAACGTAGATAGATTGACAAATAAACCACAATAGCTAGACATCATGATACAAGGAATAATAAAAGAGCATCTACTAGTTTTGTTTATTTGATATTGAAATAACTGGTGAATGAATACATGCACAAATTCTAGTTAATTTGATTATACTAGATTAGATATGTATCTCTCCTATCTTTTATCATAAAATGTAACACTCAATACTTCAATCTGGCTGATAAAACTGTATTGCAACCAAAGCCTAGATAGTATGAAGTTGCTTCTAACTCAGTGATGATCAGTTGAAAATAAAACATATTCTATAATTATTGACACTATCAGTGGATAACAATAACGTTGAATCAAAGGAATCTCATTACAATCGACAAAAATTATTTGGAAACCCATTTGACTCATAGCATTCTGATGTTTACATACGACATGATATTTTCCAGATTTCGTAAAGCAAGTGTGCTAGATATGGATAGAACTTTATACGAAACTATGAAGTAATCTAATATGCATCAGATATTGCGCGTACATTTACAAAAATGAACCTTAACACAACGAACCAAATGTAACTTCAGAAAGTAGAAGCATAAAATGAAATGTTCAGTTCAGTCAAAATTTCTAAAACCTTAAATTTAACTACTCACAAGTAGTTAAAAGATACAAATTAACAAAACAACCATGATTTATTGCTGAATGTTTATCGAAAAAATAGTTAATAATATTCACAAAATCTTTTGCAACGACTAGACACAACAGATTTTCGGAAACGTTCAGTAGATAGACTTAGCTTTTATTAAAGTAGTATTGACATCTAATAAGACATATAATCTTGAATAGAGCAAGAACAAAGAACTAGGTAGAATAACGTGAATTCATCTGATTTCATAGCAGCTGCTTACAAACTACGATATTTTAAAATCGAAATAATCGTCAAGTTTACATATAACAGTAAAATTGGATATGTATCATCATGGCGGAGTTATGAGTTTAGAATGCTAAAGTGTTGTAAATAAGTATAATGTATGAGAGAGGATTTTGGATCATCATACATAGTACGAGACCATATGTTTTCAGTCTAATGTGATAACCTTGGGCCTACGACATAGATATGAGCAAACGACAACAATATATACATGCTTAATGGTCTATATTAAATTTAAGATGTAAGTCAGGTTTCGTTAGAATTTAAATACGAAAAAATTGTGTGTGATAATTCTAAAATTTATAAAACTATAAAATTATATATACATAGGTATATCCTATGAATAATTAATCAAATAAGTAACTCTGTAAAAAACCATAATAAGTATCGGGGAAATTTTTTTACCTTAAACATAACCATAAATGGTTCAGTACCGGCATCCAATGCATGAAATACAAGTCTCAATGGACAAGTGAATGATGTAAAGTAAGAACAAGCCTTAAAAAGAAAAGAAAACATTGAAAATGAATCAAAACAATATCTGGCTATTTCGCATTTACACATATGCATATGTATATGAATGTAGTTTTTTAAGAGGTAAAGCTTATACATTTTAAGAGTGACATGTAACATAGTCTAAAACTAATCGAAGAAATATTGAACCTTTGAAATATCCTGGTTTAAAACTACTCCACACCGTACAGATAACTAAAACTAAGGGCTGTCATGATAACATTAAAATGTTAGATCTAAACAGCCGGCTGGTTATACATGATGACTATGCCAAATCAATAATCATGAAATAACAAGCATATGCCAATTGTTTACAGCTAATCGATTTTATAAAAGATTTCTATGGAACTAGCTGGAACATTGACGAAAGTTATGAAACAGTCGGAAAGAAAAAATGAAATATATCATCATCTAACGCTGAAATATCATAATATTATGTTTAGAATAAATCTGCCGAACAAAGGATATAAAATAGGGATTGAACATTATGACTTACAGTAATGTCAAGTCTATGAGTTATTAGTCCAGGGTTATATGGCATTCTCAAACCAAGATCATATTGAGATAGTTGATATTCACTTAGAATATTATCGGCAGATTTGTTTCTTGACCATTCTGAATCTAGTTTGGAGAAATCACTGATCAACTGATCATCTGCCCAAGAATTGGATCGTAACATTGAAATGTTTTTATCTGTTGTTTCAATGTGGGATGATGATGACGATATATCATGGTAGCTTTTAGAAAGTTCAGACATAAACCGTTTTAGATGCGTATAAAGAATATTTTCACGAACTGAAGCGTTTGGTCGAGCCTGTTTAACTTTTGTTGCTGGTTGCCAAAGATACACAGGGGAAGGCATTAATAAAAAACATAAAAATGAATGAATTCTTAATAAAACAGCAAACATTCTACACGAAATTCAATTAACCAACTAATAGTTTCATAGAATGCTCACTTAGGCCGATTACACCTCACGGAGGACCATAGGCTGTTAGTTTCTTCGTCGTGTCATATAGTTGTTCCATATTTCCTTTTCTTGCAGCTTTTTCCATGGGATAAAAAATTCTGAACCCTCAGTCTTCAAATTAACAATCAATGTCGTTCAAGGACACCGGCGAGAACCCTGTACGCTGATTGCTCGAAATAATTACACTGAAGTTTGTCCAATTACAGCCTGACCTTGATCCGCTCATTAAAAAAAATTGAGGGTTCAGAATTTTTTTATCCCATCCCCGTCACCAATTGTTAAAACTTGTCAGTTGAATGCCACTTGTTATATCTGGTTGTCGCTGATTGTTGTGTCGGAAACTCTTATCACTTATACTCGAAACAAGGGACCTCTGCAACTCCCACGACGCGAAAGTAAGAACACAAAGACTGGTCTAAGTGAAGATTTATTAACCCCAAAACACGACGACGACCCTAGTCGAAAATACTTATTTATATATTGATCGTAGACACACTGATTAAAAATTAGGATGAAATCATATTTATAAAAATACTCAGTTATAACAAATTACATATAGAGCATAGTTCACGTCAATTGAATACAAGAATATCGTATATTATACGGGATAAAATGTCATACGAGAAAAAGAAAACAAATACTACACTGAATGATCATCACATTGAATCAGAACGGAAGTAATGTTGAACAAAACTCATAATTAGTAATTCAATCGAATTTCGACTTTTCTTTCCATCATAGCACCTCCCCCAGTCCTTTATTGAAGATTCAAAGTTTAGATCCCACCTTCTTTCTATTGAATGATGTTTGATGGCCCCAGATCCATGAGATTCCCAACCCATAAGTGCTTGACTTGCTTCTTTGGATAGCATTAGATCAAATCCATGAGTGTGTGGAGCATTTTCTTCTCCGTGACAAGAATACAGCAGCATCTCTCTTGAATCTATCCTTTTCTGTCTATCTTAGACTACAATGAACCTCGCTGATTTCGAGTAGTGCCAAGTTGTATCTGCTCATTTCCATATATTTTGCTGGTCGTCCAGGTCTCCCGATTGCCCGGACATTCCATATACTTATATTAATTGTTGCTCTGGTTGTCAGAAGGGGCATCAGCCTCGTGACTCCCGAGGAATTTCAGCTTTCATCATGAGACATCATAACACTTCCTTCAACTCTGAGAACAGAGTTGAAGACAGATTTTATATGATTTAAGTTGTTTATTCTGGTTAGTGTTTTTTAGGAAGATTATTTTCTATAAGATGGGGTTGCAGACTCCACGCCCAACTCTCCACCTTTAACCGGGTTTGTGACCGACAGTAGCCCTAGAAGAGTTGCATGAGGAGTAGAATAAGAGTTGGTCAATTGGACAAGAATTTAACCCAATACAGTTATCAAAACAGGTGCTTCATTAGTAGTGTTTATGACAGCAAAATAATCAAAAATTAATTTAAGAAATATGTAAGTTCAACTATTTTCCTCGTAAACTCTAGGATTTTTGTTTTATTGGAAAACTTAATAGATTGAGTCCCACACTTACATATCTTTCTACATATATCTATATATTTATGTAATCTTCATAATACCGCGTTTACACCGAATATAAATATTACAATAAGTGTTCAATAACATTTCTAGCAATTAGAGTACATGAGAAACTACACCTTCAATGTCAATCAACGATTTCGATCACTAATTCAGTCCTGGAAGGCATGAAGATTAATTGATCATGATCGACAGTTATTTAAATAAACATACTGTTGAAATCACATACTATTTTCAGTGATGCGTATCATATTATCAAAAAATAAAGACATGACAATATACACTACAATGTAGAAGCCTATAATAATATAATATTTGTTTAAATCATATCTTCATTTATTGGTCAGGAAAATGTGAAGATAATGCGAAGCGATGAATTGCTGTAAGTCTACTTCTTATTACGATTATCATCATCAAACTAGGATAAGAAAATAACAGAATATTTGATCATAGATAATATGTAATAAAAACAATCCGAGGAGTAAAATTACGAAAAACGGTCAAGTATAAATATTTACCAGTTACAGACAAATGATTAATCATTTCCTCTTGACGTTTCCACATAGCATGTAGTCTAGAATTGGCATTCCAATATAGAGCGGCTTGAATAAAACGAAAACGTGGTAATTTCCATTCAGATAATGGTTGAGGATGATGTAGCATTGGATAAAGATACCTTAAACATTAAAAGGAATTCCATATCAGTGTAAATAAGACCAACAAATAACTAGTATTCCGTCGTGAAGATGAAAAAAAATTCTCCAAAATAAGTTTTAACCGAATTACAAAACAACAACATAAAAATAATAATGAATAGGTGAACCCCTCCATGTTACATAAATAGATAAACACATAAACTGATCTTGTTGATATTCTTCGTCTCGCCTCCGTCATTCTGAATCACCAATTCATTAGAGACGAACCTGATCTAATGGTAGAAATAGTATAATAGTACTTCATCAAGATACAAGCATCTTAATGACTGTATCCGAATTCCAGGTATAATTAATGCAAATGAAAAGCCTTAATTAATTGTCCGCCTACAAATGCTATCTACTGATTCATATGAATAGCCAACGCTGTACGACCTCTTAATCAATACTAATTAAGTGACTGTACATATTTTGATATATTATCTGAATAATGGCGTGATAAATACCGTATTTAACACCTACTCAATGCATAAAGGTTTTGTTATATCGTTAAGACTGTGGCTATAAAACCGGCAAAAAATTTTTGAATACTTTTCAGTATATACATTATTATTATTGCTCAAATATTTCATAATACATAAGGCAAAATATGGATAGGTAAAGAAATATTGAAACACTTAGAGCATTTACTATGACTTATAGATATAAATATGAAAAGTATGACTGCTTCTGCTTATTCCGTCACATGCACCGAGAGCGTCAGGAACGGACACATTAGCCCCTTCCTAGACTAAACCTTTCTTGATTCTCGAAAATCCGACGGAAAACAGAAAATAGAAGATATGACAAAAGTTGTAGTTGACAAGTTAGTTGATGTACAGAAACTAGATGTATATGTATGGTTTTAGAAGATCCTGGTTTTCTAGTGGCTTCAATCAATGATATTAAAGTCACTGAGATATTTGGTAACTGTACAGTCAAATTTCGAAACTAAAATCAATCACTTCCTAAAGGTTTTTTTAGAATTTTTACGAAAATGTTAATTAGTCAAAGTACTTCCAAGTTTTCTCTGATTTTAAAAAATTTCAAGGAATTGTAGATGACCAGTTAGTTAACCAATTCAACATGAGTATTTTAACTAGTATTGACAATGTTTAGTTATTATGAGAAAATTTGCGATATAACTGTTGACTGAATCTAGTTTATATTCAGAGATGCTTAAAAAGAATATACTTTCGTTGTGTACTTTATTCTTAACTTGTAACTTGATCCTATCATTTAATGAATTCGTTCGGTAAAACCGATAACTTAAATTCTTGGACAATCTAAAAAAATCACAATTTAAGCATTATACTTGACTTAATCACGATTCGTTGTAACTGTATCGATGGGGTTCGTCCATTTGTCATCAGTGTACAACGTATCCACCATACAGTTTACATAACGTAACAATTTATTAGTTCTTATTATTCATAACTTACCAATATAAAGAATTGGCGAATCGCATTGAAAATGCAGCTCTATATAAGAGTAAGCTTACTAAACCAGAATAATCAAGGTATAAATCATGGTTTACAGCCTAAAAGGAAAACAAATTGGAAGGATACGGAAATTATTTTGAAGAAGACATCAAAAATCAAACATGGACAAAAAATAAGGCCACAATTTATTACATAAAAATCATAACTTCCATTGAAAAACTAATAAGTACAGTCTATGTAGTTGATAAATAGCATGAAATGTAAAGTACAGAAGTATTTTATAAAGGATAATTGTAATCATAATTTGTTTGGATCTGAAATACACTATACACCCAGCAAGATCGATGAAAGCGACACATAACTAGGCTGAAGTTCAATAAAATGTTTAAAAAGAATGAATCAATGACAAAGGAATCATATTATAAACTTCAGAGTCTTAAACAGCGCTCAAGACCAGGAATTTTAACAGCACAAGGTGAAGAGTTAAACAGAAGCATATGACATACTAGTAACGGTACATAGTGCCAATTTCAGGTATTGGAATTTGTACTTTAACAATTTAGACCAAAGTACACAAATTTAGTGCAAACACATCTGAAAAACCTCTTATTCAATCTTTAGCACCTAAATAAAAAATAAATATAATCATACTTATGGAGTGATTTCAAACAACCCAAAGACTTAATCAGTCAGACAGACTAACTGAACTGATATATCGATGTTTTTACCTTAACAGTTGTTCTTATTTTGATCACCATGACATTCAGTGCACCTTTTCATAGTCTCTGATAGCACTTTTTATTATAAGAAAACGTGAAAGCTTAGGAACACGTAACTTTGACAAATAACTTAATTGATTTGACTTCCACAATCCTAAAGTTTGGTAATAAGACGAACGTACAAAAGGTGAGAATAAACAAACGTTTTTGTAAGTTACATCACTGACCGATCTTATCTCGACAACAGTTGAGAATCATGTGCACATAGTTAGCGAACTTCAAAAGCTAATTCTGGAGTTCTGTAGAGAAGTCGTGATCATTAAAGTACAATCGTGTCGGTTATGAGGCAGATGCAAACTAAAAAGACTGAAAGATGTTTGAGAATCATCAAAAACTAATAAAAATTAAACATGAAAATCATTGTCAGTTTAAAGATTTGAAAGTTAAGTGTTCACTATGCGAACTGAATGTCCTAGGATTGATACCGGGGGGAAGTCATTGATGCGCCATGTTGAGTCCCATACTAAGAAGAGAACGTTGTCTAGTGCTTCTTGATTTTCAAAGGTTGATTAATTAAGATCAAGACACGATGAAAAATATTAAAATTTAACAAACCCTAAAACCCTCATGGCAAAACAAACATTCATTGGAACACAATGATAGTTAGGTATTATAGTGATAAATAAAAACTTTTTTGTTACAACCCAACCCTACATTTCGTTATTGAACAATCGAATAGTAAATTACTATAACTATATATTGTAAACCATACAAACATTCTTAGTTAAATGAACGGTTGTTTTCTGTCGATTCAACTAGAATATTCTTAACTTTAAATAAGAAAAAGAGGATATTCCTAGATTTCCATGTGTGATACCATTCGGATTTCTTATTAATATTGAGGGAAGAATACTAGATAATCTGATTAATAAGTCACTACATATGAAACGTTAAGCAATAATTTATCGTGAGTCTAGACGAATTCGACATCCAGTGAAAATGTATCCCTAGGGCTGTTTAACTTGACCACATTGAAGTTAGTCGATCGGTATAGGTGACACCGGTTGCACTCATCTACATCGTACGTACATCCAACTATTGCAATTTATATCAACTGACAACCTAGCTATTGCAGGAATAAGTTGTACTCTAAATGAATATCAATATTCACCATGGTAAGTTTAGTAATTTTCATAAAGAATGATTACCTTTCGAATAAAAAAAACGTAAAAAGTGTACTAGTTATTAACAATTTTGAATTTGATACAGAGCATTCTAGCATACAACATAGACCATCAAACAAATAAATGACCATAGGAGTTAGGTATTTGTAAATAAAATAAAGATGAACGTTATCGCAAAGACACATAGTACAATAAAATAGAGCACAATTAAAAGTACCTCAATTATTTGAGGAAGATATAAAAGAAGATTATCTGATGACAGTAATGACAATGCTCTAGTAGCCCAATGACGTATACCTTGATCTGCAACATCCGATGAAAGTAGACGTAGAATGAGACCAGGATAAGGTACTGGAGTGACTGCTAAAAGACTGAAGAAGTAAAACAATATTAACTTGAATAAAATACCAGTTTTGCAATGAATTATAATTCGTCGTTGCGTAGCAAGCAAATGAAATGAATACCTTCAAATAGCGATTCAGTACACGAGTCAAGAAGGTGGTTCGGCTTACTAAGGTATTCAAAAAAATTTAAACAAGGTGGTCGGATCACTAATTGTTAGATCTAATCTCCCAGTCCTTATGGACTTAAATGAGGCAAAGACTGAAGAAGTAAAGATTGATGAAGCATAAGCAGTTATGTACGTAAGTTATACAAAAATTAAATGTATTGCTGGATGATTGAAACGAATATGGACATTATAGACAAGTTTGTATCAATCAGCCATAATCAACGTTTAACTGATAAAAACGTATTTCGACTTACGAAGAGAGATATCAAGTCAGGTGGGTTAATATGGTGGGAACTAAGTTACCTATGGGGTATTTATTGGAATTGTATGGCGATATACATTTTTTTCCAATTTTTGGTGGTTCTCTTTATGCATAAGGTTTTCTCATGAGGAGAAAAACAGAGTTACAAGTTGATAATGATAAGAAATAAAATTGTGACTACAAGCACTAAAAATAATTCAGACCCTCGCAGTCGTATAGGCAGGTTGACAATCCAATAAATTTAGACTAAATTGCACGCTAATCGGAAGAAAAACTAGCCACATTTCATTAATTAACTGTTCATTATGAGAGAAAAATTCAATATTTAGTTGTAGAATATGATAATTTATCGATTGAAGGTTTTGGTAGTCCGACCGCTATATTACGAATCATATTTTGAACGGTATGTAACTAGCTTTAAGATTACCAGATAAGTACCTTCATAAACCTCTAGACACAAAAGAAATTTGGCTTAACGTCGAGTCCGTAGTCGATAATTATTAAGTTACAGCAAATTCAGATTACCAATCTGAGAACTTTTTAATACCGATTATCCAAAGTGAAAATAAACAACTGCTTTTGAGAATACCTCAACGAAAGTAAAAATGCACAGGTAAATAATCAACAAAACATAGTCCACTGACAAGTATAAATTGAATCAAAGATTCCCAGGTTTGATATATCCATATCAAAGTTAGTGGTAATGTATCGACCAAGAATCGAATATATACTAATAGTCGATTTCTAGAAAAAGTATGGTTCACATGACTACTAGGCAGTACAAACCTTATTGTTACATATTAACCATTACGATAAGTTTTGTACACCCTAACATTCAGTAAATTAAACACTGAAAAGTTCATATACATAAAAAGCAATAAACCAAACTCCAATCACCTGTATATTTCTTTCAGTAATTTTTGCCAACACCATTTATCTGTATAACTTTTTAAATTCTGTCTTGTTGCTTGTGGCCAACTAACTAGACAACTGATAACAAATGCAATCATAGCATCAGGTACATCAATTATAGAATAACGTAAATTCCATAAAACTTCAATAGCGATTGCAGGTGGACATGGTAGATAACAAGCGACTGAATTGATATTACATGTTGTTAAATTATTACTAATACTATTATTACTACTATTACAACTATTAGTGTTATTATTATTATTATTACTGGAATTAGAGTTGTTGCCAAGATGGCCACTTGATCCACTACCACCACCGCTGATACCACTGTTACAACTAATATTCCCAATCACATTTCCGTTGTACTGATTAAAAGATGAATTCATAGAATTGAGTACAGCTAAATGTAAGACAGGGATTGGGACACGTTCTTGTCGTTTAGACAGATGCACTGATGATGATGCTGCACTATAAGCCATTAAACATCCATCAACAGATTTAAATGATAATTCTGGATTTAATATTTGCATGAAAATAGCAGATTTAGCTTCATTTATCGACTGTTTTGCATCGGAACAAAGTGAATGAAACGATGAAACTTGTCTGCGAAATGAAAAAAAGAAAAAAAAACTACTTCATATATGATTTCATAAGAATTATAACATGTGTATTTCACATTTTAACGTTATTTGTTTTATAAACATGTAGGAAAACACTTCAAAACACGAATGAAATTAATATCACCATATAGCATTTTGGCACATGACTTGGATGCAATTTTTAAAACAATACACAACACCAAAAAAAACTAGATACAAGACGTACAAATTACAGTTTAAATGATATTGATAACATTGTGAACCACTGGATTCCAAGATGTTACACTTAACACAAAACCTAAGTTACTACCGTTCAGCTTTGATGTGATATATTGAATAAGCAATACTGATAAGTTACAGACTATGACGAAACAATTATCCAAAATTACATCAACATATCATTCAGACTATAAAGAAAAGTATGCTGAATGTTGTAATTTACACAGAAAGTGTCCTTTTTCGAAGCATCTATCTATTGAAATAGACTAACATGAGCTAGTTAAACACTGTTCTGAATTCAGACAATAATATTTGACAAATATTAGAGATCTATAACAGTAAGAATGAATTAAAAGAAAAGAAAATATCTACATATTTATCCAAAAGTATTTAAATTTATATTATGTAAATAGTTGAAAGCGAGATTTTACAGTTGTAAAGTAATAGTCTCAAAAGTATAATAAGAAAGAAGTCTATAATACATGGACGAATATAAAATATAAATTTCGAATATAATAGGATGATTTTTGTTATATATTGAAAGAAAGTACACTTTTATAGGGATTAATTTTACTAAATGAATATCATTTATCTTCATTTAGTCAGTAGAGTTATAGAGATAAATGTAATCCACTAACGTGAAAATAGATTGATCAAGATATACATGAACAAGACTTACATTTCATTAGAGTTCTCCAATTCACTTTCTGATTGGATAATGACAGGGAATTCAATTTCATATTGATATTCAGGAAAACAAAGCTACAATCAAATAATAATAAATAAGTAAAGAAATACAATTATATACATTATTTACAATTTGATAGTAGATCATTAAAATACAGCTTCAAGGTAAACAGTCTAAGTCGCTTGCATGTAATATGCTACTCAAGCACAGATTCCTGAGTTAATGAAATAAGAATTGATGGACTAAGTAAAAATAAAACAACACTGAAAGCATCTTACCTGTACAACTGGACATCCTGGTGAACTATTTGATTGGGACCATGTAGGCCGATATTCATGCATTAATTCAGATGGTGGCCAAAGACCAACAATCATTGTGTTTTGTTTTAATCGACCATTTATATCGAATAAAGGTAAATTCACCCAACCGATTAACGTCCCGTCAACTGTAATAGAGTTTAATTAGTTTTCTATATAATAATAACATTCAACTGGAAAATATATCAACCTGTAAAGGTATATGTCAGTTGCACAAGAGATACTTTTTGCCTAATTGTTACAGAGCCTTTAACAAAATCCTAGGAAATCGTTTACTAAAGAATTATGCTAAATTTTGAATTCATAACACTTGACCAAAACATCAGATACATATTATAGCTTTAAGATAATTTAGAACTCTGTGGGTATTTGTATAGACTAAACAAGTGTTTAGCATGTGATTTACAGACTACTACCAGTCATCACTAATATATTTCATTAAAACAATTATAATATAGGAGAAAAAGTTACACACACCGTTTTATGAGCGCAAACCACTGAAACCGAATAATTCATGAGCATCGAGAGGAACAGATCAGCCTGAAAACTAACTCGTCATAGACAGACATCAATTAAGGAAAGACAAGCGGAAAATATAAAGCAGTTTGAAGTTATTTCCACTTACTATTACGACGCTGGTAAACAGAGTTAATCCTCAACACCATGCAACACGAAAATGAAATTCTTACACCTCACCGTGAACATTCATTCAGTTAATTGTAATTTGAATATCATTTCCGAATTTAATCAATGTGTGGTCAGTACTGGGCGGACATTTTTAAGGATAGCGGTCTAGTATTAACAGTGAGATTAACTGAGGTCTTAAGTAGAATTTCGGAACTGGACGTAATCCCACCTGACTGGTTTCAATCACTGATTGTGCCAGTCCATAAAAAAGGACAAAAGTCCTCTTGTGACAATCACAGAGGAATCAGTTTGACTAATATAGTGTCTAAAATTTTAGCTTTAATAATACTTCGACGCCTAACCAAATCTCGTGAAGAGCAGACTAGAGAAAATCAGGCCGGTTTTCGACCTGGACGTGGTTGAATAGACCACATATTCACACTACGTCAGGTTCTAGAACACAGCCACACATTCAGACGCCCCACAATGGTAGTATTTCTCGACCTTAAGGCGGCATTCGACTCTGTAGATCGTGAGGTTCTATGGCAGTGTTTGTCACTGAAAGGAGTACCAAAGAAGTACATTAACCTTAAAAAGGTTCTCTACTCGAACACAACTGGTAGAGTGAGAGCTTATGGCGAACTGTCATCAGAATTGATTACCTCAAGTGGTGTTCTTCGTCGGGGCTGTCCACTCTCCCCATTCTTGTTCAACTTTGTCATTGACGTACTTTTAGAGATAACACTCTTATCTAAATTTACAGGGGTTGAACTTCTACCGGGAGGTTCACTTGTTGACTTAGAATATGCTGATGACAGTTTTATTTGGTGAAGACGCTGACAAAATGCAGTCTTCTGACCACTCTAAGCAACAATGCAAGCATGTTCGGGATGCGATTCTCTCCCTCGAAATGCAAAATGTTGCTTCAGGATTGGGTTGCATTGACACCCGAACTAATGATAGAGAGTGAAGTAATTGAGTGTGTCGACCGCTTCACTTATCTTGGAAGTCTCATCAGCCCTTGTGGTCTGGTGTATGACGAAATCTCTGCACGGATACAGAAGGCTCGACTAGCTTTTACCAACTTGCGTCATTTATGGCGTAGGGGAGATATCCGTCTATCAACCAAAGGACGGGTTTACTGCGCAGCAGTTCGTTCGGTCCTACTTTATGGCAGTGAAACATGACCGGTAAAAGTAGAGGATATTCGTAGGTTACTAGTATTTGATCATAGATGTCTTCGAAACATTGCTCGTATATCATGGGACCATCGAGTAAGTAGCGCAGTTGTTAGGAAACAGGTACTAGGTAAAGATGGCAAATCGATTGATGAAGTGGTGAAACTTCATCAGTTGAGATGGCTGGGACACGTGTTACGTATGCCCAACCACCGACTGCCCCAAAGTGCGATGTTTTCTGGTGTAGAAGTAGGTTGGAAGAAAGCTAGGCGTGGCCAGACCAAAATATGGCACAAATCTACGAAGTCACTGACAAGTGGACTCAGTCATGTTGGTAGGTGTAGACTACATGGTTGGGACCCACAAGACGATAGTAACCGATGGTTAGAGACCTTGAATGACATGGCTCGAAATCGTTTGCAATGACACAGGTGCATCCACTCTTTGTGTTCTCCAAAGTTATAATCTCCTGAATTCTTTGTGTCTCTTTTTTCCTCTTTCCAAATTTATTTCACTGGATTATACTCCTTGAATACCATCTTCAAACCCTAATCTCTCCGATTACAGTTCATACTTTTACTGCCTCTACCACTATGGGATTTGAATTAACAATTATATCTCTGTGCTAATGTGGTATAGCAACTCGAACTGATGGACGTACTTACTTACGAAGTTCTACGTTGTTGCTGACTGACTGACGTCCAAATAAAACAGACGATCGATTATGTTATCATTCATCTGGTCATTTTGTAAGAAAAACATAAGAATTCAGTATTTATTGAAAATAATCATGGAAAATCAGCGACTCCTCGTTTTCTAATTGCGCAGATCACGTTAGGACAATTTGTATAAACATAACAAGATGAAGTAAAAGTAATTAATGTTATGAAACGTCAAGAAGACTCATCATTAGTGGACTGAATAAGTCAGTAGCAAGTCTTCTGCTTGAACGCTAGATACGGTTCCTAAGCTCTTCTAGAAACCCCCAGGCTAAATCTACTCAGCGATTTGAACACGAAAGAAAAGGCGCGAAATATGGAAGAAACGTTTTATTCCAAAGATTCATTTATGTACAGAAAGTCTAGGGTTTTTATAGTATTTTAGATGGCCTTGGGTTTCCAGAGACTTCTAGAACGCTACTAAACATAGTAAAAGTATTGGTGATCATTAACTCGACATGTGACTTTTCACTTTCTAGACGTTTCTGGCAAAATTTCTAGCAAATGCTGATCGGATAAGATGCTTCCCAGTGTTTTCAGGCCTTTTTTGGGTTTTTCGGGTTTTCTGGATCATCACCAACAATCAGTTACCCCATTAGGTGGGGACAATAAAGTAGAATTCATATCAAAAAGGGCTGTGCTTCTTCCCAGTTTGTGACACTGCAGCAACTATAACATAACCAGGAATTCTATTTACATTTCCCAAATCTCATGATAATCCTTAAACCATTGGTTTCACAAACCATTATACGTAGTTTCGCAAATGTATGATGAAAAATTTCAAGTGAATATAAAATATAAATGTGCAAATCATATTTATTAGTTTATATCTCATCATATCTACTAACCATCAGAATTGTCCGTATTCAATTTCTTACACCAAAATAAACTAATAGCTAACATTGCTTCTCGTGGAAGTTGACTAATAGTGAAACCTATACAAATGGACAATAAAAAGAATTGCATAAGTAGTGAAAATAAATAATATTGTTCATGTATTATATATATTTGTCCATAATCAAATAATATTTAGACGCCGATTATTAATAAAAAATAAATTAGGTTTAATTAAGAATATTTTAATTGCTAGTAAAGAAAAAGATAACTGTTTACAATAAATACCCTTAACACCTTAACAATTATTTAAACTGTAATTGTGTATCAATCAGCAAATACTGGAACTCTTTCACTCGAAAACATTGCCGAAACCGTATTATGAGTCAGTGTTTGATCATATAAACAATTGCAAAAAAAATTCATACTATTGTAATGTTAGGAAGATACTGGATCACATTTTTAACTATCAATAACATCTGTTGGGGATTGAGTTATTCCATTGATTGACTACAATTCAATAAGTAGACTCTTGGATACTGACAACGTTGTCTAGAAATTACAGAACCTTTATGAAAAAACGGTGTAAAAATTGATTTCGTTTAAGTTTCCAAGTAGGAACTATTAATTGAAAAATTTCCGGTTATGACGAAACAGAAGTACTATTTAGCTGTTAATATTTTTTTTAAAATATGATAACGATTCATGATGAAAAATATCTTCTGAGTGATTATCTCAGAGCTGAAGAACAGAACTTATGTTTCAGATATAAAACTAACGTTCGTTACTAGTCAATAATGTACAGCTAAATCGTTCATGTCATGTCATTCAGTCGATTGTCAATACTGAATTTTGTAATTTAACTTGAAACACACATCAAAACTAATAAATGTATTTGATGAACGAATAAAAAATCACAATGAAAACACCAAGAAAGATTTGAATGAAATTTTAGCGAAATAGTTATGAACAGATAGCATAACATTTCACTATTAATATGAACTCTTTTCAAAGAAAATACAGTTACGACTATTAATAACAAATAAACAAACTCGCATGATGAACACATTGCATTATAGACAGGGTACAGTTAAACTGATTATGAGGTATATATATGCGCGTAGTTTTATAAATAAATGGACTAATGAGTCAGGTGAAATACACATATGAGTGGATACAAAAAATCATTAAAAATGATAGACGTAAAAATTTCCGTAAAATAGCTGTTGAATAGTGAAAGTATAAAGTGAATTAAGATCATGAAAACAAACCACTAGTATCGATTTCATTAATTTAAATTAAAAAAAGATCTCGTCTAGATCACCTATGTATAAATAGTGAGCAAATCAGTGTACACTGAGGCAGAATAACGAAATCATGGATGAAATATAACTAAACACTCTGTTGGAATTGTATAACTTTCTAACTTTAGAGACTGTCATAACAACTATATCACACGTTATTCATCTTGGTTTAAGCATTGTTTTAGAATTCTTCTAGCCTTCGCATGTTGTGTTAATACAAAAGTTTTTCCTCTGACGTTATCTGAAGAGGCTATGTGTTCTTAGCATTATTATTCTTTAAATAACAAGACGCAAACACACTAGAATCGATGTACGCAAATGAAAGTACAAAAGTTCCATTATATTGTATCTAGCATAAAAACAATATGATTAACATGTTTAAAAGGCTGATGAAAGCAAAAATCAATGCTTTTAAAAATGTAGATTATTTAGTGCTGTAAAGATACTTCTTTTCTTACGAAAATTTACCTGATTTTTTTTAATGGATAGATATGCATCTTGTGAGGTCTACGAAGAGTGAAGGAAGTTTTTTGAAGTACTACACTCTAAGAATTTTATGTTGTACTAAGCGTACTACAACAAAGAGTATTAGAGTGAACAATCGCTTTCAATAACATTTTCATCAGACTCTACAGCTATAAATCCAAAAGTATTAATGAGTTAACTTGGCTTACATTAGGGTAAATTCATTCATAGCTCTGATTTCGCTCCATTCTAAGACATTTACCTTATTCTTAATTGTACATTCATCTTGTCTATTTTACATGATATTGTAATTAATAATTATTCTTTATATCATAACTACAATAATTACAATCATTATCGATATCATCATAACTATGATACAACAATTCCTATTTTGTATTAATTTTTCTACATACGATTTCAACCCATTTATTTGCACCTTAAGACATAATTTTTCTTACCTTTTTATGTATGAACCTTTCTTCACAGTACTAATAATGTCATATTGTTTTGTCAGTAATTTGTAATATTTAAGACTCAATTTACCTGAAAGTTGTCATTTTCAGTTTAAAACACAAACCAATTCAAATAATAATAAAGATTTTGGGTTTATAATTGTAGAGCTTGACAAAGAAGTTATCAAAAACGATCGTTCGCTCTAATATTTTTGTTCTTGAGTATTTTCCGAGAAGTTTTAAATCGCAAAATATATAATACTGAATAGAATTATTATTATTATTATTATTATTATTATTATTATTGTTAAAAAGCCAATTATGATTCAGGTTGACTTGTTATCCGATTGTAAATTGAATGATTTTTATTTTCATTTTGAGGACACGATTTCAGCTACATACTCTTAACTTACCATACCATACTATATGTTAACTTGGAAAAAACATGCTTTCTAACTTCTAAAAGTTGATAACTGTCAAATTATATTTTTAAAAAAACCGAAATTATTTAATATAATGATCAGCTTATTTTACAGTGAGCAAAATCTTTGGTGTGAAGTGAACGTGATTAAATGAGTCATTGTAATATTTGAAAGGTCAAAGACAGTATATTTTAGTAAACCAGTTAGGTAAGGGTCAGTTTAACAGATAGTTCATAAAGATATCGTAAATAATATCACCATCGTCATCTTGACTTAGTAATTGGATTATCAGTATCTCACTTATTAGTTAAAATTATAATCATAATTATAGTTAATGATAATTATAATCTATACACTTATTTTGTTTTCTATACAGATTTTATGATTATGTGAGAAACTGGAATGAAATCGATACATTCTCTTACTTAAATAGTTTTACGTAAACGTTTTTACACATGGTCAATTCTTCGGTAAACAAAAAGTATGATATTTATTGAAACAGTTTGGTACATTAGACCAGTGAGAAATGTGATCAATGAGAATTATTTATATGTACAATCTATTGGTTAGAAATAGAGTGTTATAACCTAAGAAGTCACTGTTCCGTTGACTTAGATTCCACACCTGATAACATATTTCACGGAAGTGAGTTAACCCCCCGTCAAGTATCAAATGGATAGTATTGACATACACTTGTGTTTGACTGGAAATCTGCAAGTTTCAAGGAGAGTAATCAAATGTCTCAAATTTCTCCACTATGCTAAACAATACTTGTAGTGTCAAAGAAATTTAAGATTTGATCTCGTATCTGGTTTTCTTAAAAAAACGGTTATAGAATTATGCTTCAAAAGTTAAACATACTTGGAAATTTAAACCACTGGTCAAATTGTAAAACTTTAGGAAAACCGGATTGAATTGTCTGATAACGACCAGGATCACTGATGAAATAATCTCTAGTGCATTTATTTTGACTGTCACGTGATAAATGATTGCTAGTCCAAGAAATTTCCTTCGCGTGATTTTTATAAGGTGATAATCTATAATGATTATCATTTATATTGTCATGATGAGTAGTCAATGCACTGGGATATACCTTGCTTAGTGGGCGTCCAGCGTACACTAAACCAAGACGTACACAATAATAGCCATCTGTTCTGGAAAATATGGATATTAGAAAAGTAAATTCAACAACTGAGACTTGTCAAACAGACAATAGGATTTTATTGTAATAAAGATAAACAATCAGCTTTCAAATAGACAGAGAACTATCTGAATAAGTGTCTTTTAATAAAAGTTATAATCGGACAAATAAATTCTATGGTATCGAAATTATTCATCAGATGATTTATTGTGCTCGTGCCATTACATCTGGCTAAAAAAAATTATGTTGAGTCGATGTTAAATACACAGCATCGTTACGACACTGCTTATTATTGATTGAACTGATAAAAATTTACAAAATAATCCAAAAACACACAAATGTAGTGAGTCAGTCACATACAAATTAGAGTCTTATGCACGCATGCATCGAAAGAACTAGCTATAAGTCGTATTAATACAATGATAGGGAATTAATAAGATGAAAATTAGAGGAATGAATGTCATATGAAACAAATTCGGAACAAATTACTAGTTCCAAGACACGTCATGAAAACTCATAGGGGTAGAAAGGATCGTTGGATTTCAATCAGTTTGTCATGAGAAAACAAAAAACCAAGTAAACGTAATAGTACTTTCGAAGTAATCTGAACGACATTTATCAGGAGTGTATGCACCACAACTATCTAACGCCTTTCAAGTTTTGATGTGATACTATGAATATTTTATATTAACATATCCAGAAACTTTATCACTATTTCATAAAGAATGAACACATATTTCTTAGATTCAACCCTCTTAAGATATTATGCTTGACAATTTAGGAGTAAATAGATACCATTATCCAGCTACAAGTTGAAATATCATCGGTTTACGCAATTTTTTTCGTGAAACGAACTTATCGTTAACGTGAACTCGAAAGTCGTATAACTCTGGAATTAACTGACAAACTGAGAAATGATCACCGTCACTTTGATCGATAGTGTGAACAAATATCAGACTGTTTGATCAACCATAAAAGGTATTCAGTTTTTACAGCTGAACTGAATACAGTTAGTCAGTTATTATTAGAAAATCTTGTCAACCTTCTCATAAAAATTTCATCTATTGCTTTTTCAGTTTACCATTTCTTTATTGATAAAAGTGATTTTAACCTGAAAAATTCTAATCTTCAAGTGTAAAGATCTTTATACACTCCGCGTAAAATGCACCATAAACTAACATCACGCAATTTCATTCATTCACATTCACATTAGTCAACTGAAAATATTCGAATAAGATGGAACTTTATGAATACTGTAAACTAGACGACATAATTTTACATAATCTTGATAGATTACTAATCTTTTTCCAACAGTAAATTTGCCCTAATAATGTTACCTAATTATATAATGCAGTAACATCAAAACAAAAGACTATAACCAATATTGAATTGGTTAAACGTCATTAAAATGAACAAGCAAATAAAATAACAATCTTAAAAGATAAATATTAAAATTCTCTTTAATAAAACAGTTGTGATGATAGGATTGAGTTGATGCACTGTTATCTTTTTAGGCTAATGACCACTGTTATCAAAGCTAAATATATCAACTTCAAAAACGAATTTCACTCTGATAGCATATATTTGAAGATTTGAAGTACAATACGTGAAACTGTATCTTTAAAAATGATTAAACAGTCAGATTTACTTCAAGATGGACAAATTATTAAATGAATTAACATGTCATCTAAAAGGTCTGAGAGGATTAAATCTTGTTTGTGACCATTGTCGTAACTGCCAAATATACTCATCACTGAAACTAGTTGAAAAAGCTTTCTACCTTTCAACAAATGAATAACTGATGAACATAATCTACTTTCGTTTGGAGATCTGAATATTATAACTAGTACATATATCTAGAGTGTAGCTCGAAACAATGTAAGAGAATATGCACATAATAAATTGGGTTCTTTTCTTTTTAAAATAAAGTTCATATTTAGAAAACAATTTATCTTAGATTGATATGGCAGTATGTTAATAATTACTGCACCTTTGTACACATAAAAAGTTTGACGATCAAATAAATAACACATGATTAATAAAGTCAACACAATGACGAAAAATCGATTTTTATGCACAGAAGTTTAAATTATAAAGAAGTAGAAACAGTTAAACTCTGACGATAACCTACTCAATATAAACTGAACAAGTTGATTAATTTGTGTGAAAATAATTTACCTTGTTGACGATGTATTAGGATTGGTTTGACTAGGAGATGATGAACTAGATAAAGATGAATTACCAGTTGTATTGTTACCGATTACATTTGAATTATAGGCTCCAATTGTTTTACGTGGTGGAGGATTGTGTATAGCGATAAGCCCAACGACTAAAGCATCTAAACAATCGATGGAACTTTTCACTTCTTTTTTCTGTTCAGCTATGGAAAGAGAAATATAGTTCATAATTTACTGACGGGAAGTTCAAAACACTCGATAAGGCAATTCAATCAGTCAAAATAACATACACACATACATAAATTTACTCCCACACTAGCCAGTTGCAGATAACGATTCGTATACTGAGTTTTGATGTAGTTGAAACCTTGATGGAATCAAAGAATTATAAATCGCCAATTAAATTGGTGTAATCAACTTGTTGGGGATCTTACAGCTCCAAAAATTACTTAGCAAACGTCCCATTTTGTAGTTCTATTATGGAAATTTGAACTTCTGATTTCCGCGCCAAAAGAACACACTTTTACCTTCGATTTGTATTTTCCACCTGGAAGGACCTGAAATGTCATTGGTTCGTTTCCGCTTTTAGTAAGCCATTTTGTGATCGTTTCCAAGGGTATTACGCTGTATACAACGCATGAAGTGTGTTTTTTCGTTCGTGCTTCCGAAATATGTATTTTTCCAGGCTGAATCTGATACCCTCTCTCTAGTCAGTAAGGCTGGAAGGCATTGGGATAGCTCAACTTGTCCTGTTGTTGTGTTCCTGAATTTCGCTCCGTTTCCCGGTCCAAGATGATATTGTAACTTCCTCAAGCATAGCACACCCGCAATTTAGACAGTAGTTATCTCGATTACAAAGGCGAAACCATTGCTTGGAAAAAGTTCTTCTTGTCTATATGAACAGATAATTGAACAAAGTAATTTACACTGAATGAGCACAATATTCTTCTTTTAATCTCGCCTTTCTGGTTGTTTATTTCCACATAAAATAGGAAAACTGAATCATAATAAATCCAAGTTAAACACAATCTATTTTTCAAATTCATGAATGGATTATTCACAAAAAGTGATCAAAGAAACTTTCTTGCTGTGATAAAGGCTCATCACAATTAAAATATATTGGCTGAGAAACCAATTAATTTAGTGATGTAAGAGACAAAAATTATCAGGACACAAATGAAGCACAAATAAACAAAGCACGCAATTCGGAGATAAGATTAATTAGTGATGGCGATTGAGACCAAGATCGAAATATTAATATTCCATGGACATAACTCATATAGTAATAACTAATGTACGGCACCAATAAAGTATATTATATCTATATCTATCTATCTATCGATATATATATATATATATATATATATATATTAAGTACCTAGATCATTAATACTTATATTCCTTTCATCATAAGTTTTTGATGAACCCATTGACTACAGATGCATGAAATGCTATTCTTAGTTTGTTGCCAGTTTTATTATTCATAAACTCCAATCATAGCCACGTTTTGAAATGATCATGTATAATTGTTATTATTCATTTTATGGTGTGATGTGGTCGTGCATTTCTGAATATAACCTGAGTATGCTTGAAGTATAATATTCACGTAGTAGAGGCTGATTACTGTGCTCTGGACTCAAAAGGTAAGGCAGCGAGATAAGCTACCGTAACGATGGCCACTATGGACTTAGCAGTGAATCAAGGATACTAGTGCTGGTTGTCTTCCTATTGGTTGGCTCAGGGACAAAGTCATAGAAGTCGATATTCTGATTGGTAGTTTTGTCACGTGGTGACAGATTTGCACACCTATGTGCATTCAACAAACTGGTTATAGGCAGCACAATATTCCCACATAAACGCATTCACAAAGCTACATGGGTCTATCCAAATCACACCACACACAACCAGATCGATCATATTTGAATCAATAAAATATTCACAAGGTCAGTGGAAAGTGTGAGAACCAGGAGAGGAGTTGACATAGCTTCAGATCACCACCTTGTTGTGTCAAAGATGAAACTGAAGCTAATGAAACAGTGGATAACTGGACAAACAACATTACAAATGTCCAACACGGCCTTCCATCAAGATACTAAAAACCGCAACCATTTCAAGATTTTTGTTTATTTATTATTTGAACACATAAATATTGGTACAATAGGGCACCAAACATACATGCGCCACGCAAAACAATGAGAATTCGAAGAGAAAAAAAAGAAGGCACGGAGCGTAAAAAAAGAACAATAACGAACAGATTAGTGAAAGGTGGTGTAATAATAATAATAACAATAATAATAATAATAATAATAATAATGGGGGAAACGGAAAGGTACAATCACAAGAAATATTTCAGTTAAGGAAGATACAACCAATTTTTTTATGAAGAAAGTAAAAGAAGGTTACAGCACGATCGCCACTGGCTTCTATTCTGAGTCATATCTGATAATGTCTCTAGCCACTGTGTCGCACCATCTCGAGGACCCCAGCCAGGAAGTCGTGAAGGACCAACACAAGCCAGCCCCTTGCAGCTTTCTTCCATACCAAGACACCATGTCATACACTGACCACCTCTCCGCTTCTTCCAACCAGTTCCAGAGTTGGCAAATAATGCACGACGTGGAATTCTCTGGGACGACATTCAGAGAACATGTCCAAGCCACCGAAGTCGGTGTTTCAAGATGGTGACACCAATTGCATTGCCGTCTCTGCGCCCGAACACACGATGCCGAACCTCTGCATTACTAATATGGTGTTGCCACTGGATTTAAGCAATCCTTCGGAGACAACGATGATCGAACACAGAGAGTCGTCTAACGTCCTCAACTCGGAGAGGCCAGGTTTCACAAGCATAGAGCGAAACTGTTATCACCGACGCGTTGTAGATCCGACCATTTACAGCCAGACTAACATCATGGAGGCGCCAAAGATGGCCCGGATTGGCATGAGCCGCTCTGGCTTTCACTATACGTGCATTGATCTCATCACTCACAACCCCAACCCCACTTATGCAGCTACCCAGATACACGAACATCTCGACTACTTCTATCTGCTCACCATCCAGGGTGAGTACAGGATTACGATCCTGCCAGTCTTGTAGAAGTACTTTGCACTTCGGAGGTGCAAAGCACATACCCATACTTACGGACACTGATTCCCAACCGATTAAGTGTGGATTGCATGCCTTGGGCATTATCACACTGTAGGACAATATCATCCGCATACTCAAGGTCGATAAGTCTTTCTCCAGGCAACAGATCCACGCCGCCACCACTTACATCTACCAGAGCTGTTTCCAGAATGTCATCGATGGCAAAGTTGAAGAGGAATGGAGAGATTGGGTAACCCTGCCCAACTCCATTGCTCGGATGGAACAATGGAGAAAGGTGGTTGTATGCCATCACTCTGCCTGAGGTGTTTGTATATAGGGCCTTTAAGATGTATACGCGTGGCCATGTGAGAGCATTTGGAGAGGGAGGGCGGGCCCACCCCACTCTCGGCCATAACAGGGTATTTGAGAGCCCATTTCAAGATAACTCTCAACAACACGTTCCAAGCCTTACAGGATCTACTGAAGGAAGAACTACTATGGTGGACAACTAGAAAGAGGTTAAAGCATCACTAACTTCAACGTGTCAGGAGATGCTTGACCACAAGAAGCATCATCATAAGGAATGAATCTCCATCGAAACTCTGGGCAAAGTTGAAGAAAACAATAACAAGAACAGATAAAGTCAATGCACGAGCTGAATACATGGAAGCAAACAAACAAGTGAAGAAGAGCATTAGAGCCGACAAGCAGAAATTTCATCGAAGAGCTAGCAACGACAGCGGAAAAAGCTCCAAGAGAAGGACATATGGAACAACTATATGACATGACGAAGAAACTAACAGAGAAATATAGTAAACTAGAGAGACCGGTCAAGGAGAAAGAATGCAATGCAATCACTGAAATTCAAGAACAGAGGAACAGTCAGTCAGTCAGCTACAAAGTAGGACCAGGCACATATGTGCATCGGTCCAGGTTGCCATACCGCATCAGCACACAAGATGAACACCGGATTCATAGCAGTGGTTAGGTCAAAGGTGGTAATATATAAGAGGAACAGATGTGTAGAGTACTTTGAGGAACTCTTGAATAGACCAGCTTCATCGAATCCACCGGACACCAAAACAGAACACATATCTTTCTCTACATCTGTCACTACCAACGATCGAAGGAATCAGGAAGGTCAGTCATCAGACAAATCATGCGTGGAAAGGTAGTAGGACCTGACAATACACCAGCTGAAACTCTGTCGTCAGATACAGAGGTAATTGCAAATATCAACCGGCTGGATTCCGTAAGAATCGGTTGTGCACAGACCAAATCGTCACACCATGGATTACCGTTGAACAATCAGTTGAGTGAAACTCGTCACTATTCAACTTCCATGATTATGAGAAAGCACTTGACAGTGTGGATAGGAGAACATTATGGAAACTTCTTTGACACTATGAGTACATGACAAGATCGTCAACATCATCCGGAAATCATTTGACGGACTACAGTACGATGTCGTGCATGGAGAAACTGACAGATGCATTCCAAGTGAGGACTGGAGCCAGACAAGGCTGCAAACTCTCCCCCTTTCTATTTCTTCTGGTGGTCCGCTGGATTATGAAGACTTTGACATCTGAGAGAAATCACGGAATACAATGGACAGGTTGGATGCGACTAGACGATTTGGACTTCGCAGATGACCCGGCCCTTCTATCCCATACACACTAACAAATGCAGATGAAGACAACTAGTGTAGCAGTAGTGCATACGACACACATTGAGGAAATCACCAAACTGCATCACGAGGCAAGCGCTAACTTGTAATCCTGAAGGGAAGCGGAAAAGAGGAAGACCAAAGAACACACTGAACCGAGAATTGGAAGCAGGCATGAAAAGGATGAATATCAATTGGGAACAACTGGAGAGAATTGTTCAGGACAGAGTTTGATGTAGAACGCTGATGGATTGTTTATACATCACCACGAGACGTAAAGAGCGTAAGTAAGTAACCTGCTAAAAGATATTCGGTGACTTTAGTTTAAGTCATAATAGGTCGAATCTATTATAAAACAAGGTCATTTCAATAAATTTGTTATGGGACATAATTATAGAGAAACAACAGAATACTAGCTTCAATACTCTCAAATGCACACATACATATACACAACTTACACTGTTGACGATCATTGAAAAATTCGCCATCAACATCATCCGTTATGAGCATAGCTTTAGGGCGTCCATTTTTGGTATGATAAAGCTGTTTATTAGTCAGATAACTAAATGATTCATTCGATACACCATTGGATAAAAAATTACTATTCCCAATTAATTGAGGATTTACTGAGATATTAACTTGACGCCATATAAAAAATGCACTTAGTTGACAGAGAAGATTTTTCGTCAACGATAAAATCAAATTATGTAGTTTCTTTCTTGATTGCGGCTTTATATCACGTTTTAAATTGACTAGTGTTTTGCTTGTGTTTTTAAAGGTGGACTGAAGATTGGAGACACGTGTTGGAGAAATCTGAAATAAGAAGAAATTGAAAGGGATAAATTCGGATCAATCAACCATATAGAAATGCAAATAAAATTCCAACATAACCGTCAATCTAAAACAAAGATACTTCAAATTTGGAACAGTAAATAAATCTAGTTTTATGGCTTTTCATATAACATTACGTAATGTGTACCTTAATGTAGAGTCACAGTTCAATAACCACATTTACGTCTCAGCAATACTATTTGGTCAGCATTAATGACCAGGAAAAGAGAACAGTTTGTATTTTCACACTATAAAATAACTCCAGTTAGACCATCACCGAAAACCAATGAACTAACAGACGGCTATTTTGTCCTAGAATGTGACCTCACAGTATAATCTACAAACATTAAAACCCAAGGATTTAGAAGTCAAATGCTTTTCGTGATCTACGAGAGTCTTCGATTCTATATCTGATAAAGTCATGTATGAGCACTATTCAAGCTTTCCTAACTACAAATGATAAGTGTCTCCTGGTTTTCACTGTTTGCCAAACTAAGGTCTATATGTGAAATAAAACCTACTGAATTCAACAATTTCCGCCAACGCCTGACCTAAAAGGAAGGAGGTAATAGTTACTAATGATAATCAGTTCGTGAATTTGTGATGTCAACTCAAATCTGTGTAAAAATGTTTCACACATTTAGTTTCAATACTGAAATATCCATTTGATAATAAGGATTTTGTGAAATGCTTAAATTATTTAGTCTCTTATGATCAGAGAATACAAAGAAAACCTCAACTATCATACAAAATATAAAATGTTGTGAAGGGAAACAGACTTGATACAACTTTCCGTGAAATCAGACTCAATTAAGTTCCTTAACACAATATGACATGACTAGACATTAGAAAACGATGAAAACTATGATAATAGTGAATAATGTAGGTGCGAAATATTAGTTTAAAAACCAAGACAAGCAATTTCATAAATCTACCATAAAACATAAGAAACATATGTTTAATGTAACAGAGTTTTTTTCAAATCTGAATAAGACAGTCTTCCAGTAAAGGTTATTGAACTGATTGAGGAATCAAGATTTCCCAGTACTTGAAAAAATACTCAAACTGATGTAATATATGTTGTTCCTTTCGATATTTCTTGGAAAAAATAGAATCTACCCAATAAGAGAACTTATAAATTTTGAAAGTGAAAATAGTATTTCTTTTTTAAGTACTTGTCCAACAATACAAGACACTAAATTCGTTCATTAAACCCTTCGATCTCTACAACAATAATCCAGAACCCTAGACATATGTATCGCCGTCTAAATGCAAATAGGAACACGAAATAGAAATTTAAAAAAGAGATAAAAGAAAAAGGACATCAAATAGGACACATAAACAGAAAACAAATGCAAAACAAATACTATGTGAAGAGGATTTAAAATGTGTAAGCTCATAGAGAACGTTGAAAATTGGACGAAGATTAGATACATTCATGCAATGGTTTACATCATTGAATTTTCAAGCAATAACTATAAATGGCTCACAGACATAAACCAGAATCCATCCACTTTAGAGTATAAATACTTTATAAATCGTGTCACAAAAAATTTGAAACATTGCTTATTCAATGGTTCCGTTAGAAAGTCATTATGTTATTACGTTACACATTTTGTGATGACTTGTATCAAAATATATCAACAAGAAAATTAAATGACTTTCTTCGCTTACATAGAGTGAAATTCTGTCACAGTGGCGCAGTTGCATTGATTCTCTTCGTTCTTCTAAGTCATTAGTTAAACATCATTTGTAAATTTGCATTCCTCAAAGCCAGATCTTTGATTAGAACTGTATTTCTCATGTTAAGATCTACGTCGTTTTTGATATTATTTAAAATAATATGCTCATCTTGGTGATTTCTTATTTCTCTCGGCTGACATGAAGCGTATACACATCGAACCAGGGCACACATGTGCTAAATCACATGTTACTAATGACTAACTGACTGACTTGAAAATTTATGTCCAAAAACAACAATCACATGGGTGCATCATACATTTACGACTAAAAGAAGCTAAGTGCATTAAACAAGAGTAATTTTTAAATTTTTAATAAGTTGAAGAATCATCCTTCAATGAAGATCCAACAAATTAAAATGGACATGCACCCAATAGCCACTCAAATAATTTGCTAGTATGCGGTGTTCTTACTCATTCGTCAAGCAGTAACATGCTTTGTAGTAATACATGATGTCTGAAGATTTCACATTGAAATAAATCGATAAAATGTATTGCGAACAATTAAAAAAACAAAGATTATATCAATGTAAACGGCTGGATAAAATTCAGTGAGAATTAGGTCAATATAAGTTGATGATTAGAAGTATTTCTTAATAATTGACGTCTCTGAACTAATCGATTTGAACGATTACTTACCATTACATGTAAAACGATTTCTGATATGCTCGCGTTGGATACACCAAGGCAACATGAATAATAAATGAATATACGAGCAGCATATTTTGTATGACAAGTCTAATATTCTATGATTGCATAATAAAATTTGAATAGTACTCACCCTAGTCTGTTTTCGCTTATAGGATGATGAAAACCAATTTTCCTGTGTAGTATTCTGTTGACTATCGCTACGAAAGCTGTTAAAATTTTTATTATCGTGACGCTTGAAACTGGTTACTTTATTATTTAAACCAATATCATATACAATATCCATTATACACACTTGTATATTTCCTAATGCATTGATAACATCAGAAAAAGCCATACCATAACAGACAGCTGCTAAAACAGCTTTTACTGACTGACATAAACTCGAACTGGCACAGTGAACATCTTTTAACCATGATTCACTATCCACCTAGAAATTAGTAAATAATAAGAAAATGGTAGCAAATAATTAATACATGAGGATGAAATGAGAAAATCCCCTAAAAAGCACTAATTTAGATTATTTTTCGCTTAGAGTAACGTTTTAATATTTCCTGATAGAAATAAAGAGAATCCAGCAAAGATATTTAGAGTCTCAAATCACTTTATGGTGTAATCTTATCTATTTTTCTATAGATTTATACATTTACCATACAATTATAAATAGGAATGTAAATGATTCCATCGAAAAGATTTACTTCGCTGAATTCTCTTTATCTTTGTTCAATGACACAATTGGTTATTTGTATTTCCTTAAAGATTTATGACAGAAATTAATAACAATAGGATAACTTCTAACAGTCAGAGAATAAGACACATTCACATTTTCCTACTTTGAGATTGTGGACAATCGCAACTTCCCTCCCAAAATTTACATTTACATAAGCACTAAATTCACTATTCCCTGTTAACACTGTACAAATAGAAATTTAAATCAGTCCATATGATAATGACCAACAATAATTCTTAGCTTTTTGCTAAATTTACCAAAAAATATCTAAACTGTTAGTCAAAAACCAGTTCTAGTTGTACATAAGGGGTTCATATGCAAACACTTGTCGAAAAGTTCACTTGGAAATTTAATTTGAAAAGTTAAATAAGCATTCTAAGATGTTCATAACGTGTAGCTTAGTAAAACAAAATCAATGCTACATTATGAACTAAACAGAGTTAACACTATTAACAAAGTCAACTTGCACAAAAAAAGCTATCACAATCAGACATGATCAGGTGATTGAGTTGAAAAAACGATTGAACAGAACATGATCTTTGGATTTGTGATAAAGTATGGAATTTCACCATCCCGATTACAATCATTGCAACTACTTATTAAGTCCTACTGACCGCATATGTAAGCTTCAAAATTTGTTTTGAATAATTATTTAAGAAAGCCAACTAGTTCTTATCAACACCAAATATGTTTAATCTATAAAAAAGGAAGCATTTGTTTACTTAATAATGAATTGTGCAAGGCCTTTTTGTTCACGTAAAAACTCAATGAAACAACTTATATTAAATAACAGTGACATTGTTAGCAACATAGCAATCATAATTTCAAAACATTAAATACTTCAGTCTGATTATGGCACCTAATGCAACTAATGATAAAATTGATTAAGTGAATTGAACATTATACAAAACAAAGTTATTGAATCACGTATATAAACTGTGTTATATACACAAACTGCCATTTAACAAAAAAAATCGGATGCATAATGCACACATTATACAATATACTTAAACTTGAATATTCAACGTTTAGAATTAAGGTGTTTTACGAAGAGAATTTCGAGATAAGTTCTATGTAAGGTGATTATTTTCGTGATAAATATGAATGAAATTGTGTAACAAGGTTTATTTGTAAATATTCTATGATAGAAAAATCAAATTGGAATCTATAAAATTACTTAGACAAACAATTGAATAAGTTGTTGATTTACCAATATTATTACTATTACAAGTGTTTTCTAAACATTGCCAGAGCATCGTTGATCGACTGAATGGGCAACATATAGGTTAGCTATAAAACGCTAGGTAAGGATAGTAAAAAGGTTGGTGAGGTTGTAAATCTTTATCAAATGAATTGAGACTGCTAGCAAGTCATAGTAATCAACAGTTTAGTTTAAACCCAAAAACTATGTGAACTACAGTTTTGAATATTGCGAAAATTTCTGTTACTAGTTTTAAAGAATTATATGACTATTAGGTTTCGAATCCTTCTTCAAATAGCTTCAAAATATTTGTTAATATAAGTGATCAATTGATTACTTTATCCGAAGAATATATACGGTAAGGCTATTGAATTTAATCTAAGAAAACGTGATATTTTATACTACATGATAGCTTTAAAATAAAAAAGGCACGTTATCAGTTAGTAATTAGCATAAATATTCCAGTAGTCATAAAATCATTAGATCATTACTGTTTTCAAAATGTTTATAATACAGAGAAAATTCGTATCGATATAGTCATTTTTCAATAATAACAATATTATTTAAAGCTGGTATGAATTATTATTATTATTATTATTGTAATTACTATTATTATGTTAAGAAATTAATGAAGCGTCACACTGAATGGTACTTTTAAACTACGTGATTGTTCTTGCTGTAAATAATGCAAAATCTACAAAGTATTAATTGTAAGTAGTTTATGAAAAGAAAAAAAACATGATTGAAAAACAAGTGGAATTACTTGTGCATAATTTTCCACAATACATGATCGAAACTTTTCCAGTGCATTTTGAAATACGCTATAACTGATGAATATGTCTTCTCTGAAAGTAAGCATTAAAATAAAACATCCAAAAACGTTAGAACAACTGTAGCAATGGGATTATATGAACAAGCAATAACTATGGGATAATAAAAACAACAAATTTCAACTAAATGTTAGTTCATTTTTTTATCTTAATGTATGATAATGATGAGTGCGACATCAACGGCCTTGAACTCAAATGAATATTTTCGAGGGGCATTTGTTCATACATCCACCCCATCGATAATAGTTTGAACAGTCATAAATTAATAGAAGCCGTAGAAGAGCCAATATGACTTAAAGTTTAGAAAATAATTCTTCTATTGTACTTCGGGTCTACATCTATTCAAGTGTACAGATATCTATGTTATTAGGTATCCAACATAAAGAATTTACGAAAAGAAAGCAAGAACGAAGATTGGTACAGAATAATATGAATTCATTTTATTTCGTTAGGTTCTCAGCTGCTAACAACCCAAAATATTTAAAAGTCAACATTATTACAGATATTGACATACTTATACTTACGAGAGTGATTAAAGATGAATATATGTATCATGATGTAATGAAGATTTCAATAGAGTTAGTATGGTCGTAAAAACATTTGTTTCGGATAAATAGAGTTTGGGAGGGGAAGTTTCAGAACACTGAAATAGTGATTAGAACTTATGAAGTTGACAAACATTAAATGATTGTGTAATGAAGCAACTGAAAATAAATTAATGGTAATAAAGGAAGATATGAAATGGAATCAGTCAGTTTTATTCAACTTAAATTCAAAGGTGATGATGTAACAGGGTCAATCAATATGGAACTAAAAACTGCAATGACAAGAACTTATCCTGCGGCTAAACTGATTGTCCTGTCCAAAACAGCATGTTCTTTAACAAAATCAAAGGTCGATGGGTATCCATTTCATGTTACCATCAACTGTGTAAACAAATTTACATGTATCTGCCAAAGCAGTTACATTGGTAGAACAGAAAAGAGAGCCTACGCCCGATTCAAAGAATATATTCCGAAACGTTTAAGATCAAATGAATTAAAAGCATTCAGCAGAGCCATCGCAAGACATTTCCTTGACACAGGACATGGAGTCGATACACTGAAGTCCTTCAAGGTGATTAAAAATAATAAAACTCCAACCTTTTGAAATTTGCCAAAGCGATAGCAATCAAACGTCTAAAACTAGATCTATGTATCCAAAAAGAGACAATAATAAATCTTTCTTTGACCTGGTAACATTAACCCCCTTTTTTCTTATTTATTAGATCATTCATTATTTCAACATTTTCTGCAGTTTAAACTACATCATTGTCATTCTTCTTCAATTACTAACTGATTTCAATTCACATCTTTCTTTATTACCATTAATTTATTTTCAGTTGCTTCATTACACAATCATTTAATGTTTGTCAACTTCATAAGTTCTAATCACTATTTCAGTGTTCTGAAACTTCCCCTCCCAAACTCTATTTATCCGAAACAAATGTTTTTACGACCATACTAACTCTATTGAAATCTTCGCTACATCATGATACATATATTCATCATTAATCACTCTCGTAAGTATAAGTATGTCAATATCTGTAATAATGTTGACTTTTAAATATTTTGGGTTGTTAGCAGCTGAGAACCTAACGAAATAAAATGAATTCATATTATTCTGTACCAATCTTCGTTCTTGCTCACAGTTCTGATTGTCAACATGGAAAAAGCTAGAGCCTGTAGATAGGGTTTAAATAAAAGACTATTGAGAAGTGAAAGATAGAAAAATCCCCTGTTTATACTTACTCAGTAGGTGTTGGTCGATTATTTGTGAAGAAATTCTGAGGAATGAATTGTTCATTGGTACTGAGAGTCTAGTATAAAAAGGATTAAAATATAATTCTCAGAATATATAGGAATAAATAAATAAGTACAATGGTATTAAAAAATTCAAGAATACCTACTTCTACTCTTCATTGACCTACATCAACTACGAGCTAACGAATACGTTAACCAGATCGAGTGAAAAGTAGTATATGACGATCTTAAGATTCCTTTCACAATCTTAATATATATATATATATACTTCAAGGACCCCTCAGCCGGAAATCGTACACAGGACCTTCATCTTCACGCGGGGACGATTACCCTTGGAACCATTGGGGTAAGTTTCAATGGTATACACGTCTAGCTTCAGTTAATCCGTTATATAGCTCGGCTATATTTCATTGTCTTCAGTGGGTACTTCAGACCTGGTCCGGCTGAAGCCGCAGTCAACAGAGTTCAACTGGAGACAACTGAAAAGTTAAACAATATCGAGCACCGATTGAAGCTAAGCATACAAACTATAGGATTCCGGCTCATTGGTTTGAAGATAAAACATTCGCGCGCAAAAAAGGCTCTTGAGTTCGATCCCCACGGGTGGGTACAAGGATAGACACTGATAAGGAGTCCGATACTAGGACGAAACAGTTTTCCATCGCTTCCAGGTTCTTAGTGGTTGTCTGACTTAGATCTATCCGTGATTTCAATGAAAATAGAGATACTATATTTGAATAGCAATTAATGTAAAATAATGATTATTACTAATTCTACGAAAACAGTATAATTTTTGTGAATGTTCATTGGTTATCCATTACTAAATAATGAACAATCAGGTAATTACTATGAGCAAAACATACTTATAGATTGCTTAAAAACATAATTTTATACATAAAATTCAATAGTATTTAATAGTTGACAGGAAGTAGGAAATAATGAACATACACAAATGAATAAAATCGAAAGTGTTGGTATACACTCATTTAATACTGAATAATAGATATTTAGTGTCATTTAATTTGATAAAATTGATTGAAATCAGTTGATTGTTTATGCGATCTGACCTGAGGTTTACAACTCAATAGCCCGCAAGTTATTTACACCATCTAATGTGACAAAACTATGAACACAATGTGCCTATCATAAACCATACGGTAATATAGCCCATAGACTAAGTACACCAACATCAGTGAGATACTTGAGTTGCATATCATTTATGTTTGGCATTCATCAAGGTTACTTACGACTGAATAATAAGCTGTTTGAAAAAAGGACCAATTCGAGAAGTAACGTTATAACTAAAAAGGTAGAAGATTGGTATTCTAAAACTCATATTCTCTTAAATAATACTTTTATTTATTAACGGTTGGATTTACTTGATAAATTATGTCCTAAATGTAAATTTGTGAAGCGAAGCTGAAGACGACCGACCTACAATCGCGAACTCAACCAAGAAATAAAATATTTATGGCAAACCTCGCATAACAGCTGGCTGTTATTTTCTAGTTTCTAATGATTTCTCGGTTAATAGTTGTTGAAAACTCTCATTTAAATTACAAAAATATCACGAGTAAACCATCAAAACAAGAATTGAAAAACAATATATATTACAAATATGTGTTTGTTTGTCTTTACCATAGAAGTATTTAAAGTTCGTATTACAAAACCATATGACATTCGATAGAAGAATACTACCGACTAAAAGATACTAAAGACATTTTATATTACTGTTTAATCTGATTAAAATTGTTTGAAGATAGTGGGAATAATCAGTAAATTTATAACCTATTAATTCATGAACACACGTCATATTATTAAACTCAACATTACTACTTATTAAATGAACAAATTGGACAAACACTTATGATGCTATTTGTTTTAACTTGTACAATAAATTTGAAGTGAAATGAATGGGTTTGGTAGACAATAATATTTTATTAAAAAAAAACATTTACGTACTTTTTCTATATATGGTTGATCAACGTCTTTTGGTTCTAAAATTAATCTCAGTGGCTGATCCAATCGATGACAGAGCTGAACCTGATAACAATCACATAAACGAGCATCTCTAAGGATAATCACAAAGGAAAAGAATAGATTAAGGATGAACAGAAAGCAAAAACAATAACAGTTTGAGGTTAAGTAAAATGAAATATAGGATTATATATTATTACGCATCGGATTTTTAGGAAAAATTGGTAATATAGAGAATATCAAAGTTTGTAGCTTGAAAACAAACGAAATCGACGTATACAACAAAAATAGATTATTCATAAGGGCAGTATAGAAGCTGACACATTTTTGAACAGTATAAAGGTCCCATCTAGTTGAGACCGATTGTGCGTCATATTATAAACAATATTTTAAAAGACAGGTCATGATTATCGTGCGAACCCCAACCAGGTAGTCTGCATCTACCAACATGGCATAGATCAATTATCAATGACTTCATGAACGAGTGGCCATCCTTAGTATTTTTACAACCTACACCCCAATAAGCCAACATAGCGCGTCAAGGTAGGTGGTGGTTGGTGACACGTAATACATAAACCTAACTACCTCAATCAGGATAACAACAACAAAAACTATCTCACACGAACGTGTAGTTAAGTTGTATATGCGAAACGTAATGAAAATGTACCTGATACAAGTAGTTTTCTGCTTACCTAGAAGGAAACACTGATTCACTGTTATATACGGATAAAGTAATTTCAACTCTGAATAGAACAGAGAATACTGTTGCTTATTTCACTGTTTCTAATCAATAGGTCACTATGTCGATCAGTGTTACACTTGCTTCCATTTAGTCAAACCTTAAGCAACCAAAATGAAGCTCAGAACCGAATACGTACGCCTGGATTTTATGAGAATATTCAGCTCAAATTTCCTAATCAGTATTAAAGGTTTGTCCGGCATTTTTATCTTCTGATCGCCATGAAACTACATTTAAATGTACGGCTTGTATTTTCGAACTTTTTAGTGAATGAGCTTTGTTTCATAGTGTTATATCCGAGCGAAGATTAAATCACGAGTAACTTCTGAGACATCTTAATTGACTAATATTATCTATACATTCTTATGGTATAACTATTCAACAATTAGATTATGTATATTTATATTCCTCTTATTATAAGCTTTATTTTGACCTATAATTTATTATTGTACGATTTACGGTTCTTAAGCTATGTTCAGTTTATTAACTACTGCCTCCCACGTTCATAGCCACTTTTTGGCTTTGTTGTGTACAAATGTTATTTCCTATTTTATAGTACATTGCGGTCTGTTTGATTGGTATATAAACCCAGTATGTCTGAAATAAATGATTCGATTCACATATTGGAAGCTGGTATTGGTGTTCTGAACTCAAGTGGACGGGTTAGGCGGAAATATAACCAATAAGGACGCTAGGCTGCTCATGCCGCTCGAAAGCCATTGGGTTTGGCACAGTGCTAGGATTGTACAAGTCGTATTTTGATTGGTGGATAAATCACGTGATAAAACCGGACATGAAAACATAAGAGATAGTTCAACTGTTATTACAACCATCCAATTAGAAAGAAATATCTACTCTATGAAAATATCAGACATTTAATCAGTTTATGATACTACACATCCAACGTCCAGTGTTATTATTGGTGGGTAATGACTTAAACCCGGTATAGATGAACACTAATTACAGTTTCTCACTAGAATTCGCGGGATTACTTATTTAAAGTAGCCAGTACTGAGAATTTAATTTTTTACTTCACAGACTGGTATGACTAAAACAAAACAGCCATCCAGTCCTTCAGAAACTTAAATTACGTAACAGCAGGCTTTTAATTTAGTACACTTTGTTCAACGACTACTAAGTATTATTTAAATAAACACTAATAAAACAAAAGACATTTGCAGGTAGAAACTAGAAGTTACAAAATGAATATATTTCTGTTTTTAGTAAATCTCTAACAGAACATTTAGTTAAAATATCACAAAATATTTTCAGCAAATCAATTTACATTACAGAGCCATTATAAATTACCGAACGACAAAACGTATTCAAAAACAGAATATCCAAGTTAATATGTAAGTTTTGGAGAGCAAACCATAACGCAAATAAATTTCACTGAACTACAGGTTTCAAAGAATGTTTATCTTTCCAAAATATGTTGATTTATAGATGAGAATAATAAAAGTAGTTTCATATTTTTGCTAACAATTATCAATCATTTTTCTTTATATGTCGTTTTAACGGCGAGGATATCTGATAGTTGAGAATGGAAACCATCACAATTTCTAAGATGGTAATAGGGACAAGAAAACATGCAAATGAGGATTTACTTTATCCTCCTAAAAATGTTGACAATTGTTGTGACAGTGGATAATAAGTACTAACTACTGGAACACACGATTCACACGACAAAAGTGAGGACATGAAAATATTGAACAAGAATTTACTTGACACCCAAAATAAATGTCAGAATACACTAACTTTTATCTGATTTTCATCCATAGTGTTCAGCAGTTAAATTAATGTAAACTACACTGAGTAATACTTAACACGAACTAATCAATAACTTACTGTATAAATACAAATTTACAATATCATAAAATTAATGTTCCTTGTCAAAGTGTGGTTAAATGTTATTAAAGATTGGTAAAAAAAATCAATTTATGTCACTCACACTACAATCAATTACATTCTAGGTCATCGCATCAAATTTCTTTAAGTATTTGTCAATACTGTCATGAGGTGACAAAAAGAATTACTACTGGTATTACTACTTCGATTTCATAACAAAATTAATTTGTAAAAAAGGAAATAGCATCTTACGGACGTAATAGTTCAGCTCTTCCTTGAAGACGTAATTGAAAATGATTGACATCCAGAACAATTTCTTGTGGAATTAAATCGTTAGCAAGTGCTTCCAACATAAGTTCATTGACTAATGTGGATGTAGCTAAAAAAATCCAATAAAAGTATTAAAAAAATACAGAACAGAAAAGAAAAACTTTTAATTATCATTAATATAAACAGTAAGTACTAATTCACCTGATATTGTTTTACTTGAATCTTCCCACTGATGTTTTAGGACTGAAATTGATCAGTCTCTTATTGGCATATGTGCCTACTGTGCGTATGCCTCGATATTGCCTTAATTTACAAGCATTATAAGCAAAGATGGATAGTGGCTAGCGGTGTAATCCAGGACGCACGTTTCGTCCTGTTTGGGACTCGTCGGCTGTATGTACCTGCATCTCAGGGTACACAAACAAGTGGCTATCAGGACTCAGTAGCTAAGTGGATAACGCGATGGCGTTTGAAGCGAACGGTACTGAGTTCGAGTCCCAGAGTGAACATCAACTCTGAGATGCAGGTACATCCAGCTGACGTGTCCCAAACAGGAAGAAACGCGCGTCCTGGATTCCACTGCTAGCCACTATCCATCTTTGATTGTAGTACGTACTAATTGTTACTAAATTGGTCCGAATATTATTAAATCAATAATGATGATATTTAGTTTGATTTATCGAACGAAAAATAAAATAAAAACTCAGCATTCTTCATTCATTTAATTTGAATGAAAAAAAAACAGTTAACACATTTAACATGTTGGTCAAGTTCAATGTCATTAATAAATGACTGATCAACTAACTTATTAACTGAATGAATCTTAAAACGATGTAACAATTTTCATAATGAATTATAGTCTAGTGGTTTAAGCACTCGATTTATAACCACTGAATTACTAATTCGAAGTCACAATTCGTGTACTTTAGTTAAAGTAGTTGGGTAGTATTACCACAATGTTACGTAAAAAGTTTGACTCGAAACCGAGTACATATATTTGCAACAGAAAAATAGATTACATTACCTATTTAGTTTAGTTGTGCATTAAAATCAGTCTAATTTAACCTATAATTCAAATTCATATAAATGGTGCATGTAGATATCGATAACCGAAATGAACCAGTTGTCATTAATAGTTAATTTACGTAAGAGAAATAAAGTGATACCAGTAACTCATCTCATTGTGTTGTAATTGACATCACGTACTGACTGCAGTTAGACAACGACGGAAAACCAGTAGCGTTGAACAAGCTTGAAAACCCTGAGGTCGGGAGGTGTACTACTGAGAAATGATTGATGACGACGGAACAAACCCCCTATAACTCATGAATCAATGTGTCCAATATATACAAAAGACGTAAAATCATATAGAATGTACTACGTCTAATCCCTTTCACTGAGATATTACACAAAAAAACAGTCAACAGAAATTACTTACGATCACAAACTAAACGTAACCGAGGATTGACTGAAGAATTATTCGTAGTTTCTGAATTGACTGAATTTGGATTATTTGTAGTGAAACTTTGATATGACTTTTTTCTAGTATTTAAATGCGCTGTAATGCGTACTTCTAATTGAGGAATACACCAACGTGGTGTATTATTCCAATGAGCAGGAGTGTTATTTTGAGAACCGAAATATTCTTTACATTTAGGATATATATATGATACATTAGAAGCGGCAGTTTCTGTCTTCCATAACGGATTCATCTGTTGATATCCAGCTGAACTAGAAGTTAACGAAAGTAAATTAATGCTTGTGTGCGAATTTTTTAACATTACATTTGTAACAGAATCACTATAGACACAATCATATGCCCAAGTGTCTGGAGGTGAATACACAGGTACAGAATTGTTTTCATTTTGTTTAGAATCACTATCAAGATCACTGATCAATGTAGACGTATTTGGCTTATTATACTTTTGCCGTCGCAGGCTACAAAAGGCATTAAGAAAAAATAAAACAACTATGAAAACTGCGAATCACTAATCGCTTTTGTAAGAAAAAAAATAAAAGTTTGTTTGAGAATCTAACAAGAAATCAACATGTTTATGAGTATACTGTAATATTTAAATTATGCACTTGTTTTCCTGTTACTGATAAGCAATTTAAGTGTAACAAAATTTAGTAAGAATACTGGGTACTCAGTTAGTTGAAAACAGAGTCTAGCCTAGTACAAATATGCATTGGACTAAGTTGCTATATAACATTATCACTGAAATGACATTTAAAAAATGGATAGCAAACGAGTCGAAGTAATTGTCTTAGCAATGACAGTAAAATAGCAGGAACTTAAGATTGAAAGAGTGAATACATTTGGGCTACCTACAGCCTATCTTGTGTCATGTGAATCAACGCCTCCGACCACAGGCTATCGTCACAGCGCAGACCCCGACCACGTAGTCTGCATCTACCAACGAGACAGCCTACGACCCACTGGCTTCATGTACTAATGCCACGTCTTGGTTCGGCCATTTCTAGCTTTCTTCCAATAAACACTACACGTCGAGGTAAGCAGTGGTTGATCGGACACTAACATTCAGTGATGCACTTGTATATTCCATTAACCAGTAAAATACGTTTTGATGACAATCTTAGTTAAGTGAACAAAGATACACATTCCCCATTTAACCAAGAAAAGCAAGGAATTAAAAAATGTTTCATTCAAAATACGTATCAACGGCATTTCTTATCATTATGTCAAGTCCTTAGTGTTGATCGGACTCGATCGATCAAGTTGCGAAGTACCCACTAGTTTAAGTGACTCAATCGATAGAAGCCGACCACCACCAAGAAGAAATGAACATATACAACGTTAGTCACCATCCAGTGATCAATTATATATAATGAATGATTTGCGTTTTTCTTCAATTTTTGATGAATAATCACCAATTCACCTATAATATCTAAGGACAATCTATTGGCCTTAATGAAATATAGACAAGTGACCAAATGGAACATTAAAATATGTTATCGAGAGAGAAACAAAATTATTAATAATAAATACGGTTCAGAAGAAAAGTTTAGACGACAAGCTCAATACAAGAATGTTTGTTGAAATCGACAACATATTTTACACTGAGCTAAGTGAATTGATGGATTAGAATGTATAACAAAATCATATAAAGAAATAATTACAACTTGAATAAATCAGTGATATTAATTTCAATTGATAAAATGAATGTATCTAAGATGGTATAATTTTTTATGGTTGAAAATACTTCATTCTCATAGGTACAAATGAAAACACGACAGAAAACTAAAACAACCTGTTAGTGAACTGCAAATACAGTACGATACCCAGTCATCTAGAGCTTGGTAATCACATTAGTAAGTCAAAGAGGCAGAATATGGTCAGTACCAAAGACTATTTAATAATAAGTACCATGTAGCTGAATAATAAATAAAATGTATCCCAAACATTTCAGGCAACACAATATAAACATCTCATTTACTCATACAATAACCGCGAACAAAAATTAGCAATAGACTTTAGTGTTAATCATGTAGTGGATTTTATTGTGCAATGACCAAATATTTGATATTTTAGAACTTTGTATCTGATGGAATAATATTATGCATCAATAAGTGAAACATATGAATTTAAAAATTATTCCGCTAAAATTTATCGTCCAAAACATAAAACCACAGATTCATAGAACACCTATTCCAGAAAACACTTACAAAGGTATTTACCAGGATTATAAAATTTTGTTCATTGAACTTTAGAAGAGTACTTCGCCTTAATGACATAAACATACTGAGTTATGAACCTACTTAAACAGTGGAAATTAATAAACAATTTTTTTATTTATTAGTATAAACAATAATTTATTGACGGATAGGCCCACAGTCTTATGAAGAATACTGTATACAGTATGCTTTACAAATTCCAAAATTCATCATTAAAATTGTAGAAACAATTACCACGAGAAAACACTATACGCTTTTTACAGGACACACTGTAGTATGGAATTTTATTGACAATTACTACTGCATGGCTGTAAAAAAATATATTGATTGAGTAATTTGGAAACTATTATGTAAGAAATAAAAAGTAATCGATATTCATTGCACAACTAGTTAGTTATTCATTAGAAAACTTTCTCTAACAATATTCACGCTTAGATTATACGAAAAAACAACATAAATATTAAATTCAATACAAATTAAAATAACAATAGATTTAATGAATGTTAGTAGCTAAGCGAAAAATCAATAATTAATGTAACTTAATGAAAATACTAAATTAAAAAAATTCACTAATCCGCATAACTAATACAATTGCTACTATTCAATTTGAACTATTTACCTAAAATTTAAAGAAATATCTAAATATTGTACAGTCAGAAACTGATGTATATTAAAGTACAGTATTAATTTTATACGAGTATAATTATATAAAAAGATAAAAATAATGCTGGTCAACCACTCATTCATGAATAAACATGTGATGTATACAGAGTATTCAAATCATTGGTTTGATTATTGGTAGAGCTGCAGTTTTGAGTCTTATCTTGAACAGAGATGAACTCGAAAGTATGTATAAGTTGATTAGTAACTTCCTTGATAACAGAAAACTTACAAAAGAAAAATCAGAAAACGAAATTTCATTCTTGAATGTTTTGATTGATAGGACAAAGATAGGAACGCAAGAAACAGGAAGCTAAGCCGAACAGATCAAACATTGAAGTATAACAGTAACGTCCTAAAAACACACAGAAGAAGTTGCGTACGGAGGGTATCCTGAAAAACCAAAACCTCGCTCATTACACAAAAATATTGTAAAAATCCATTTTATACCTTTCTTGTATGAGAATAGATACCCCAGCAACCTTACTAAAAGGTGTATAGAAACTCGATACACTACCCAAGACAACAATTATCATGAATTCCGTTGAAAAATTCCTGAACCGAGGGAATCCTAAGAACGCCGAAGAATTTTCAGAAGTACAGTTTTTAAATCAATAAGTAATCAATAAATCCAGGCTGCATACTCACACAGAAAAGGCCAATCCCTCACATGACCGGAAATCAACGGGAGAAGATGGTCAACAGGAATTCAAGATCAAATGATGAAATAGACCTACAAAAACAATCAATCACTAGAATTCATCAGGATGGGTTGATTTGATATTTGTTGGATAACTGAATGGCTTACTTTTACATGGAGTAGACGCTGATGATCCTGTCTAGAATGACAGTAGAAGCTTCGAATCTAACAAAAAAAAACACCAACATACGTATCTGTCTGAGCTCCAAATTAACTCCATTATAGACAGAAAGCAAGTAAAAATACACTGGAAATTTAAAAAATATAAAGGTGTGCTTCAGTTTTCTTATATCTTTGTAACAAACAAATTCTTCGTCACAGTTGACTTCATTTGCATAATCTGATAAAGTTTACTCTTTGATTAAAACCCCAGTACCATGTGTATATTAGAAGAAGGTCATATAAGGGTGGCAAGCACAACATACTACATGGTCACCCGAATTTATGAACTTGCATTCATCTCATAGTTTTTGTAACTTTATCATAATTTGTTACACTACATGGTTAAAATTATTTAAAATTAATCAATAATATTATTCGAATTATCACTGGAAATATCACTCTGACCACTTCAACCGATCTTATGCAAACTGAAGAATGAAACGACAAAAAAAGAAAAGCTAAACGTCGTCCACGTAATAAACTGTGCAAGAAACACTGCAACTTCGTCTGCATGAATACCACGATGTAGTTCCGCTAATATCAACGCACGTGTACAATTATGGACACATGTCCAACCGGGAAAATGTTGAGATTTTGAATAGAGAGAATACAAAAAACACCAAAGCTTGGTACTCAGCTCAATCACTGACCAATAAACTAATCGAAATCGATCCAATTTAACAGTCAATCAGAAGTTTTATAAACAAAAGTCGGATAAAGAAACAAGTCAAAGAAGGAGACAATCAAAATAAATATGCAGACAACGACTGATCAAAGGTCAAAAACAACCAATCAAGATCAAGGTCGACAGCACAAGCTTTCTATCATACATAAGGGAACTCAAACACTTCACTTCTACCTTGAGTTCGTGCTCATGATATTGTTCAGAATAATGAAAACCTTACGATCAAACCATACAACTCAGGGAACGAAACTCCACCATCTCAATACATTTTCTCTGATGATTCATAGAGAATGAGCAAGTGCCTACATGATTAACTTATCCCCTATAAATGTTTCTTTAAAGTACTTCAAGCAATATGGTAAACAAAGTCCCAATATCATTTTGCAACGAAACCCTTATTGTACAACATACAACATATTAAGTGATTACTTGTTTACCTAGTTTTACAAAAGGACTGGGAAGATATTCTTGCATAAAAACGGTTACTATAGTAATCGACCTAATTACGGAACCATTGTGATCGATGTTCTAATCTGAAAAACTATATTAGTAGTAGTAGTAGTAGTAGTAAAGATAGAAGAGCTTAAAACTTAGATAAGAAATATTTGAATTCAAATAATAAACACAAAGATAGTAGACCTACATTTTAAACATTCTTAGTGTAACCAAACATACAATAGACCTACTATTTATTCTGTATTATTCATATACAATTGAAATAAAATGTACCGCACATAGAATTTTCATGTGAGTAAACAAAATCTATCGATGCTTTCCCTTTGTTCGAACTATTTAGTCTGATTGTTTATCGATCTGAAAAATGATTGACTGAAAAAAATTAAATAAGTTTGACATAGTCAGATAACCTACTCAACTCAATTACATAGCAAGAATGATAGGAACCTCATAGTACAGATACGGATGCTTACAACTTTTGTCTAAAACAGTCTACGTTTAATGCGAATCCTGACAGAGTTCAGAGAGTCTTAGTCAATCGTACTGAATACGTTTTTATGGAGCATTTTCGACAAAGAAATGTATTGAGTAGTGTTAGATGAAGTCTAGAGTGAAATAAAAAGGACGGATTCCAAAGTATTTAATGTATCCTAAGGGTTCTCCAAAGAATAGTCACATCTAGTCAAACTAATGCAAAATCAATTACTTATTTAATCGACTAATGTAACTATAGTTTTACGAAATAGAACAGTTTAAATTCATTATTTCTGGAACTTAAACGGTCACTACTCAAATATATTTATGAAGTTTTCACACGATACATTTTATGTCATAAAACTAACCAGTTGTCAAAATAATAGTAGACTGAGCTAAAAAGACAATGCTTCAATAAGCAGAAAACAACTAAGTAGACTGTAAATATACATTATTAAGTGAAATAGTTTTGTGGAGGGTTGTTTAACCAGTTAGTTACATACAATATGGCACCTGAAATGCGTATATAACATTCCGGATGGCTAAAACTTACATCAGAACATGTGTATTTGGAGGGTAAATTTCATGACGAACTGAGGATAGCTAAAGAAATAGTGGAAAACGATAAATTACTGCTCTAATTTGGTACTCCCTAGGAATGCACATCCGAAATTCCACAAGGGACCAAATGTTGAACCTTAACGTCACATAACAAACCCAACATCATTAAGGAACATAATCGGAATTTAGTGATATACGTTTTCCGCCTCAATCAATTTGTGATATAGAGCGATAATCATTCAATATCATTATTACATTGCTACCTGATTCTTAACATTTTTAATTCTATAAGTCACACCCAACCAAGCTGATCTTGAGTGCTATTAGAGGTACAGAGATTGTTGCCACTTGTAGGTTTCTGATACCGTGGAAAAATACTTCTTAAGGTATGTTTCTGACATATGAGTGAGACCTTAGATCACACGCGGCCTTTTTGTGAATGATTTTCGATATGCTAAGGCTGTGCTTTTAAGACCTTACTACCGGCGACATGTATCTGTGGGGCAAGAAGAGGTGTACTGTTTTGATGGCAGCATCATCTAACTCATCCTCATATTGTGAAAAGGCAGAATTTCTACGGCCGTTGGTTGTCTGAAGAAAACACTACTGTAGTTACACGTTTGTACAGTAACCAGTGGAAATTCTTACTAGAATATAGAGGTCGCTTCCCATAGTCTGAAACCTCTCCAACCAGGTTGTCTGGCATGGTGGAACATAAAGGAACAAGTGTTCCTTTATCACAATAACCACGTCCGACTTCCATATCAAAAGTACCACGTACAGTCAATAAGCTTCTTATCAACTCTTTTTGAAATCTATCTCGAATCTGGTCAGTAATGATTACAAAACGACTATTATTACTATAAAGTGGTTCTATGTATTTCGAAGGTACAATTTACTGAATTGGTTGATGTTTTTTACAAGCTGAATTCACACTTTGGTCAGTCAAGATAATACAATTATGTAGAACAAAGTTCATTAATATGTAATACACAAAAACTAGGATGATAAGTACTGTAAGTGAATACCCATATCATTCAATTTTTTAATTGAGTATAAAATTACTGATAAAAATATCTGTTTTTAAATGTGAACATTTCAATTTAAATGAAGTGTATAAAATGAAAAGCGCAGACTCTCATAAATCTTCCTTTTTAGATAAAATAATCCATTGCACGTTTAACCCATCTATTAACAAATAAAGATTTTAAAAAATTATAAGGATACACTTACTAGTACACTATTAACAGGAAAACACGTGAAATATATACACCGAGTATATTTACACACCAGCCATATGATTATATATTGACTGATAATTTAATCATTACTGAAAAACATGTTGTTTCCTGTGTTGCTTAAACGTTTTTTTCATCTTACTCAATATTCACCTGTTTACTTGTATATACGTCTTGGTCTATTAAATTGTAGTGAAATCTTATAATTATTGTTATAGCCTGAAATAAGTCTCATTGCGGAAAACTACCTGTGTTTTTCAGGAAAAGAAAGTATACAAAATAGTTTAAAACCGGAAAAAGCATCTATCCGGAGTTTTTCTTACCTTTCTATACTATACGTCAGTTCATGACGAAAACTACTTTGTACAGTGAAATTTTATTCAAACTGAGTCATCCAAATGAGCTAGTCAAAGCTCGAGTGGCGATTTATTCAGCCTCATTGCTATAATTTACACTTTATCCTACTTCGTTCTACTGTTTATAAAATGTAATACTTATTATTTGAGCAAGAAATATAACCAATCGTGAGTGCTAGTATTTAGGCATGTGTTATGTAGTATGAGATTACTACGTAGTTTAGGCACTCAGCTGTAACCTAATGTCAATACGCCTGTCGAAACGTTGTTTCTGCACACCTGCTAAATGACCAAATACAATGGGATGTCAAGATTTAGAAAATAAGCTGATTAGTCTGCAATTAACCAGTTTATTGTTTAATAAATAAATCACAGGAACTAATAAGAATAGAATTCAACTGATATCATTTATAAGTAAGAGAATATTTATCGCTATGATAAACACATTCATAATGATTAATAATGGCTGTATTTAAATCAAAAACTGTGTCTAACCGTTCAAAACATACACTGTCAGTACCTTTATATATTTTATAAACATTTTAAAACGATTACGTTTTCTTTTCGAAAATAGGTAATTCAACAAATAGTTTACATGAAACCATAAAACTATTAACATACTATCTGAAATAATTATACATAATAAATAATATTATAGCCAATTGAAATAACAATGGTAGTAGTACAGTGTATTGCATGGCTGGTATTAATCATGATAACAGTAGAGTAGATAAATTAATCGGACAAAATTAATAATGAAAGTCAAGAGATAATCCACATTAATAATTCTGTAGGTAATGTAACAGAAATGAAAAAAGGAACAATTACTGGACGATATTAAAAAATCCTGTCTCGCTAATTCAGCAGCATATTTTCCAGCTCAGTACGATTTCAAGACACTTTCTGTCAGGAGCTGACAGCAGCTAGAAACATTGGTTTTAGGGTTATCTCTAATCTTCAAGTTTCACTTTGTTTTTTGTTCGCTTTTTTATTGATATCCCTTTTTGATGAAACATGCAGTTAAAATCGGCAATAAACTTCCGACTCACTTTACCTGAAGTTGGTGAATTATATAATCAGGTAGCCAATAAATGTGCACTAATGGGAGCCTGAATTAGTAAGATGCCCAATATTCGGCTTCATAATCAAAGTATATTAAACTATATTTTCACATCTCAATCGAGATGAAAAAAACTAGCTTTCACTGGAAATTATTTTAGGAAGAATCTATAATCTATTTAAAAAATCAAACATTTTTTCGGATAGATCACTGTTAACTAACTGGCAATCAATGCAGTTATCATTAATCATGAAGACGAGAATAAAAAAACTAAACCAGGTCATCAAACAGCATATTTTTCCTAAATAAACTACATGAAAAATATCGTTTAACGTAAACATTTCACCTTCCTGGTATATCAAAGTTATCTACAAATTTAAATCTTATTGACTATCTTTTTGAAGTTGTTATTCCTACCTGATAATATTAAATGTTAATTACTCTTATAAGTATCATAAATGTGTACAGATGGACCCATTTATCTACAGTAGTTATATACATATCAGAAGTCATACTGATTAACAAATTCATCGACTGATTAATCAACAACCACAAAAGCATTAAGCCATGGTTTTGAAACAACTGCACGACCAAGCACTATGCTCGGTCGTTATCTATCATATTCTTAAACTGAAACAAAAAATCACTAATGCAGATCAGAAGTAAACTAACCTTTGAACAAAACTAACAAATAGTTTCAATTCGTCTGTAGGTTGACTGTTAGCAATAAAATGAGTCAGTTGTGTTGTTGAAGACAATCCTTCTTGATTAATCGTTGTACAATGAGGATTATTTTTGTCATCCTTGCGAAGGCACCATGGAGTAACAGTTTGAGAAAATGAAAACAAATCATGTTGATTTCCTTTCAAATCAATTTCTGAACTGGTGCTAACCTACAAAAATAGACAGTGAAAGATAACTAAATTAGGAAGGAAAACCCTCTTAAATTACAACAGAAATAGCAAGTAACTTACATAACGTTGAAAGTCGACCTTGAAACACAAAATAACCAGAGCTTCTGGTATGATAGACTCCTATCAATTTATCTTTCATGTTTATTGCAAAAATTGTCTAGATATGTTAGTTGGTTTATGCCGATCTAATCTGCGCTGGTGGACAAGTGCAGAAGGCCCTTATGTGATTTTTTATAGACCAGGTTGAGGTATTTAAAGTGACTTTTAAACTAGTCATCTGCAAAAACAGAATACAATAATATCGAGCTATCTACCTTGAAGATTATGCTGTGACTGGGATTCCACTTGATAAAGTTTTCTGTTTGCAAATATTAATGTGATCCTGTTTATTCATTTATTCAAACACAAACAACGGTATGAGGCACCAAATAGATATGCGCCACACGTTGTCATTTGATTTGTGTGAAGGCTGGCATAGTGCCCCGATGCCCAAACCGACGAAGGTGGTTTGCCTAGGGGGGTCACCTATCCGAGCCTTTGACCTATAGGCCTAATGCACAAGGCAGTGGAGCAACTTCAGAATATGCGATCCTATGGTAGCCGGTGATCAAAAATATGTTCATACGCCATCTGTTCTCTCAGGATCCTAGGGCCCATGTACACCATTGGTTTGGAATCAGGGTTTTTCAACTCCCCTACGTGGATCCTCCATATCCAACAACCCACGTTAAAGCTACAGCCATTCGCTTTTCGTCCTCGCGATTTCGTAAACAACAACCCCGCTGCGAGAAGGCAGTGGCTGTATACGCGTAGCCATGTGAGAGCACTTCGAGAGGGAGGGTAAACTCGTGCTACCCTCAGTCGTACCAAGGCATTTGGAGGCAACCAGAAGTTACAATTAACTATAAATGCCATATTAACATCAACATGTTTATATAAATTCACCTAACACTGTGCAATACGGATAACACTAGCTGAACTCATGTAGCACAACCGACCCAGATAACATTTAATGTTTAATACGACTAATTGGGAAATAACGGCTTTAGGTACTTAGCTTTCGGCTACAATGTTTTGATAGAACTTAGTGATACTTTCTGGATGGCCAAACCGAAGTAAGTAGGTGTGAGCCTAGTAATCCAGTTGATAGAGTGCTATTAAATAATTTCTCCCACTTTCCTAAGAACCTTAGCAGTACCCAGATACTAATAATCTTTCGCAATGTTTTTTATCCACTAACCGCCACAAAGATGAAATAATAGTTTAACTTCGAAAACAATTGTTAGCTAGATATTCATATGCACAAAAACTTCTCAAAAGTTGGTGAACATTAGATAGTAAAAATATTGAATAATAATATCCTCAAACTCCAAAACTTTATATCTTATAGATCGGACATAAACATTTTACGATTCGAAAGCTTGCTATTTGCGCATATATCAATTAGATTTTGACTAAATGATAGTGTGTATTCAAGAGCTTCAGAATTATCTATATTTTACTTTTATAAGATACACTAAAAAACACAAACATTGATGACAAACAGTTCAAATTCAAGAATATCGTACGCATAAATTTTAGCTTCATACGTTACGCGAAAATGGATTGCTCAAAGAGTAAAAAAGCACAGAGGTGCTTTACCTGAGTGAATAGTGAATAAAATCTACCTCTCCTTCCTCTTGTTTTATCCTCATTTATTTTTCGAAGCTTCGTCGTGACAGTAAATGCAATACGCCAACTACCAGTTGCAAAGTGAATGAGGACCGTTGATGTACGCATAGTACCAGATTTATTTGAAACAGATAAAACGACGTACAACTGATTTAAAAATAGGATTGACCTAAAACAATATGACGATGTAACAAAAACTAGTGCATACAACTATTAACAGGTTGTGGCCCATCTAGAACTGGTTTTACAAAGAAATTTAAGTGAGCTTCCAAGAGTTATCTTCCAAATCACCCTAAATAACTGCTAAGTAGTCGGTTATCAAACATCAAGGAGGCTTTGAAACATATCCCTTGACTTTGATCGCCCTTTACTGAAACACCAAACGTTCACGAGCTTTAAAAATCGAAAATCATATCATGATGATAACTTGTGGCATGCTGAGGATAGATTATTTTATCTCACCGTGTTAATGTGGTATTACTACTTGATATGATGCTTGTGCACCGAGTATGTTTGGTTGACTGAGGATAAATATGGTGTGAAGTAATTCGTAAAGGAAAATGGTGTTTAGAAAACAACAGAATCAAAAGACAAAGAATTTGAAAGCTTTGAACTACGACGCAACACTTTTCTTATTTAAAAAATGAACTACAGTAGTATAACCAATTGGTTGTTTTAATAATTAAGCACCTGTTGGATGACATTTCAATACACACTATATGGTCATCAAAACTTGAAATTCAGAATATAGTTCATATTTGTGAAATACTTAATAGAGGTAAATTAAGAAGCGTCAAAAACCCTTCATCATGCAGAAATATCGAGTCTTCAAATAAGTGACGGCGGTAATGCTTCGTTAAATGACCTCTTACACAAAAACATTATACTTGTGATTTACTCCTCTTGAAAACACATAAAAGTCATTAGGGTGAACACCTTTGTTCTCATGAAGTTCACAGTGACTCTATCTACTGAAGAGACTATTAAATCATTATTTGACCTGTGTTCGTCAGGTCTCTTGAACAGTATATCGAAACAGTGCAAGTGACCACATACAATCAAAATTTTGAATATAATTATGGTCAATGTGAAAGCTCCCTATCTCAAAATAAAGCCAGCAAATACTCACTTGTGGCTTCGCTGAAGAGGTATCGTATTGCACATCCATAACCGATGGAAAAATAAGCTTTTTATTTGACAAATGGAGATTTTCATCTTTAAAAACATTATTAGCATCCATTACTGTGTGAGGCAGAAGTAATTCATCTGGTTTCACGAGATGAGATCCAATGGGACCTGATGAATAATCCAACATCAAATCGAAAGGCGAATGTTCAGTTTTACATTCATTTGAGGTATCCGAAGGCTCGGCATAAGGATTGAGAAAAACATGGCCATATCTTTTGTTTTTATCTGAAGTAACAGACGTCGGAATTAAGGGGTCGAACATTAACTGTATCTCCGAAAACTTATGAGTAGGACTGTTAAAATCGCAATCAAAATCAATCAAATCCTTCGACTCTTTAGATTTGTTTATTGGGCTAGACATTATGGTCACTAAAACTTATATTAATTACAATCTACATATTACACACAAGATAACATGTTAAGTTGGAGATTTGAATAGTTGGCTGATTACATGTATCTGTCACAACACAATAAAAGTACGTCAGAAGAGCTTGATATGTCCGATGAAAAAAACATGGGTAACCATTTGTTCATCAAAGAAGTGGCTATATGAGCCGTAATAACAATCCCTTAATAATGATTAATCTCACATAAACTGGATATGCTAAGTAACGCAATCCCGAAATGCAATGTTCAATGTCTTCGTGATAAGTTAGTGTAAACTATGTAATTTCCTTGCACTAACTTCTTTGTGTTGAGATATAGCCCCAGGCTTCTGATAATGTACAATAAGGACATTCCAGTCATGCTAGTAAATTTGACAGCACTTGATAGGTTTATATTCCCAAAAGGTAGTTGACATTATAAATTAGACAGTCGCAAATTTTTCGTACACGCGTTACGCGTGATCAAGTAAAAATTGGAAATATAACTAATTGGCCGTTATGCAAGGAAAACGAGGTAAAAAGGGAATATTCCGAGGAAATATTCTATCTACATTAGTCGTCCAACGGTTATTCCAGGCAGTGCCGTTTTGTCCTGGTTATCAGACTCCAGTGAAGCTTTGTAGTGTTTATTAACCACCGGAGATTATGTTGTGATTACGAAACTCTTGTCGTAGCCTTTCGGCCTCTGGGTAATAACATTAACTTCAGTTCCGTTATTATTGACAGTGTAGTGTTCAGGGTCAACTTAAACTGTCGGCGTGGCGCAGCACTATCTACAAAACGCGAATACTAAGTAGTAGGATGGTCTGAACTAAGACCCGCTGATGATGCTCGGGTAGATGCACGTTTTTCCAAAAAGTTCACTTTTGTGAGATGTTTCGTGTAGACTTTTTGATGCACACGCACTAGAGAAGATGAAGGATCTGCGAAATCTCCTGGAGGTCAAAGTGTTGTGTAATTCATGTGTGTGCTTACAGCGCGTCCAGAATCAGCTTTCACCGACGGCCGAATTTCGAGGAACTAGGGTGGAAGAGTACCAATTCATCGTGACACATTTTCAGCTGAATGTGAAGGTTTCAACTATGGGTGAAACCATTCAATCAAACCATTGGATTGTGAGTGGTGAGTGGCCGGCCGTTATTCGTATGAATTCATCAGCACTACTTGACAGGCGTAGATATTTTATTCTGATGAAGATTCTACCTGATCAAGACAAACAGGACTGAAGAAAGCGTCTGGAGTTATGGAATAGCTTAAAGAACATTTGCCTTTTTGACTTAGATTTCTGTCAGCTTGAACGGGAGTGTGCCCCGTCTCTCACTCGTTTTTTCATACCAGACCAGCGCAATCGTCCTCCAATGCGCTTGATAGTTGCAGCGTATCAAGGAATGAACGATCCCCACCTGTGGATGTGTCATGTAGTGAAATTTTTACACATTTTACCATATTTTCGATTTGTGATTTCAAAGTTGTTGAAGATAACTCGTAATTGGTTACGTTACCCATTTTGAAAGCTGGGCGACTTTACGAAGGTCAGTCCCTAACGGATTGTTCAAAGAAGTGTGGTGTCTGCGTGAACTAGTGATTCTCTTGTACTCGATGTGCGCCTGATTTTGAATTCCAAATATAATACGTTCGTTTGTGCTCACCTAGTTCTGTCGGACATAAATTGCGATTTTTTCGGGGATTCCTGGTTCACATAATAATTCGAATACTGTAGGAAGCAATTTCCTACAGGTTTAATTCTGAGCTATTCTCTAGACCGTCGAATAAAGACTCTTGGTTTGGCCAAAGTCAGAACAAGCAAGCTATTTGGCTATATAAACTTTATCTGTTTCTAAAACATAAATTAACATCGTTAGTGTACAAACAAACAGTACGGTCTACTAATACAGCGATAAACAGAGACAAATAACATACCGAACAGTAGCCAGAGAATAGGAAAAATGAGTCAACAAGCAAATAGTGTTTTACAGTGAACATCAAACTGTGACTGGTTAATAAAGAGATACAGTCGTACTAGGTCAAAAGGAGTTAATGTGGTAGTTCGGAGTAAGAGCTTCTAGGGTACCAGGGTCATCTGTCATCTTAACCAGAGGTCTGTCATTCAGTATCCGTTCCGCCTCAGTTAAGAAGGTTTGCAGAGTTTCATCGGTCAACACGTTTTGGAATAAAAGCATTCTTAAGATTTTTCTAATTGATCTTATGATGCGTTCCCACACACCACCTCGATGACTTGCCCTAGGTGGGTTGAAACGCCACTCACATTCTCGTTCTTTTATCTATCTCAAACTGACATCTGCACCTCGGTTGGTGGGTTCGTCTATCGATCACACTTTACAAATACTTATAATTATCACAGCAAATTATTCGGGACAGGGAGTCTGCAACCACATTGATTTCCCCAAAAATGTGTTGTGCATCTGGAGTAAAATCCGAAATGTAGTCAAGTTGTCGAGACTCTTGACGAGAGAACGTGTCTGAAAATGAGATTAAGGAGAACTTAAGAGGTTTGCGATCGATGTGTCCAGTGAATTCTCGACCTTCCATGAAGTGTTGAAAGTGCCGTAGAGCACTATACATGGCTATGAGTTCATTGCCGAAAGTACCATACCTCGATTTTTTCCTTTCGACCATCTCGAGAAGTTTACCAAAGGTTATAAATTGTTGCTTACCCATTGTTGGAAGATACCTCCAACCGCCAATTCGGATGAGTCTACGGCGATGAGAATGGGTGCTTTTGTTTTGGGGTTTCATAGTATAGTTGAGCTGGCCATGCTATCCTTAACTGTGAAGAACACACTTCCTCCATTGTCGTCTTAGATGATCATTTTGGCAGCTCGTCCGTTAATGGCAACAAAATAGAGGCTCTATTCAGTATGAATCTTCGGTAAAAACTTACCACAGTTACTTGACTATGATCGGTATCGAGCAATCGAGAATCCTCCAAACTTTATTTTCCAGAGTGAGAATACTATGGTATACCCGGCAAACTTGAGGGAGTTAGTCTTGATCTGACATTTCCGAATATTTACAGAAAAGTAAAGTTTTTGCAGAAGTCTATACACAGGAGATGAAACCTCACATCTGGACGTGCGATGGGCCAATCACTAACATATGATCACACTAATACAAAACCTCTGAATAGGTTTTTAAAGACTTTCTGAAAGTCAAAGCTGCACTTCTTAAACCAAAAGGCTTGTCGAATTATGGTCTACTTCGTTGTTTAGCAATAGAAATCGAAAATTGGAAATTAAGCAAGTTGAGGTCGAAAGAAAGGATATAACGTAACATTCAACAGAGACCACGCCTGCAAGGCTGAGCCATGTCGTCTGGTCGATTCCAATTCATTTCAATTCATTCTTCTGGCCTCCTCCAGTGTTGGGTTTTTCTCCGTGTTAAACGTTGAATATCTGTTTTCCCAGTTGTTCCGTGTTCGGCTTTGAGGATTGTGTGATTAGGGCCCAGTGCCACAGCAGGCTTACCCAAAAATCCATGGAGTTTTAAAAGAGTAATGACAGCTGTTTCAGGAGCGTAGTTTGTAGCCATAAGGGTTTTGTTGTATGCCTCGACTAAGTTGAGTTTTTGAAAACATGTTCGCACTTTTCGAAGCAGCCGTTAGATCGTGAAGGTGAGAAAACAGATAGATACTGAACGTAGCTTTTGGTGTGACGTCACTGATAATAGCTATTGGGACCTCAGCTGTTACCATTCTTTTGAGACCATATACAGAAGAGATGCCCATGGGTTACCTGATGACTGGCTCATTCTTAAATTGACCATGTGATAGAATTCATTTTTGGCTAGTTATGTCTTCTGAGTAGTTAGTCGGCGTGAATATAGATGGTCCTTTTGTTATGATGTGGTGTGTAACATTGCTGATCGCACACGAAAATTGCGGTCTTGTTTTGTATAGTTCAGAATGCTTGTTGAATACTGGTTGGAAGTGCTCATAGATAATATATTATATTATGAATGGACTATATCGACAATTGGAAAGTGGAACTCTACAAACAGATGATTTGTTATATCAGCACATTAACCTCTGCTAGTTTGGTCGACTGATAGATTATTGCATTGTATCGACTCTATGACAATGATCGGGACTGACACATCTACAAAAATCAAGATCCGGTGAATGGTTGGGCGTAAACTATGTCAAGATAAATGTACCTCTAACCGTATGTGATGATCGGTTTACCGTTTTCAACCCGTAGGTTGAAGATTGGGTCTTGAGATCATAATCGGTATCAAATACAGGGTCGCTAACCTCTGTAAGATATGGTGCGCTTTTGTGACCTCATAAGTGAAGTATAACAGTTATACGAAGTGGTTAAATTTGCCATCAACGCATGCCAGCGGGAAAATCTTACGGATGGTTGATTGTACCCTCTTAAAAACATCAATAGTAAACATACTAGGCGTAACGTGTCTGTTGAGCTTGCGCGGCATTGCTGCGAAGAACTTCATGCATGTACCTGCAGTACTTTCGGTCACCAACCACGCGACCCTTGGAGTCAAACATACGATAACTAAGATAAGCATTCAATATTTAACAAGGAGAATAGTTCACAGATGTTGGGGTCACATAGTCGATATGACATATGTCGACTGTGAAGGTTTAGCCATCCCATTTGACGTCTTTTCTTCGATGCTAAGTATATCGTTCTATCTTCTGAATATGTTCTTTAGAAGTCCTAAGTACCATATTTCTGACTGTCACGATGGAATAAAGCGGTGTAGACGATGATGTGACTTCCATGTAAGACCGTATAGATTGGGTAGCCAAATCATGACAAATCTAGAATTTCGGAATCTAATACTGACCGAAACATGACAATATTACAGGTTTTCCATGTCATATTCATGGAAGTTGGCTTCTGCATAGCAGGATCAAGCCTCAATATTATCGGACACAAATGCAACGAGATGCAAGGCGAGGGACTTGAGAGATTTAATCTTTAAAATTTTGGATATGTATCATGGCCTATTAAAAAATATATCAATGTGTGAGAAAAACAGATAACGCAAGAGTAGTACCAGGATGCCAAATCAAAATCATAAGTAGCTATTCATAATAGTTTCTCAACATCGCCATAAAGTTTTGTCGCGATTTGACAATCACGTTATGTGTTTGATTTAAGCTATAAAACTAAGAAATATAACATTTTATAAGCTATATAATAACTATTTCCATAAATAAGGTTGTTTTTCCACAACTAGCTTTGTCTAACACTTGTTGTTCCAAATAAATTATTTCTTCCTTGCCAACTGGTTCCTTAGTAGGTCTGATTAGAAGTTTGACAACAGCCATTTATGAAAATCATCCTAATAAGCTGCCAAGTTAATCTCTTACAAACTGAAAGTATCATTATCGTATTCATACAAACACTGGCTAACTGTTCATAACATCATCATAGAAATGGGTTGAGAGTTAGACTTCTGCTCACCCTGATTGTCACATGGCTTGCACTCACTCTATTTACCTATGAGCATTCAATTAACTAAAGAAATTTACAGTAAATCATCTTTAGTGGTACTGTGTGAGGTGTGTTGATTTCTCATACGTTATTTCGAACAGGTTTATATCTAGCTTCCGTATGACCTAATGCTCACAACTAGCTTGTATGCACAGTTGTTTCTAACTATCCATCTACAAGTATTAGTGGGGATAATTGATTCACTAAGTAGTCAGTACACTGAGTTTACAGCATGAATTTCACAACTGTGATCCCACTAAGCCAATTATCGCCAGTTGTCCATACGAAAAATGGAAATTGCCACTGTCATGTGACGAAACGTTAATTGACATATATAACAGTTCATATGTTTTTGTTGTATGACTAAACCTACCACATATGTGACTTTTCTAATTGATTATTATTAGCATTAACAGAAAACTGTTCGTACTTTTAGCGGACAACATCCGACTTACACTATGCGTTCCAGTGTGGCTTGTTGTGTCACTTTGACCTGACTGATTCACTTTTCTTTATTGGTGGATTAACAGAGATGCAAATGACTAATAGAACATGCACCTGTGTAAAGTGCAAATTAACTTCAGAAATAGTCTTACTTACAACATCAAGCCAATCAAATGACTAATCTGTAAGACTCCGATTATGTCACTTACTCTAGGAAGCCTACTCGATTCTAGAACCCTCAGTATTTTACGTCTCTTCTTGATCGTATGCCCTAATTTTCCTGGTTAAAGGACACTTTCTGTGTACCCGCATTTACGAAGCTGGTTATGAAAGGCCATCGTCACAGACTCAATGTCATATATTCGATGAGATATGGTAGCGAGCCCAACTTCTTTCAGGTTCACACGTGTATTGTTTTAAAAAAGTAACTTTCCGTTTCAATGCATTTTTGTGTCCAATATGTCCACACTATGTATATTCCCTTCCAGTTTACAAATCCGTTCTCCAAGCCAAACACTCATGTGAGACCGAACATTTGTCACCTAAAATTGTACACTTCCTTTAGCACGTGATTATTTCATACAAACAGTTGAGCGATTCTTTTGGTTTCAACTAACTTATTTATTTATTTCTTGGAAGTAGATTCTTTTTTATTTCTGAATCGAGGACGACCAACAAGGCAGGTGAGTGAACAACTGATAGCCAGACAGAGCATGGGAAAATCATATCTCCCTAACATGGTGCTGGATAGCCCGTTCACAGCGAATCATGAGACACTCTTGTTTCATTTTCTTACCTTCTATTCTCTTACAAGCTCTGATCTTCATACAGAGGACACATCCAACAATTCATGAGCGATAATTTGTGAACGAAAGCATAGGCTATGCGATAAGATAACAAGCTAGTGAAGTACACGATACCCATGGACTATCTCCGAATACTGACTGAACATTGGTTGTTAGATTGGAAGTCAAACATGGAACCAGTTAGTAGTTCTCCTTTAGGCTGTGGAAACCAAAATGATATGATCTTGTTTGGTATGTCGGCTGAATTGACATTCCTATGGAAGTCGATTCTAAGAGAAAGTTAATGCAACGACTTAGGTGGATTGGTTAAGGATTGAACTCAAATAACTTAGTAATGTCGGAGAAATATAGCCCAGGAATTCATCTACTTCCTTGTTTCGTATTGGTATTGTATTTTCTGTTTGTATACGTACAAAGATAACCTCTCACTTCGACTGCATTGTCCATGATTTAAATAAAGACCTAATCATCACCAATATGGTTTCTTCTGTCTGCGAAAAGAGGGCCAATTACCGGCAAGAAAGGTTTACTTCAGATCTAAATAATCAACTTCTTAGGGTCAAGGTAACCTTCACTTTTTTCAGGCTATAAAGTGTCATAGTGAAGTCTTTCAGTGCTCAGTACTAAGAACTATTTGTTTCTTGATTCATATAAATATCCCTCCTCAGCGAATGCTATCTGATTTCTCACTTTTCGCTGACTCGGTGAAGCTCTGGTTAGAAGTTTGCGATCAAGCTTATAGACAGTTCGGGAGGGTCTGACCCGACATTAGTGTTATGTAAATAACAAGGGACAAGTAAAGTGTTAAGTAGTTCACCTGAGACATATTGCACGTTAATAGTTTAACATGGGTAACTCTCTATCTAGGGGTATATATGTTTAAAGAGATCTAAGAGTTTTGGTATCCTATGATCTAAAGTCACACGCTTACTGTGACAAAAATGCCTTTCGAGCAAACCTTGCACTGGTAACATTTGAGCGCATTTTTGGCCAGTCCTACATAAGAATTTTTCACGCAATATTCAACAGTCTCATTCGTCTCTATTTAGAATACGGAAATATAGTATTTCCTCCCTCACTTCAAAAGATAAGGACACTCTAGAACGTATCCAATGGCGAGACACGAAATCAGCTCGCGATTCGAGTTCAGGCCTTATAGAGAACGATTCTAATCACTAAAACTTTACCCGTTATATTACAGGCATACAGCATCCTTAACACTTCTGAATATCCCCTAAGCTCCAACACTAGCCTAAGGGGTAATACCCAGAAACCTGAGACAAAACTCAGCAGAATGAACTGCAGAGAAAAGTTCTACTCCATAAGAGTAGTCAAATGCTGGAATTCACTGACGGCTGAGATAGTCCAAGCAACTTCTCAGTAGTCCTTTAAGAGAAAACGTGACATATTCTTGGGGAATAAAGGGTAATATCTTGCTATGACTTACATGTCTGGAGGTATTGGTGACCCATCACTACAGGACACGGAAGGCCGTTAAGTGAAAGCTTCTCTTATTCCGTCCATAACCATTTGAACAATTTGAACCGAACAAGAAATAGGTAACATGAGAACAACTCGTTAGTCGAAGATGAATGCTATGGCAGACATACATTCTCAATTGTTCGTTAGGATTACTATCCAAAAGCAAAGAAATTGGCTGCAATTAAACGCAACTCAATTTCGTAAATGTGCCCTTCAACAATCTGAATATGTTTGATATCCAGACATATAATCATCCATTATCGCAATTCATCTTAATAGAGGTAGTGTCTAATGTGAAGATTGAGTCACACGTTACTGTTTAATTGAGCATAGAAATCCCCTACTCATCTAAAACGCATTATGATTTTTCGCGCTACACTGGTTAAACTGTCTTGGTTAGCACTTTCTGTATTTACTAGTAAAAATTCATTTGGATGTATTGTCTAATATTTGTAGCTTATTTATTAATTACCTGGCTTTCTCTTATGATTCTTAATAGTTTTCGATTCTGTGAATTCGTTATGGTCTGGATCGATCCAAGCAACTTTCCCGAGAGAAACCTAGTATTTCCTCAGGAAGTCAGGAAAGGACTTTGCACTGAAACGCATTATTTTCCTGTCTTCCTCCATGTTTCACATATTTGGGCTCCTATATGGAGGCGCCCATGGTCCTTCAGTATATTAAATATTACTGGCAACTGTTCATGCAAAAAGTGTTTTCATATAAATCACTACTTTCAGTTACGTTAGGTGTACAAACAATATGATTTCTCGTAGGAATTACGGGAAAACTTTCTAATAATACACTGGTACAGTTCGTTAACTTCTGCGATAAACCTATCACTGCGTGCTAATATTAGAGAAAAGTAGACTAATCGGTGTTAGTTTAGAGGAAACGCAAAAAATAGCTATCAATTTTGGGAAAAAGCGAACATTTCGGGAAGGATAAAATTTTTGATTCTGGTACATTTGCCCTCATCCGGAAAATTTCGGGCAAAATCGGGAAAAGGTAACAATTTGGTTTCTTATTAGGTTAGTGTCCCCTTGACTACACGTTGACATCACCATGTACACATGTCTACGAACATAGAAATCTGTTTTACATCCCGGTCTTGAAAAAATTTATCTCCATTGTTGTTGATATCTGTTGTACCATAGAGATTATTGGGACTATTTGTGATTATCCGATTAACAATACAGTTGGTTACAACTACCTTCGAAAAAACTCGAATGGTCAACGAAATTAAAGATTACTGAAATTGACTTCGATGCTCATTCTCCTCATTAACCAGTGACCAATAAAATAAATTACAATGAGGAACTAAATTCAGCAAACTGCAACGTATTATGCATCGTTCGTTAATAAATTTTGTCACTGATGCTTGTTCGTAAGTCCGTTATCTTCACATTTTCCTGTCGGTTGTCACCTTGTTCAAACGGTTCATGGGTACAGCCTAAACGATTTGCATCGTAAAGTCACTGAAGAAATCGAACAAAGAATCACATTTAAAACAAGACGGAAGTGTGATATGTAAGTGATCTCTACCGCCCGTGTCGCATTTTTTCCACATCACTCCACCATCTTGTTGTTGTTATAAGCTATTTTTCTGTATTGAGGTCTAGTAATGTTGAGTTCTTATTTATCTCAAATCTGTTTTCATGTTGTTCAACTTCATTATCCTATGCCATAAGTAGTGATGCTAACTTAGTTTGAGTAACTGATTTAGAATGCAGTTTAACTTTTATTTTATATCTCAACTTAATTCGTTTCTTTTAGAGAATTCGGAAATAAATTCTTAAGGTTGGAGAATTTTCTTCTGATTAGTTGATGAAATGCGACTGTTCCTGTAACCTAATTGCGTGAATAATATTTACCTTCAGGTACCGAAACAAGTTCACTGGGCTACAAATAGTATTTATTGAAGCCCGGTGATTTCATTTATGACCATCGTTTTATTCGAAAGTTGTGCTGCGGTTACTTAGGGAAAAAATAATTACTTATTAGTTCTATTTACTCCGTAGTTCTTATTGAGCTTTGGCTGTGTGCCAGTAATTTAAAAAGTTTATCCACAGCGCAGACCTTCACTCGTAATTTGTAATCCAATTTTCTATTACGGGCTTACAGGCTCCAGCACCATCAGTAAATATAGATTCCCATCGTCCTAAAACGTGCGGCTCATTATATAAAAGTGAATCTTTTATATAATGATTAAGTTATCTGGTACTTTCCAGTCTCCCGTATGTAATATATGTTTTGTTTTATTTGGGATAAAATACTAGTATATCTCATTAACACTCATTCATCAATATTCATCATGGTCCATTTAGATAATGGTTTCAATATCTACCTGTGGATTGATAATTTCAACACATCCTAGCCTTCTATCACATCAGTGAGATCCAGTGTTGCATCTTTAAGTTTCTTATGGTTAGTTATATGTCTTTCAGTAGTTTTTTGAACATACAATCTTTGAGGCTTTTCACACACGCTATTATCTATCCTTTCAGGGTAACACTTGATCCTATCAATGTAGATGTTTATGCTTGTGCAGATATATAGATACAGACAAATAATGTCACCAAAATTTTCTTGCTCCTTTGGTCATATGAAGCTAAAACAACCAGTATTGATCATTAAGAATACCGGCTTCATGAGTTGACCTCCTAATCACTCTCCTGAATGATGTCAGATATATGTTTGATTTAATCTTATTTAGAGGACTGATTAATTTCAAGGATTTCGAATATTCATTGCGAAAATGTAGCATTGTTTGGGATTCATCTCACTCTTGTTAAACTGAGTAACTTTGTGTAAATTTCTGTTTTTATATTTTTGACTATCGCTTAAAAAACAAGAATAATCGGTTGCCGGCGTGCATTTATCAACTTATTTTACGCTTAGTTTACATGATATATATTTTAGGTCACTTATCTCAATTGTACTTTAAAAGACACCTTTCAATGCACCCTATGTTCAGTAATTGAAAAAAAGTATTCAACACGAGTGCTTATTTATGTATCAGCACTTGTAACGAGTGTTTAATAACTAAAATTACTATATAACAAGAAACTAAAATTTCAAACTACTATTTTGTTTCTTATCATAATTCAGTTTCTGAAGATTTTATAAAATACATTGCCCAAGGAAGCGTTTTATTTGAAGTTTGTATTCTGTTATGGAGGAATCTTCGTCTATGTACAGCTATTTCTCGTGGTCTTTGGAGTTGTTTGGAATTTTATCATTATATTCATCGGTTGTAATCCCGTTTGTTTTGCTGAGTAACTACTTCAGGAACAGATACAAATCGCACATTTCCAACGGTAATTTTTCTTAACTCAAAGTAACTTATGAATTTACTAATGTTCGTTTTAGTTGTAGTGGTTTATTATATTCTCATGAATAGTTATATATACATGTGGTAGAATTTAATGTTGGACACAGTTGATATTGTGAATGTTGCTATCGTATTAATTTGTCGTATTCATTATCTAATCTCAAATCTGAAAACATACTCAAATTTAGTAAATATACGTATTATAGGATCAGTAATTACTATCATGATCTTCAGTTGATTATTAGTTTTATAATTTTATCATTGAGTTCTACCCACAGGGTTAACTGATTAATGCATGAAATTTTAAATGGGGAGCTAACTAAGTTTAAACAATTTGGTTATGCTAAAGACATTTTCAATAACCTACTGTCCACATGGTTTTTAAAATATAGTCAAAATTTGTTCGTACTGGCCAGTAAATCATAATCTCCAAAGTGATTGAAAAGTTTTACTTTAAATTCAAACCTATTTTATCTGTTCTGAACGATACTTAATTCAAAATGGGGTTTTAAAGCGGTTTATCTGCTAGTAGTACAAGCTTTGTCTCTCAAATTCTTGTAAACAAGTAACTTTCTGTATTTTCATACTTTTCACAGACAGCACGGGTTCTTGGCATGCAAAAGCAATGTACATATGTTTCGTACCTGACGTTTATTCTATAGAACACGTTCAGAATGAAGTGGATCTACCGATCCCGATAGTTATGTCTACAACGCGACACGGACTGCATTCAAAGCTGACATGCTTGGAATGCATCAATTCCTATCTACATTTCAATCGTAGTACCTCTAGCAGGACTTCGAAACAATACTATATATTATTGGCATTTTGCTTTTTTGGTCTACAATCGTCCTACTTGTTATGGGGAGTATTACAAGTGAGTTTTTTAGATTACATGGTACAAAATATTGTACACACATCCAAGCGGTACTTCAATGCAAACACTGATGAACAATCATGTCCTTAATATATATATATATATATATATATATATATATATATATATATAACTCGTTAAAAACGCTAACCAGAAAAATAATTCAAACCATTTAAACTGTGCACTGGGAGTTAAAAAGTCTTCATTTACATGAATTATGACGCTTCGTGGCGAAAGCCGAGGTCCTTCGAAAGTCGCGAGACTGATGCCTCTCCTGAAAACCAGAACAACCATCAATTTAGGTACATGGAATGTTCGTACAATGCGGGAGACTGGGAGTCATCCAAGCTGCTGCAGAAATGAAAAGATACAACCCGGAGGTGCTTGGAATCAGTGAAACACATTGCGCGCAGGTTGGACAACAAAGATTAGCTTCAGAGGAGCTGCTGTTATACTACGGCCATGAAGAAGAAAATGCTCCACGTACACAAGGAGTTGCACTGATGCTATCCATACAAACACGAAAAACACTTATAGGATGTGAATCTCATGGACTCAGGATCATCAAAGCCTCCTTCAACACAGAGAAAGAGGGTATTACAATGAACGCCATCCAATGCTATCCGCCAACCAACGACTACAATGAAGACGTCAAAGATCAATTCTACGATAGGCTGTAGTCAATATTTGAGCGATGCACAATAAAGGACCTGATCATTCTGATGGGAGACCTAAATGTCATGGTTGGAACGGAGAACACCGGAGAAAGGATCGAAAATGGTGAGAGATTTGCTAAATGGTCATAGGTGGCACCATATTCCCACATAAACTCATGCACAAAGCCACATGGATTTCACCGGACCACACTACACAGAACCAAGAGAGGAGCTGACACAGCCTCAGATCATCACTTGCTGGTCGCCAAGATGAAATTGAAACTCAAGAAGCACTGGACAATGGGGCGGACAATATCACAAAAGTTCAATACGGCCTTTCTTCAGGATACTAACAAACTCAACGAATTCAAGATAGCACTCAGCAATAAGTTACAGGCCTTTCACGACCTACTCAATGGAAAGGGAACTATTATGGAGAGCAAATGGAAAGAAATCAAGGAGGCAATCAATTCAACACGTCATGAGGTTCTGGGCCACAAGAAGCACCATCACAAGGAATGGATCACTGTTGACACACTGGAAAAGATTCAAGAAAGGAGGAACAAGAGGGCAGCAATCAATACCAGTCAAACACAATCAGAGAAAACCAAGGCTCAAGCTGAATACACAGAAGTAAACAAGAAAGTGAAGAGAAGCATCACAACCGACAAATGTAAATATGTGTGAGATCTAACAATGACGGCGAAAAAGGCTGCAAGAGAAAGAGACATGAGACAATTGTATGATACAACAACGAAGCCCGCCGGAAATTATCATAAACCAGGACGGCCAGTGAAAATCAAGGGAGGAAAAGTAATCACCAACCTTGAAGAACAACGAAACAGGTGGGTAGAACACTTCAAAGAATTCTTGAATCGACCAGTCCCACTGAGCCCACCCAACATCGAAGTAGCACCTACGGACCTCCCAATCGATGTTGGCCCACCGACAGTTGAAGAGATCAGCATGGACATCAGACAAATCAAGAGCGGCAAAGCATCGGGACCAGATAACATTCCAGGAGAGGCACTGAAAGCAGACGTAGCAGTAACTGTAAAGATACTCCACATTCTCTTCAGCAAGATTTGGGATGACGGACAAGTACCAACAGACTGGAAAGAAGGACTTCTGGTCAAAATACCAAAGAAAGGCGATCTCAGCAAGTGTGATAACTACAGGGGCATCACTCTTCTCTTAATACCGGTAAAAGTCTTCAACAGGGTATTGTTAAACAGGATGAAGGACTGCGTAGACGCCCAACTTCGTGACCAACATGCAGGATTCCGTGAGGATAGATTGTGTACAGATCAAATCGCAACTCTACGGATCATTGTGGAACAATCAATTGAATGGAATTCATCACTCTACATCAACTTCATTGACTACGAGAAAGCACTTGATATCGTGGATAGGACAATACTATGGAAGCTTCTTCGACACTAGGGCGTGCCTGAGAAGATAGCCAATATCATGCAGAATACCTATGATAGATTAAACTGAAAAATCGTGCATGGAGGACAGACTCGTTCGAATTAAAGATCAGTGTCCGGCAAGGTTGCTTACTCTCACCCTTTCTCTTTCTGCTGGTGACCGGCTGGATCATGAAGATGTCAACATCTGGGGAGAAGCATGGGATACAGTGGACAATTAGGATGCAACTGGACTATCTAGACTTCGCAGATAATCTGGCTCTCCTATCGCACACGCAAAACAAATGCAGGAGAAGTTGACCAGTGTAGCAGCAGCCACAGCAGCAGTAGGTCTCAACATGCACAAAGGGAAAAGCAAGATTCTCCAATACAATATAGCGTGCACCAATCGAACCAAACTTGACGGAGAAGCCTTGGAAGATGTAAAAAAATCTCTACATATCTGGGCAGCATCATTGATGAACACAGTGGATCTGATGCAGATGTGAAAGCGTGGATCGGTAAAGCAAGAGCAGCATATTTACAACTGAAGGACATCTGGAATTCAAAACAACTGTCAACCAACACAAAGGTCAGAATTTTCAATACAAATGTCAAGACAGTTCTACTGTATTGGGCGGAAACTTGGAGAACTACGAAAGCCATTATCCAGAAGATACAAGTGTTTATTGACACTTGTCTACGCAAAATATTTCGGATCCGTTGGCCAGGCACTATCAACAACAACCTACTGTGGGAGAGAACAGATCAGCTTTCAGAGGATGAAGAAATCAGGAAGAAGCGCTGGAAGTGGGTAGGATACACATTGAGGAAGGCACCCAACTGCGCCGCAATTCAAGCCCTCACATGGAATCCTCATGACCAAAGGAGAAGAGGATGACCAAAAAACACATTACGCCGAGAAACGGAGACAGACATGGGAAGGATGGACAACAATTGAATCGAACTAGAGAGGACGGCTCAGGACAGAGTAGGTTGGAGAATGCTGGTCGTCGGCCTATGCTCCATTGGGAGTAACAGGCGTAAGTAAGTAAGTAATATATGTATATACTGGTTGGCAAGCTTGATAGAAAAAAACGTCAACATGGTTTTTCATCAATGCTTGTATTAAAGTACCTCTTGAATGTGTATACAATATTTTGTATCAAGTAATATGTGTAGTTGTGAATACCGGTGTGTTTTTATCGTTGACGCTTTCTAACCTTAGGTAACCATTTTGCAACCAGAGTTGTCTCTTGTCAGTGGCAATGAAATTGAAAAGTATTTATTTATCTCAACACGTAAATACTGGTACATATGGGCACTAAAATAAGTATATGCCTATTAAATAAGTCGACGAAATCATGAAGCTTTAGATTGAGTCGGAATTTAAAAAAGTCTGATTAAATAAACACAAGTAAGTGAATGAATCGAATGAATAATGGAAGAAGCAGTTCTGCAGAGTAAGGTACAATTATAAAAAATTCTCTCAGTTACAGAGGTTTCTCACTTGTAAAAGAAAGTAAACGAAAATTACCCCATGATCTCCACTGGCTTCTATTCTGAGCCATATTGAATCTGCATTCTCACAACCAGGGATTTTTCACACAGCTTTATGAACGGTCACATATTAATTTGATTTTGTTTCTTATCATGTTGAATGACTGTATAATCAATTATCAATTTCATTACTTTTACATAACTTCTTTAACCTGTATTATGACCACTAGTAACTGTTACTTCACCTATTCTACACTGCACCACTACTTTCTTACATGTAGATATGCATCAATCTTATTCTTCTAATGATTATGGCATTTTCGCTTCCCTTTTAAATATTCATCCAATTTCACAAACCGAAGAATGTTAAATAATTGTTTATAGTTATTTTAGTGATTGTAATTTTAGGCTGTATACAGTTGATGAGAGGTCGTGAAATGAAATGAATTCATTTTACTCTGCTGACCATTTTGTTATTTCTCTATTTAAATTTGTCAAGGGATTTGACTGCGAAATACTGTTTTCGTTTAGTATATGTAGGGTGTATTTTTAGAATTAGGTACTGATAATTATTTATACACTTCTGGCATCTATTTCAAAGAAATCCTTATACATCCTCTTAAAGATAATATCTGATGATCGACTTAGAAAATTCAGTTTTGGGGTCTTTATTTGATTTAATATAAATGCTTCATGACGTGAGGATGCCGGATAAACGTTGGGAAGACAATGTATCATTAAGTGCTGACAAGTAAACGACGATGTTTATATTTTTAACTGTTAGAGTATTGTGATTTTGAAGTATTTCAGAAGAAGATCTTACAAAAAATACAAAAAATGAATGACTGCTAGAATGCATGCATTATCATCATCATCATCGTAAGTTTTCAATAGTCTAATCAGAGAAATTCGTTGGCTTTTCCATTATGTAAAAGTTGATTGTTTTTATCGCTCAAGGTTAAAGTCTGTTTGCTTTTCTGTAGGAGAGAATTATGACCAAAATGTATGACAATGAGAGGTTTAAAAATCCACAGTATCTTGTTTTCTGTAATCGTGCAATGGCATTAATTATTTTGATACCTCTACACTTTCTACATATTGGGTTACTTGTTAACCCTTGGAAAAAAGGTCAAAAAGCTCCCTTCATCGAGTTTGCATATGCTTCTATCAGTAATGTGATCAGTAGCTGGTGTCAGTATGAGGCCCTCATTTATATTTCCTTTCCTAGCCAGGTAAGTTATTCAAACACTAACCTTTTATCGATGAAAACTTCAGTGATTTTGTCTTCAGTTCTATGTTTCACTTTTTTATTTTTGTGGTATTGACTCACTTTATAGATGCTGTGTTTCTCTTAGTTATATAATTTAGGCATTCAACCTTTGTTTGTGACAATCTTGCATTCTGGATTGCTTAAATGAAGTTCCTTTTTCAGGTATCGAGGAGTTTTTACATAAATATTCTCTCTATTTGTTTGCTGTAGTAGTAAGCGTTATTGGTACGTATTTTATCACCTATTCTTAAAAAAAGTTGCTACTACTGATTAGGCCTGCTTTTCAGCATCTCTTTGTTGGGAATTGACAATATTCCTTCTCTATTTCACCACTGAACACATTAATAATGTGAGATGTTTCAGCAATGATGGATGCAACACAATGATTTTGTTGTAATATTGTTATGACATACGTAATTCAGGTCGACAATTACGGACGATGGTATCTAATTCTAATATGAAATTTTAAAACTGATAAACTACGTCTTCTCATTGCATTATCGAAATCTAATATGAAAGCCGATCTAATGGTACTAAGTAAATTGAACGGCTAGTGCACAATGATACTTAAGCGATGAAAACTACAAGTGAGGTGGGGATTTTCAAAAGGAATTTTACGTCTCTAGAAATGAAAATCACGGTACACATAAAAGTTTCAAGGAAAAAGTTGCTGGCATGAATAGGTATCATTTACTTGGTATTACCATATCACATTAGTAATTGTCTCTGACGTTTGTGAAGACCCCAATATCAAATGAACAGTGTAACACTTAACTCTTTATTGTCTGTCCAAAACGTCATTTTTTATTAACCCGCTCTCTGACTATAACTACTGATTTCCACTAAAACGTAAACTTTTCTGACTAGTTTGTAATTCGTGGCATAGTTCATGTTACTAACCAGTCAATTATGATCAACACTGAATCTGACACGAGTGTCTACTGGCCCAAGTCATCATGTCAGCATAGCGAAATTTTTAACTAAATGACAAGAGAAAACGAAGAAATAATACCAACTGTAATAGAAATCTAAGCATGATAAATAATACCAGTCCTAACTTCGTGGATATGTTCCAATATTCTTATCTAGGCACTACGAAACTTTTCTTTCTTATCTTTCTCCAACACACATTATGTTTAATTGTCCAAAATTCAGATAAATAAACCAACTTAAACCTGAAGTAAAACTTGTTTACCCCAAACTCGTTGTCACCATTAAAAATAATAATTCACTAGCCAGGTATATTATGCACAGAGAATATTGGCCATTACTACATTATCGGCTTACTTAAATTACACGGTAAATTCAATTTATTCAAACCATTGGAAACTAAGCGAGCTCTGGATACCTGCATCATTGTCTTATGGGACACCTTAGCAGTGCATATCAATATTTTGATAAATACCTCTTACTTTTCAATGGTTATTTAGCTAAATTTAGTGTATGATTAAGACCATCTTAAAATTAAATAATTACACACAAACCCGTAATTTAATAAGAATTATGTAGCATTTTGGTGTGTGCTACTCGATGTTGACAGTTATAAGTAGTACGTATCATCAATCCGAAGTGAAGTGCCTGACGGCAGAAGGTTAAGAAGGTCAAGGAAAAGAGAACGAGAACAGAGAGTGATTGGTATGGAAACGAAAGAACAATGAAGTCTGGGACGATTGATTGATATTTTACATGTAAAGTATTTACTGTATGGTCCTCAGATTTTAATAAGACGTTCTGCAATGTTGTGTTCAAATACATTCGATTGTCCCCACTTGTGTTTTCGTTCACTACAGCATGATATAATTAAATCCGAAGTAAAATTATTACACTAAGGATATACCGAATTAATTTGTGTTTAGTTTTAATTTAAAGGTTTGATTTTATGCTTATCTAATAATGATCTTTTCATTTTATAACTTGATAATGTCATTAGATGTTTTACATTCCTAGTACTCAGATGTTATTAGAAATGAGCGGTTCGTGTTGAGTCATTGATGCAACCATTCCTGTTATTCAACTGATGAGGACTGGAATTTTCACAGTCATGGATTTATCATAAATTAATTTTGAAAAATTATTTTTTTAATGGCTTAATCCGCAAATATTCTGTGCAATATATACAACATACAGTTTACTCTAGTCTAATGTTACTATATCAAGATAGGAAACAATAATTTGGTTATTTATTCTCTGAAGAAGTGGCTTACACTAAGTCACGAAACGTCAGAAAATCTAATTTTCTACTCATTGGGATATTACGAATATATATTATTTTTATTTATAACAATCAACCCAATGCTCAATTTATTCGAAATTACCAAATCAAACCTTGGTAATGATACCTAGAAACAATAACTGTTCATTTTTAAATTAAAATTAAAAATTACAAATATACGTAATTCTAATTTTCATTTAAATTTCAGGTTATTCTTAAAGCCTGCAAGGTTTTACCAGTAATGTTTATGGGTAGATTTATTCAAAAGAAACTGTATAGTTGGCAAGAATATTTTACAGCTGGTAAGTAATTATATATTTATATTTAATGTTGATGTCGTTGTTGACTTATTTTGTATTCATATGATCATATTAGAAGTGTCTAGTGATTGACTTTTGTTTTGAACTATATTATAGTATTATCGTTAGTTGTGAATTATCGAAGTTATTGTTTATTAATCATATTTCCATGATATGCCTATTCTAGTGCACAACCTCCCGATAAATAATGTTTTGGATTCATGAATGGACCAACTTGTAAAAATTAGGTAGATTATAGCTATATGTTTGTATTACCTAAAGAATTCACGTCAGTTTATGGACAGATGAACCTATCGATAGCCAATGTAGTGTATATAAACATCAAGAATCTTATTCAGTGAATGTGCATAACATAAGTCAATTATCCTACACCGGATTTAGTTAATTTACCAATTTCACAACACTAAGACGATATTTATAATATGTGTATATATTGAATTGGGATTTAATCAAAATTGATCTTCACATTTGGATGGTATCTAGATAAGAAAAAATACCATATTATAGCTCTCTAAGATAACCACCTGCTTCGGTCTGGGCACTCGGGCAGTAACACAGCCCACACACAAATGATTAACTGTTTATATTTATGGAAACTACTTTTCTTGCTTCGACTTACAATCAAATGATTCAAATTATTATTATTATTATTATTATTATTATTACTATTATTATTATTATTTACTACGTCATTATCCACCCTCTTTTATTCCTACTCTGTTTATACTTATTTTTTCGACTTATACAGCAGCTCGTCTATGGTGGAAATTCAACTCTATCGAAACGTTCTCGAGTCACTGTCCGGTTGTAAATTGTATGTTACCACCGAATATGAGTACTGAAGCAGTTTTTCTGTAACCACGTGCACCATTCAAACCGCCTGCCTTCAACGTTCGCACACTTATGCAGGTTGGACAACAGATAGGCTGGCTATGTCTTTAGAAAGTCTTAATATCGATGTTTGCTGTCTATCCAAGACCCGTATTCAAGAATCTGGTGAAGTACTACAAATTCGCTCTCCATCTGTCGCTCCGAAAATCTTGTCTTACGTGCGCTTATCCGGGGACACTGTGAGATTGGGCAACCCTGCCCGTCGGTCTACTGCGGGTCACCGTGAGTTTGACCACAAACGAAGGACGTTACGTAAGGAAATTGGGCAAAGCTTGCGTAAGGATCGAGAATAGTGATGTTCGGAGCGTGCTAATGAACTGGAAGCAGCAGCTGCATCTGGTAACTACCGGAAGCTCTTCCAACTCATCCGAGCCACTGGCAGCAAGAAGTCTGGTATGAGCGAAGCAATCTGTGAGGATGACAGGATGCCAATCACTAACATCCATCGACGTCTTCGACGATGGGCAGAATTTTTCGAAGGGCAGTTCAACTAGCCTGCTGCTCCGGCAACATCGATCAGACAGTCCTGCCCTCCATGGCCGGTGACGACCGATCCACCAAATGCGGTGGAAGTCCGCAATGGACGCTATAAATCACTGGACCCAGATGGCCTACCTCCGGCTCCTTTTAAAGGTTGTGGTGACTTTGTGACTAAGGAACTGACGACGTTGTTTAAAAAGGTCTGGGAGCTGGAGAGTGTACCAACGTCATGGAATGAGTCGATAGTTTTCCTTATCTTTCAAAAGGGTTCACGCCGTTCCTGTAACAACTATCGGGGGATAAATCTACTTCCGATTGCGTCCAAGCTGTTGGCTCCCGTCACACTTCGTAGGTTGTTCAAAACCCGAGAAAGATTGACTCGTGAGGAGCAGGCTGGGTTTCGTTCTGGTCGAGGATGTATTGATCATATCTTCACCCTCCGCCAAACGTTAGAACACTGCCATACTTATCAAAGGCCAACAATCGTAATGTTTCTTGACATCAGGGCTGCCTTCGATTTGTTGGACAGGACTGTTCTCTGGGATTGTCTCTATTGAAGAAAGGTGTGCCTGAGAAGTTTATTAACATCTTAAAGGCCCTATATACAAACACCTCAGGCAGAGTGATAGCATACAACCACCTTTCTCCATTGTTCCATCCGAGCAGTGGAGTTAGGCAGGGTTACTCAATCTCTCCATTTCTCTTCAATTTTGCCATCGATGACATTCTGGAAACAGCTCTGGTAGATGTAAGTGATGGCGGCGTGGATCAGTTGCCTGGAGAAAGACTTATCGACCTTGAGTATGCGGACGATATTGTCTTACTGTGCGATAATGCCCAAGGCATGCAATCCGCACTTAATCAGTTGGCAATCAGTGTCCGTAGGTATGGTATGTGCTTTGCACCTTCGAAGTGCAAAGTACTTCTACAAGACTGGCAGGATCGTAATCCTGCACTCACCCTGGATGGTAAGCAGATAGAAGTAGTCGAGATGTTCGTGTATCTGGGTAGCTGCATAAGTGGGGTTGGGGTTGTGAGTGATGAGATAAATGCACGTATAGTGAAAGCCAGAGCGGCTCATGCCAATCCGGGCCATCTTTGGCGCCTCCATGATGTTAGTCTGGCCGTAAATGGTCGGATCTACAACGCGTCGGCGATAACAGTTTCGCTCTATGCTTGTGAAACCTGGCCTCTCCGAGTTGAGGACGTTAGACGACTCTCTGTGTTCGATCATCGTTGTCTCCGAAGGATTGCTGAAATCCAGTGGCAACACCATATTAGTAATGCAGAAGATCGGCATCGTGTGTCCGGGCGCAGAGACGGCAATGCAATTGGTGTCACCATCTTGAAACACCGACTTCGGTGGCTTGGACATGTTCTCTGAATGTCGTCCCAGAGAATTCCACGTCGTGCATTATTTGCCGACTCTGGAACTGGTTGGAAGAAGCGGAGAGGTGGTCAGTGTATGACATGGTGTCTTGGTATGGAAGAAAGCTGCAAGGGGCTGGCTTGTGTTGGTCCTTCACGACTTCCTGGCTGGGGTCCTCGAGATGGTGCGACACAGTGGCTAGAGGCATCATCAGATATGACTCAGAATAGAAGCCAGTGGCTATCGTGCTGTAACCTTCTTTTACTTTCTTCATAAAAAAAGTGGTTGTATCTTCCTTAACTGAAATATTTCTTGTGATTGTACCTTTCCGTTTCCCCCATTATTATTATTATTATTACACTACCTTAGACCAATCTCTTCGTTATCGTTTTCCTTTTTTTACGCTTCTTGCCTTTTTTTCTTTTTACTTCTCTTTATATTCTCATTGTTTTGTGTGGCGCATATATATTTAGCGCACTGTTGTACCAATATTTATGTGTTCAAATTAATAATAATATCCATATTACTTTTATATCCACTGCTGAAATCCTATAAGTTATGTTCTTCTCTCATATCTCAACCAAATGATACGACACTATTTTATCCCAATTAACTCATATCAGAGTAGGTTAAAACTTGACAGGATACATAGATACTTGAATTATCCTCAAAGGGTTTTAGAGATTGTTGGATCGTGAAACGACTGTCCAATGCTTCCAAGTTTCCAATGATTATCTGACTTAAATACGTCAGTGATCCCAATAAAGTATTTGAATGGCTTAACATTCTGCCATTTAGTTCGAGCAAATATTTCGCACTGTACAATAAAAATTCTTATAGCCTACTATAAACTACATAGAGTGGCATTAATATCATATTTTTGTTTCATCATGCTCTACTTGATGGATTTCAAGTTTGTCCAGTTATATTTCCCCGTTTTTCCCAATGTTATTTACTTTAACTGTAGATAATTAACTGTCGCTTGAAAAACTTCTCATCAGTTTAATTCTCTACAACCTTCATTTGTTCAAGTAAAAATAATAAAAAAATTTCCTAGAATGTAATAGGAGAAACTATTTAAAAGTCAATTAATTTTATATGCCAACACTTATCATTGTGTACTTTGTCACAGATTAATCCATAGGACTATATCCTATTGCGTTCGCTTCACATTGTTGACATATATCATGTGTATCATATTATAAAATTATTAATTGTGTTACTATTTCATCTGAATACCTTTTATTCTTTCTCGATTTTTTTTCCTAAATAAAAAAAACAATTCCAGCTATTATTTGTTTGGGTATGGTTATGTTTTTTTACACTAATCCTGGACAAACTCAACTTTCAAATGAAAAGATTGATAATACTCAATTTCTATTATCATTTAGTGGATATCTATTGATTATTGGCTATATTGTTTGCGATTCCTTCACATCAAATTGGCAAGACTATATGTTTCAAACATATAAACTCACTTCTTTACAAGTTAGTAAATTGATTAAAATTTCTTTAAGGAAAATGTTCTTTTGTTTCACATTAGTTAAGAGATTTTTTTAATAATATAATTCAATATCTCACTAATATGCATTGAGCATTTTTAACTGTATTATAATACAGTATTTTTTTTCCATCTTAAAAATTTGAATCAGTGGTGTGAAGAGAACTATTCTTCAACATTCATTAAAAGTGCAATATTTTACATTTTCAAAGAAATTTTTGTTCATTTAGTAGTGCTTGAATGCTGTATATAAGAACATAATTTTCACAAGAGATTTCATTTCAATCATCTACTGTTATATAAGTATGTCTTTTATGAACACACCACTGTAACGCATCCCAAGTAAGGTAATTATAAGTTATGACTTGAAATTAAAAATAATTAATACCTTTAAATACAGCATTCATTCACTAAATGAATAGAAGGATGCTCGAAAATGAATATTAAAAAAAAATACAGGCGCGCTATAAATTCACAGATACTTATCCTTCAAGAACTGTTCTTCACATTCATCATGAGCTTTTTTTAAAAAAAAGCTATGAGCATGATTCAGTCTATTTAATTTATTAAGTTAAACTAACATCGTATTATGACCTGTTATGCATTTTCGTAAGTAACGTTTTGCTCTGACTGTAAAATGAATATTTAGTTCATAATATCTAGTATAGCTTAGGTGCTTCTTGAACTTCTGTTATCATCTTTTGTAGCTCATAGGACTTGTAATTCTTTCGTCCAGCCAATCTAGCTTTCAACCACTGAGTCACACGCTAGTTTTACACTCCACAAACTCATATTTAAACAGACACGTGGTGATGACGATGATTATGACTAAACTGTCAAACAGCAAATGAAACTTAACTATAATATTGGCGTCTGAAAACCCAATCCAGAGATGTATCACCTAATTAAGGGCGTAATATTTGTTGAAATGTTTACTTTTCTTACAAAGACTGAAAAGTAATTCCAGACCTTCATACAATATTGTGTATAGTATAATTCAAATAACTGTCTCCACAATACAAGTGATCAATCTTCTAGATTAAAACTTCGTAGTATAATGTTTAAACTAGTCAATAATATTAATAAATAATTAATCTAATGTTTAATAGTTAGGAATTAACGATATATTCAAACCTTTTTCCTCACTACTCTATTAACCAATAAATCTCATTTATACACAATTATAAAACTATAACCTTGTTACTGGCTGAGTTATGCATGTCCATTAATCGACATTTATGTCATATAATAACGCAATTACCCAAAAATAGTTGTCGGATCGAATCAATGCTAATTTTTTTTTCGGTAATTTCAAATTAACCCGTTGTAGAAATAAGCCCAGTTAAAAGGATTAACTTATTTCTTAATACTTTCTCTATTTGTCAAATGGATCGATTATTAACATGGAATTTGTTTGTTTGCAAAGTACATACGTCCATATAATCACTTTAAGACTTGTAATCTCTATATAACCACAGTGTTTATCCATCTTATTGTAGAGCTGGTTGTTTTGACTGTTTTCACCTCGATAGCTTACTATATAGTATCTAATATTAGCTTCAGCAGTCTCTTCTCAAGCTAATCAATAAATTATTCAAAGAAATTTTTTATCAATAAACTATGCAAATTATTGTGACCTTTTGTATGAGAATACATTCTAATAGAAGAGTGAAGAGTGTGTACATGTGTACATAGATGTATGAATTGTATAGTACCCATTCTAAATTATTCGAACCGGGTTCTTCATGGAACCATTCCATTAGTAATGTAATTCATACGGATAATAGATTAGTTAACGCATAAATTACTAAGCATTAAAAAACCCCACTCTATGTACAGAAGTTGATTTACATTCTAGATTCACATTTGCTTGACTAATTAGTTACATTATCTTGAATACTTTTATTTTGTTTCAATAGTAGATTATTTCAAGTGGTTCAAGTGTTTCAGCTGAAAATCTTAGTAACTCTTTCACAAAGTAAATTTGTTGCGGATATATATTATGAGAGCGTTACATGTATTTAATTACTTGTCATGATAAGCGACTGAAACCGCTATATTACGCTAAATTTCTAACATTCTTTAGTTGGGAAGCAGTTTTTGGTTACCAAAGAACATCATCTAGAAAACAATTAAAACTGGGGATCACTTTACTTTTCAGAAGTGCACACATAGGAGCCTACGTCAAACCGAGCTTGTAATCTCTAGACTTTGAAGCAATAACTTTATCATTAAACTATTAAGGTCGACACCACTAACCTTCATGTCCTAACATGAGTTTTATCGATGATACTTATTTCACTTACTAGCTGACTATACTAAACAAATTAGCCCACTTTTTTTCACAAAACTAATAGTTCCTTCTATATAAACTACTCTAGTCAATAAATCTATTTTTCGATTAATCCAAGTCAAGGAAAATGTTAGTTTATTTTATCTTCAGTTTATTGATAAGAGATTTCTTCAATAGAATTAAAGTATATCACATGAAACATAGTAATCATTTGCAGGTTTATTCACCAGGCTATTAAACATATCTATTGTTTCATCGTTTATAATGCTGGTCGATTTTTCCGACGTTTTTAACTAAAGTGGTGTAATAAAACTATATACATCACATAAATGCTTGCTCTACAAGCTTTAAAAAATTTCTACTTTGTATTAATCACTTTTTGGAAATCACTTTGAAGCATCTACACCCAGTGTTTAGTATCTATCCAATCTAATCAAACATTGGAAATCAACTTTATATCTCGTCTAGCCAATATTATTATAAATTGCTTGTTTTTACTTGTACATTAATTTTTTACCAAAGAAACCCTCCACTTTAGCTTTCAGTCTATTTCTTTCTAGGTAATGGCTGGTGTCAATATATGGTCTATATTTCTCACTTTAATCTCATTAATTGTACATGGTGAATTAATTTCAAGTATACTATTTGGATTAAATCGTCCTAAATTTATTTTCGATGTTCTAACATCATCATTATGTTCAGCATTTGGTCAATTGTTCATTTTCCTTACTTTGTCTCAATTTGGAGCGGCCACATTTGTATTAATCATGACATTAAGACTTGGTCTATCTATGATACTTTCATGTATTATTTTCTCTCATGAATTACATCCGATTGCTATATGTGGTGTAGTGGTTGTTTTCTTTGGTTTATTTTCAAAAATGTTTTTGCGTCAGAAAAAACCTCTTTCACTGGAAATTTGTGGTATACCTGGTGGTAAGTGATGACTATCGATGCATTATTATTTCCTGTTTAAGTTATTCCTCTTCTCTTTTTAATATTCATTTCCTTTTTTCAATTTCGTTAGAAAGATTTCCATGTTCATATGCTATTTGTTGTACTTCTTGTTTTAGGAACCAGAATTCTGTTTATTTGTATATATACATATAAGTATACTTGTGACACATTAAGTCCCTCATTTTCGATTCCTGTCAGATAGGGAATACATTCATATTCTAATACTTCTTACAAATCAAAGTTATTCGTTGTCTGTGATATTTTAGCTTACTGCCTTATTATGATGTATGTTTTACACATATCCAAAGAGAAGAAATTTATTATTATTCGTTTATTTATTTTGTCATGTTATTTTCCTCTTTCTATATGTATTGTCGAGTAGTTCTTTGAGTAAATTGTACTTATGAATATATTTGTATGGTTTCAGGTCTTTGTGTTCTAACTGAGATACTTTCACGTTTTTGTTTATTATTTTGTTACTACAATTTACCTATAGATATAGACACTACTTCTACATTGGAAACAAACCAACAAGATTGACATATGTTTCTATCCTCTAGTATTTTAGCTAGACGTATTATTGTTTATCGGACGATGGAGAAACTTTTAAAGTTACTGTTTTATACTAACCAGTAGTTAGTTCCATTAGCAATTTACTTCTTTAGATTTACGTTGACCATTCCCATCACCCTGTTCGAGTCGTAGTTTTCAAATCTTTAGTAATGTGATCCAACTTGAAGCAATCTCTTACTCCATTTCATTTTTGTAAGAGATTTCGAAATGAAGGCAGTCATTAAAGGTGAACTTCCGTTTGTTTTATAACGAATAATAGTTTTAGGGGAAGAAAACACATCAATTGTCATTGTATGGAGTCTAAAGGTAAGTACCATATACTTGCGATACATTAAAACATTTTGGTTACCAGAGGTTTTCATTCGAATTCCATGCAACATGATACATAATATGTCGGTCCAAGGTTGACATACATTTAACAAGTATGTCATCTGACAACTGTGCGTTAAATATGGCTACTATTTTCACCAATACTGATCTCTTGTATCTTTTATTGGAGCTAGATAATATAAACAACTATAGCTGATTGTTTACAATTCCACTCAGTGCGCCTAGCTGATCAAGGTTATGTTGATGAAAGGTCTCAAATTATTAGAAATTAATGATTCTGTGAATTTATATGTTGACTTGAAATATAGGATTAAGGTTCATTTCGATAAACTATACAGAAATGTTTGAATCAACACTTCCCTAATATCCGTTAAACCATACATCATTTTACTGCTACATAAATCTTCCTATTTACACTGACTTGTTGCTCAAATAATCACCCTATGGTCATCCAGTTAGTATAATTAAGCCGTGTATATATATGTTTAGTAAAATAAGCAGTCACAACCGAATGCATATACATCAAGTTGATTATGCCTGTAAACTGGCATGAATTCTGTAATTATTATTTTAAGGATATATTATTTATTGTATTCTGAATAATATAAGCTGCTAATTTATCCACTTATAATCTGTATAGTTCTTCCCAGTACTATAGATTTTATTCAGTATCCAAGCTACATCGTTATATTATTAAAAAGACATATTGAGACAAAACGATCTGACTTTAAATAACAATTCGAATGAAACATCTTGGATTGGTGCCCTAGTTTCACCTTACTGCCATGGTATAAGAAAAAAATTTAAATCCATTTTGGAAAGAGACAGAATTAAAGATTTCTATAAAATAAGCAACGCTTTTAAATACTCTAGCTCGAACTAGTAAAAAGATCTCACTTATATATACAGAAAACTGTTTGGTTGTATCGATTGTGATGCGTTTTACGTTAGAGTCCTCGTAAAATTTCGACTTGACTCAAAAAACTCTTGAGCTACACAAAAAGACTTCACAGTCCCGTGGAACTGAGAAATCCACAATCTAAATGGGCATTAGCAGTATATATTATATTCGATGACCACCAAATCATTGTAAAGAATATCCAAATAATTCAGAAAGGTTTTTCCAACGATAGAAAAGGCGAGTAACCGAAGCGTTTCATATAATGCTAAATCCCTTCCCCTCAGTTAGAAAGAAGTTATACCTATTCATTCAACTTGGACTCTGTCCAAACAACCACATTTGACTATTCATTCGTCACACGACCTGCACACACATCAGCAATTTCAAACTTAATGCTTCATATAACAAATTTTAAATTTTTCTTACCCATCTCATACTGAATTACCTTGATTAAAAATAACAATTACATGGGCACGTTCATACCTATTATGGTTTTGATTGTACTAAAGATATTCTACTTTGCTTCATTTGTACTATGTAAACTTGTTTCAATTTTATTTCAGTCATTTATTTATATACTCTGAAGAAGTGACTTAAATCACACTATCAAGAATACAGATTTCATTAGGATATCACGAAAAATATATTTATCATTTAAATAGTTATTGTTTTTATAAGTAGTTGTGTAGTAATAATTTCTAATAAACACGTTTTTATTACACAGGGATTTGTTAAAAGTCAGAGTGTTTTTGAAAACTGTTTTCTCCAAATTTAAGACTGTCGGCACTTATGTAGGAACAAACTTATGAACTTCAGGTATCATGGGTAAGCAAATGAAAATACTGATTGTAGATCTAGGTATCCATAGTGAAAAATTCAGTCACTATTATAACTTGATTCCCATCCGACATCAATAGTGAGTTACTCTTAACCTGAAGTTGACTCTAAAAATTCCAGTTTTTGGAAACTTCTCAAAGTTATTCACTAATGGACATCCTATTATTAATGGATTACGTAGTTTTGTATAATTTGGAAGTAATTTTCACAAGTCTGAGTTATTTTTCCCTAAAAACTAATTACTGAGCATTTTACTCTACAATCCCTTCGAAAAACCTATGTTGGATATGCCATAAAATGCTTACCTCATTTAGTATTCAAACCAGAAATATAATTAACACAAATTCTTTGTAGTTTTAACTCATTCAATTATACAATAGGACTATAATCCATAACAACTTATGAATCTTACTTTTATAATCCTTCATTCATACGGGTCAGTGTAATAGTGTCAAATAAATCTGTCATTCGTATATTGTGTTTCATATAATTTACTTGGTCAGACGAATTTCGATTATAATTTATCCGATACATTAGTTAACGGTTATCAGAAATATCAGTTCAAAATAATGTTTAATTAAAATGTCCTGAATAAGTCAAACCCTGATAATAGCTCAGATATTATTGAATCTATTTCTAATGCATTTCATAGTGAATAATGTGGCAAATGAAATTCTTAATCGATTTATTATTAAAGCAATTTCAAACATTGTTACAAAAAGTTATAAAGAAGCAAATAGCATTGCTAATGTTTCACATGCCGTTGGAGATTTACTATCGAAATGCCCAGTAAATACGCTGATATCATGTCTAGAAATTTCATCTCATTCCACGATATCCTAAAAGGTCATCAACATATTTACTTGATTAGTTTGTGTTACAAATATGCAGGTAATAAGAAGGCGTTGTTTGTTTTGAACAATGAAATATGTTTCCACAGGCTATTTCGATCGGTTTGACCATAAAATACGTGTAACAGATCATTATTATTGAATACATAAAAAGATATACGAAGCTTAAAATCAAGTGTGAAGTCCAAAATAAAGGTTGTAATAATAATGAGATTAGCGGGAAAAATAATAATACGAAGTTAGAGGCCATATTACAAAAAACAGATTTTTATGTAATGGTAACTACTGTAGCGGTAAATAAATCCCCCAAAATAAATAGCCCTGTAAGTTTTCGACATTGGATGCTGACGATATGTTTTAGTGGACTCATCTAGCTGAAGGCGCTCGGTCAGGCATCCGCACCAGATCACGTGTGGTAACGCCGTGCTCAACATCAACCGCAATCGCTAGCCAGATTAGATCAGAGAATTCCGATATATTGGTCATCTCCAAATATACTCTTCCGATCTCCTCGACTCTGTCTTTTGATTTCTCTGGGCGGGAAAGAAATATATTAGAAGGTGTTACTGGTAGAAGCGTTGTCAAACACTGAATACCTGTGACATCATCACTACTTTTAGACACAAAATTAGATTTAGCTATCTCAATAAAATTAATAGTATTCTGAACAAGTGTCGTTGGTGATTTTGAAAGACACTTTCAAATTAACCTTACTAACACTGATGGTAAATCAGTCGATGAGGTTGTAAATCTTAATCGACTAAGATGGTTGGGCCACATCTTACTTATGCCTGAACACCGCTTACAACGACACGCAATGCTGACTAGTGATGGAGACGGCTGGAAGAAAGTTAAGGGCGACCAAACTATAACTTGGCATCAGTCATTAAAGTCACTGACTTCTAGTCTGAGCCATGTTGGTTAATGCAGACTACTTGGTTGGCGTCCATGTGACTATCGTAACCAATCGTTGCGTACTTTGGGTGACATGACTGTGATATCACGATTGGTGAAACCGACGTGATCTGGTACACCTAATTGCAACTGTGAGTCTGTTCCTTTTTGGGATTTTTATATATCATTGCCTTATTATTTATTTTTTTTAAACATTGTGATTTTTTTTTCGTGTTTTTTCTTGGATATATATATATTTCCCCTCGTTCATTATCGTACTTCATACTTCATCATGACTGAACAGACATTTAAAGTACTCAAGCTTAAGACTTTGTCCCCGCTTTCGTTTCAACTCATGCCTTTCTGGCCCGACAACATCGAAGCCTGGTTTTGCTACGCAAAAGCCGACTTCTCCGAGCACGGCGTGATCGACACACGTGCACAGTTCCTCGCAGTAGTCAAGGCACTACCGCGCGAATTCAACAGGTACGTAACACCTAGTATGTTTACTAGGGATGTTTCCGAACCTTACGAAATCTTAAAACGCTCGATTCTTAAACGAGGAGAGCTAACCGATCGACAAAGGTTAGATCAACTCTTCAACAATATCGACCTGCAACACGGTTCTGCGACAGACATGTTGCAACGGATGAGAGAGGTTATGGGCCCAAGAACTTTCGACGAAGGTCTATTCAAACAACTCTTCTTGTCAATACTTCCCCAACAGGTGCAAGCAGTTCTGGTCTCGTTCCAGAACAACGCCTTAGACGAGCTAGCTGCATCTGCCGACCGCATTTTAGAAATTACGAAATCTACTACCGAGGTATTTTCAGTCAAAGAAAAACCTCAAACGACTCAGAATGATATAAACGACTTATGTCACACACTCACGCGTTATCTCAGTCTTCGTACCGACCGTAAGAGATCGCGCACACCACGTAGAAGCATTTCTCGTAAGCGATCTGTCTCTAGACCACGAGAGACAGATAACCCCGACTGGTGCTGGTATCATAACCAGTATGGAAAGCTTTCCAGAAATTGCAGAAAACCCTGCAATTTTCCCAACACGAAACCGACTGATTCGAAAAACAATTCGGGAAACTTCCAAGCCGACACGCGTTAACGGCAACCGTAGCCGGCGAACAAAGCCGTCTGTTATTCGTCACAGATGTGACAACGAGAGTTCGCTACCTCGTCGACACTGGGGCAGAAGTTAGCGTTCTCCCAGCAAATCCTAACGACCGACTTCACGAATCGACCCTAAACTTACAGGCGGCAAACGGAAAACCGATCGCTACGTATGGCAAAAGGTACGTTTACCTTAACGTGGGTTTACGCAAACCCATTCACTGGATTTTCGTTGTTGCAGATGTTTCTATGCCAATCATTGGTATGGATCTTCTACAACACCATAATCTGATCATCGACACGCGCAAACGGAGGCTAGTAGTCGGGAACACTTATTTGTCCGTTTGCGTAACTTCTTTTACTGGTTGTAGAGTATCCCCAGTCACAGTTAAACATATGATAGACCCACTCTATCAACCACTACTCGATAAGTACCCTGGGATACAACAAACTCAACCGAAACTACCGCGTGTAACCAGCAACGTTACACATCACATCACGACTACAGGACCACCTGTATTCTCTAAAGCACGACGACTAGCTCCTGAAAAGCTAAGGTTAGCGAAAAACGAATTCGATCACATGATGGACTTAGGAATCATACGACCGTCAAGTAGCCCATATGCATCTCCGTTGCACATGGTCCCTAAAAAGGACAGCAACGATTGGCGTCCAACCGGTGACTATCGGCGATTGAACGCGAAAACCATTCCCGATCGTTACCCGTTGCCTCACATTCACGATTTGACAGCTACCTTGAAAGGTACAACTGTCTTTTCGAAAATCGACTTGGTTAAAGCGTATAACCAAATCCCTATGGCTACTGACGACATACCGAAAACAGCTATCATAACTCCTTTCGGACTCTATGAATTTTTGCGAATGCCTTTCGGTCTAAGGAATGCTGCTCAAACATTCCAAAGATTCATAGACGACGTTTTTCGAGGTCTCAGCTTCGTACACGCGTATGTTGACGACTGTCTAATCGCAAGTCCGGACAGAGAAACACATCTCAAGCATCTGGATCTTGTTTTCGAACGACTTCAAAAACGTGGCATAACTGTAAACGTTCAGAAATGCCAATTCGGAACCGACTCCTTAGACTTCCTAGGACACACTATCGATGCTCAAGGCATTCGACCTCTTAGGACCAAAGTGGCGGCCATTCTGGATTACCCAGAACCGACCACCGTCAAGCAATTACGCACGTTTAACGGCCTCGTAAGTTTCTATAGACGTTTCATACCGAAATGCGCATTGCTTATGAAACCTCTGACCGACCAACTTCGTGGAAATGCGAAATCCATCAATTTGGACGACACCGCACGAAAAGCATTCTCCACAGTTAAGGAACTGATTGCTAAAGCAACAATGCTCGCACATCAGGACACACGAGCACCCATTAGCATCGCAGTAGACGCATCCGACTCGGCAATCGGAGGAGTCTTACAACAATGGGTTAACAACTCCTGGCAACCCTTGGCATTTTTCTCTAGAAGGTTGCTAGACACCGAGTCGAGGTACAGCACATTCGGTAGGGAACTCCTAGCTATGTATTGTGCTGTACGGCATTTCCAACACTACATCGAAGGACGTGAATTCACTCTTTTCACGGACCATAAACCGCTCACTTTCTCGTTAAGCTCTCCTTCTGACAAGTACTCTCCCCGTGAGTCTCGACAACTGGACTACATTTCGCAGTTTACTTCAGATATTCAACACGTCTCTGGAGCAAACAATGTAGTTGCAGACGCTTTATCTCGTATAACTTCCTTCAACAGTTTCCAAGGAATCGACTTTCTTAAACTCGCCGAGCTTCAAAAAGAAGACAGTGATCTTCAGCACGAGTTATCGTCCACAACACTTAAACTACGCATCAAACAGATGGGAACAGGTAAGGAAACCTTACTTTGTGACACATCTACAGGTAGGGATCGCCCAATCGTGCCGAAACATTATCGACGCAATGTCTTCAACACATTGCACAAACTTTCGCATCCAGGTGT